CTTCAGCCACCCTGCGCCACCGAGTGGTCCAAACAATCTTGTCCCGGTTAGTAACCAGTTTAGCAACGAGATCCGGATAGTCATAGTCGAAGAGCTCCATTAGATCGTTTTCCACATCTCGGAGTGGCTTCTCAGCGCCATCCTCGCCTTTACCGCCAAGGATCTCAAGTGCCTCCGTGGCCTTCTCTTGTTGGATATGGGCATCTGAGTATGCTTTACCAATCTCACGCTGAAGCCAGTAGGCATCAATTTCGCGAGCAGAAACCTTGAGTCCTTTATCCCCTCGGTTACCACCACGGTCCACGCCGCCGTCTATTACCATTTCCTCGGTGTCGAGATCATCGGCGTCTGCCTTGTCGGCGGTTAACTCGTCAGTGCCGGGTGCGTCTTGCAAATCTGCCTCGTCCTCATCTGACAGCTCATCATCGTCTCGCACTTCATTGACAGTGCCCATGCGCTCGTCATCTTCGTCTTCCTCGTCGAAAACAACGGCAACACCTTGGCGTTCGTCAAGTTCTTCCTCGCCTTCACCCTGAAGACCACCGTCCATATCTTCATCTTCGTCCTGCGCGTCGTAATCGGTGATCTTTTTGCCCAAATTCACAAGTTCGTTGAATTCTTTCGGGTTCATGGAACTGCCAAGCAAATCATCAATCTCCTTCTTCTTATCGAAATCTTTCATTTCCTCGTCCTTCAGGTACTCCAGCACGGCATCGGCGGCACTTCGTACGACTTCATGAGGAACATCGCCAAGATGGTTTGCGGTCATGGTAAGGATAAGATCATATGTGGCTCGGGTGGCTGGCGTCCGGGGGCGGTATTTCAAGCCTTCGACAACAGCATCGGCAGCCGAAAGGATACCTTGGCCTCGTAATTGTGCAGGTTGGCCTCGTTGGCGCTTCTTTTGTTCTCGGGCGAGTACGTCCTCGCCTTCTCGAATCGAACCTCGCTCGATTTCAGTCAAGCCTGCTTTCTTTTTCGTCTTTGGCGCATCATCACGCGCCATTCGGCCGCCCATCTCCCGAATGCTGATCCGACCTGCGAGGGACTCTGGGTCTCCGGTAGGTTCATCGTTGATGCGAGAAATGAAACGACGGTCCGCCTGGAGAACCAGGTTGGACATCGCCGAGTACTTATACTGGGAAATATTTTGATCCGCCATCTTGATGGTATTATAATACGATTAACTGTGCAACAAAAGAACGAAAGGGATTGAAATCAAACGCGATCGTGTTACGACTGGAATAAGTCGTCTGGGCTCGGTGGAGCTCACGATCAACCGGCGCGTCGACACTCCTGCGACGACAAATGAATCCTGCAATTATATGAGATTCCAGAAGATTTCACAAACCTGGAGCATCCTCCTGCAGCAGACAAGCTTCGTCGTTGGTGCAGGGCCGCAAGCTGCGTGGAATGGTTCGCGGTGTTGAAGAGTTGTTGCGTTTGAGAGTTCCGCTTCCGAAGTTCTCTTCGAGCAGATTTCAGTGGCGAAGACGGAAGGTTTGGCGATGGGTGCCTCAGGCAATAATCAACGCTTTACCCTTTTCGCGCGCCCCAGCTAATCACCTTAAGCTCTTTTGTGAAGCTCGCAACGAAGCTCAACGACAATTTCCAACGTTCGATTCATACTGGGATCATGCCAGTTTATGGCAGTCGGATTTCACACTTGATTCCGTCGCGCATCTCGCCTCTCTGCAAAACCGATCTTATATTACCGTATCACTGCCAGGTACACCGAACCATCTGCCATCATGCCCGCCGCCCCTCGCTGCGCGTCGCGATGCCTTCTCCGGCTCCAAGCCTCACGCTCCAACGGGGTGCCAAAACACGGTCTACTGTGAAGTTAAAAGATCTACCACAAGGAGCATTGAAGCTAGAACCTTATCATGATACCGTAGAAGATGCACCACGATACCCACCGGTCGTGCAGGGACATAGGAATAATATGGAGAAGTTCCAGAATTGTGTTATCCTTACCAGAGTTGGGGGCTTCTATGAGGTATGGACAACGGATCCAGAAAATCCATCTACTCGCTGAGGCCTCAGCCCGTAAAAGTTTATTCCTAACCTGACTCTAGCTGTATTTCGAGCAAGCTGAGGAGCTCGCGCCGTTGCTCAATATCAAGCTTGCTTCCAAGAAGACCAGCGCCGGTCCTGTTCCCATGGCGGGTTTCCCATTCTTCCAGTTAGACCGCTTCTTGAAAACCCTTGTACAAGATCTCAATAAGTACGTTGCCATCAGCGAGGAATTCGCGCACGGCACGGAGGACAAAGCTCGCACGGGGGGGCTTCTCTTCGATCGAAAGGTCGCCAGAATTATCACACCGGGCACATTGATTGACGAGAAGTTCATGGATCCTGCGGAAAACAATTTTCTCCTGGCCATATACATAGATGCACCGTCCTTGAAAGCACAACTAGAGCAGCAACATGATGTCACCTCACATCAACATGTTCTGTCATCGGCGTCTCAGTCCGTAGGCTTATCCTGGTTAGATCTTTCCACGGGTGACTTTTTTACCCAGTCTACGACAGCACAAATGCTTCCTTCAGCTATTGCAAGAATCGGTGCTCGCGAGATCTTGGTTGACCAGGGCATTCAGGATTTGATCGGGCAGGAGCTGCAACTACTAGTTGGGCACGACCATCGACTGATGACATTCTTCCAGTTTCCCCGAGACATCTTGCCCATGTCTCGGTGGGATTCGATGCTAGAAGCGCCCGTCGCTCCTAAATCTATCGAATCTTTCACGCCGGAGGAGACAGCCGCTGGCTACAGCCTCCTGGAGTACATCAGGGTTCAACTACAGGGCTTAGATCTAAAACTTCAACCCCCTCGTCGCCGGCACTTGAGCGAATCCATGAATATTGACCGCAATAGCTTGAGGGGGCTGGAGATTCTCGAAACTGCTCGGGATGGCTTCGGCAAAGGGAGTCTGCTTCATGCAGTTCGTCGCACCTCCACCAAGAGCGGAGCGCGTCTCCTCAGGGATCGCTTGAGTATGTCTCACACCCACATTTTATTTGTTTGAGGATTTCGTAGTTGTAATCTAACCACTTATTGTTTAGGTTCTCCGTCGACTTCCTTACCGGTGATCAACGAGCGCCTTGACCTTGTGTCGGCTTTCATCGCCAACAGTGAGCTACGTGATTGTGTGATCCAGCTGTTGAAACGTAGCTATGACGCTCAGCGCCTCGTCCAGAAGTTCACACTGGGACGGGGAGATCCTGATGACCTGATTTGTCTCTCAAGGGCTATAGAAGCTTCGAAAGAGATCAAGCGGGTCCTTTCTGCCACAGGCTTCGACGTCTCCTCGTCCGCCCCGGCCAATAATAGCCTTGCTGCTATGACCAATCGACTTCATTTGCACGGGCCTACCATACTCGCAGACAAAATATTGGCTGCTATTGATGAAGAGGGGCTGCTCCAAAAGCAGCGGATTGAGGATGATACCGCCGCAGAGGCGGCGATGCTAGCTCAGGAAGTCACCATGAACGAAGGCTTGCCCACTGACCTCGACGCTTTGCCCAAGAAGGTCCGGTCCAAAAGCTCTACCCGAGCTGGCACACCTGCCGATGAACCAGCAGACGTCGACACCTGGATTATGAGACGGGATGCCAGCCCTGCTCTACGTAAGCTCCACCGATCATTAGCCAAATTGCAGGATGAGAAAGTCAACTTGACACAGCGTCTTCGTGATTCTGTCGGGTCATCCACTCTGACCCTCAAGTGGACGCCTGGTCTCGGACATATATGCCATGTCAAGGGCACCAAGGTATCCCAGCAAGCCCTTGAAATATTAGGAGTGACACGAAACGTCTCCACCACTAAATCAACCAGGTCGTTCTACCTACCTGCATGGACTGAGCTAGGCAGTCGAACAGACCAAGCGAAACTCCAAATTCGGCAAGAGGAGCAGCTGATCTTTGAACGGCTTCGCCGCGAAGTAATCCTCAACCTCGTGAAGATTCGGCGCAATGCCGCCGTAATGGACGAACTAGACGTCGCGTGCTCATTTGCAACACTGGCACAGGAACAGCGCCTAGTTAGGCCCATTCTGACGAAGGGAACCTCCCACAAAATCGTCGGAGGAAGACACCCGACTGTCAAACTCGGTCTCGAAGAGCAGGGCCGACGATTCGTCAGCAACGACTGCTTCTTAGGCGATCAGGAACGCATCTGGCTCATTACGGGGCCCAACATGGCCGGGAAAAGCACCTTCCTGCGTCAAAACGCCCTTATCACGATCCTCGCGCAGGTCGGATCGTTCGTCCCAGCCGAATACGCCGAGATTGGGATCGTCGACCAAATCTTCAGTCGCATCGGCGCGGCGGACGATCTCTTCCGCGACCAGTCCACATTCATGGTGGAAATGCTCGAGACAGCCGCTATTCTCAAACAAGCGACATCCCGCTCCTTCGTCATCATGGACGAGGTTGGGCGCGGCACCACCCCAGAAGATGGCACCGCCGTCAGCTTCGCGTGTCTGCACCATCTCCACTATCGCAACCGATGCCGCACACTGTTCGCGACTCACTTCCACGAGCTCGCAGACATGACGCACGACTTTAACGCTCTCGGCCGGTACTGCACGGACGTCAAGGAGACCGCCTCGGGGTCATTCTCATTCGTCCATCGGCTGCGCCAGGGCGTGAATCGCGAGTCCCATGCGTTGAAGGTCGCGCAGCTGGCAGGCTTACCGAAGGAGGTCCTCGAGATGGCTCGAAGCGTGCGGGACAGCGCCCGTAACGCTCAGCAATCCCGGTCGGCGGATGTCAATTGGAAAGCCGAAGCAGGTTCCTACCCTGCGCCGCCTAGCGCATAATGTATGAAATTCTGATTATTCATGTACAATACTTCCACACCCCCTATTTTATGTACAATAGCCATCAACTCATACAAGACACCCTCTATCCTAGGATATAATAATACATCATAACCTCATAACCCAGCCATCAACATCACCCATAGTCAAGTAAAGAAGAAGAAAAAAAGGCCACTAAAGCTTCGCCGCAGCCCTCCCCTCGACCTCAACCACAACGCCCTCCCCAAACGCCACCTCCTGACAATCCTCATCATCCACCCCATTCACAAACTGCACGACGACAAAGTCCACTCTCCTGGACCCCAGCACGACCATGGGCGCATGCCACGTGCCGGCCGCATACGTAACAGCCTGGCCACCGCGGGCGACAAACGCCTTCAGGTTCTTCAGATCCGGGGGGTCTCTCACGGTAACAGGGCCGGCGGGCGTCATGGCGGTCGCGGTCTGGCCCTTGAGGGTCGGGGCGACGACGACCAGGAAGAAGGGTTCGGGGTGGCCGCCGGCGTCGGGCTGGCTGGAGAGGTCGACGGGGGTGAAGGTCTGGGTGGTGAAGGGGTGGCGCTCGAGGATGCGCACGTCGAAGAACTTGGTGCCCTGGCCGCGCAGCTGGCGCGGGAAGCAGCTGAACATGGTCATCCGCGCGGATGACGGTTGGTTGCTTGGGCAGTGGCCCGGGTAGTTGTCTTGCAGCGGCGAGATGGGGCTGTACTTCAGGGCGGAGTTTTGGTTGGCGAGCACCGGGGTCGGGGTGTGCGGTGCCAGGGAGGAGACGCTCGCTGGGGGTTGGTTGAGGTCGCGCGGCAGAGGAGAGTAGATTGCCGTGCCGAAGGGCGCGAAGGCTTCTTTGGTGAGTGGTGAGGGGGCGACGTGGACAGTCGGCGTGGTGGTGAGGATGGGCGCCATGGTGGTTGTGGTTGTTATTTTGCTTGGTGGGGGGTGTTCGTGGACGGTGATTCAGCAAGGTCCTGCCTTGCGACGTTGGATTCAAGCTCAATTGGTGGTTCTGGTCTTGGAAAGAGGAATTGGGGAAGAAAGGAGGAGGGACGAAGCAAATAAATACTAGTATCAACGACGTCAATGGGTCGGGAGTCTCCGCATTTGATTCTCCCGCGTTTCTCTTATCGGAACATGCCGATAAAGTCATTTTGTTCAGTCCGACTTCCTCCGTCATTACACCTATCGCTTACCACATCACAGTTCAAAAAAAGAAAGGAAATATATTGTTTTCGTTGTTACTGCTCACTCTAGTCTTTGGGCTTGTAGATTGACCCCTCTGCGATTTCCACTTCACCCCGCTCAACCCCGTCCAGCCCCTCCCGTTTTTCTCTCATGCTCATATATATAATGCCGCTCGTCCAGAGCATCAGAGCAATCGAGCACCCGATCATGGCCCACATACCCCTGGTGAACCTGGGGGCAAACGTAGCAGAGTAGAATAGGATGCTCCACCAAGCGTTGACGGCATTACTGCCCAGGTTCATACTGGCAATGACCACCGAGCGCATTCGACCATCCTGATACCGCATGACATCGTTGCACCATGCGAAGAAGGTAGCCTGGCAGGCATAGACGGCGCCGGCCCAGTAGTAGGCTCCAAAGACCGTCGCGGTGGAGTCGAATTGAGTCAGAATGAGTGCAGAGGTGATAATGCCGGTGATCCCAATAAAGAACCCTACCAGGTAGCGTTTCCCGCCCATGAAGTCGGTCAAGGTAGCCCAGAATAAGGTCGACACGATCCCCACCGCGGGCACCCCCGATGGATAGTTGTTTAGCTGCGTGACGGCATACTTGTTGGTAGGGTGTGACTTCATGTAGAGCGCGAGCAGGGTGTTGGTCGAGAAGGACTCCGTCTCGCCGGCAATGATCCAGAGTATGACGAAGCCATACCAGTACCAGGTGCCGAAGATCTTCTTCGCAAAGGCTAAGTCTAAGCGCGACCTCGCTGGGCTTGCCTCGGGCATGCGGGAGATGGCCAGGGCTCGCTCAGAAGCCGAGAGATATGGCGCCTGGGTTGTGGCGGGGGTATCAGGGAACAGGAATAGCCCGTAGAGTGCGATGGGGAGGGTGATCAGTCCGTCGATGATGAACAGCCATCGCCAACCGGATAGTCCACGTGCTCCATCGAGCGAGGAATGGATGCCGGCCTGGATGAACCCCCCAAACATGGTACCGGCGAGCCCAGAGGCAGTAAAGATGCCGCTTCGCTTGCCCAGCTCTTTCTCGGTGTACCAAGCCCCCAGAATGTAATGCGTTCCAGCGAAGGTAGTGGATTCCGCCAACCCTAAAAAGAACCGGATGGCCATGATACCCTGAGGATTGTGCACCGCGGCTGTGATCATGGTAAGACCGCCCCAGAACACAATCATGCAAGGGAAGAAAATGCGGGGGGGAAAGTAGGTCAATGCTAGGTTGGAGGGTATTTGGCCGAGGATATAGCCAACCGTGAAAATGGTATTGATAACATTCAGTTGGTTTCCTTGGAAGTTGAGCTCTTCCTTCATTCCCGACACATAGGCGTTCGATAGATTGGAGCGATCTAGGTAATTGAAAAAGTACATCAAACAACAAAAGGAGAGGATGAAGAAATCCAGCTTTCGCAGCAGCTTCGCCTCTCCGGGCCTTGATTCCTGGCCTTTCAGATAGGTTCTGAGATTCGCCAACATGGTGAAGATCGGCGACGGGTACAATTGGTGCAGGACAGGGAAGTACCTAGTTTGCAAAGAGCTTCCTCGGCCTCTTTATACTAACACCCCAACTGACCAGTATAGCCACTGGCCATTCTTGAGTCTTGTAAACTCTAATGGGGATCGCCATGAGGAGGACAACCCGGGCTGCTATCAGCAATCCCGCCTGCCCAGACACTTCGCCAACCTCTCCAATGAAAGATAAGGTGGCGCTGAAGGAAGAGCTTCAGGTGGATTCATCTTGAGTCTAGAAAGAAGCAAAATGCTTGGCGTTGATAGACCCGAGGGGGTTATCCGTTAGCAGTCTATCGTGTGATACATAGTCAGTGAGGTCTCGAAGTCACCGATAACAAGATGGAAGAGATGTTCGCAAACACCCTCATGGTAGCCATGCTCACAACCATAGTATAGCAACTACCGATAAATAGATAGACAGACCCACCGTGTTGCTGCGATGGATTGGCAACCCCGCGTTTGTCAGGCCTATCACTTGACTTCGGCCTTCATTCCGTGGCATCCGCTCTTCCAATGACATCGCGGAACCCTAAGTGGAACGGCGGTTCAGTTGCGATACGAACCAGTCGACCCAGTTCTGGTGCCACTAACCCGGCTATCCACTGCCGGGTACTACTTGAAGGAGACGCTGAATGATAGACATCCTCGTTTACCGGCTATCTCAACGAGACCTGATTCAGATAAACCTTCCTCGGCGCTTGCTATAGGACATCAGGCCCGAGACAAGAGAGGAACAAAACAAAGAAGGATCACCGATATCGCTGAGCCTAGGCACTTGGGATCTTATCGGGGGGGAGACGTGAGGGGGTAGTAACCTGACCTATGCTTCAGGATCCCCGCAGTCGTTCCTTGCTGCATCCACGCAGGGCTACGATGCTGTCATTCGTCTCTATAAGACGGAGATCACTTTCCCATTAATGTCCGGTACTAACTAACCCCCCCAACGTTAGCATCTTTTTCCCAATCCCAATTCTGGTTCCCTTCTGTACCGCATAAGATGAGTTCCTGGCAAGCAATTGCGAAAAGCAAACAGGAGTCGCTCAGAGCTGCCATTCCTTCCGAATGGATCATTCCTCCTCATCTTCTTCCCCCGGACCATCAAACAGACGTCACATCGTTCCCGCGACAGTCCGGATGGTTCACGAACAGAGAGCTCGAGATCCTGTCCACCGCGGCACCTAGGATCCTGGCCCATTTGGAAACCGCGTCATGGACATCAGAGGAGGTGACGAAGGTGTTCTGTAAGGCTGCTGCCGCGGCTCACCAATTGGTACATATTCCTCCGCGTCATACAATTCTGATTTGACACACTAAGAGATACCTAGACGAATTGCCTCTCCGAGATCCTCTTCGACGAAGCCATCGCTCGAGCCAAGGAACTGGACCAACACTTGCAAAAGACAGGCAAGCCAAAAGGCCCATTCCATGGTCTCCCAATCTCCCTCAAAGACAACTTCAACATTATCGGCAAAGACTCCACGGTGGGCTTCACCTCGCTGGTCAACGACCCCGCCACATACAACAGTACCCTCACAGATCTCCTCCTGCAAGGCGGAGCAGTGCTGTATGTGAAAACCAACGTGCCCACCGCGATGATGATCGCCGAGACGGTCAACAACGTCTTCGGCCGGACCGTGAATCCCCTCAATCGGAAGCTGACATCCGGTGGCTCGTCCGGGGGTGAATCGGCGCTTATCGCATTCGGGGCGAGTCGCATTGGCGTTGGAACCGACATTGGTGAGTGGCCTACTTTACCTAGCACTGAGCCAGTCCATAGACAGTGCTAACAGCGGCTTCAGGTGGCTCGCTCCGTATCCCAGCCGCTTGTACAGGTATCTTCACACTGCGGCCGTCCTTCGGACGATTCCCGAACCTCCAGACTCGATCAGGGCTGGCGGGCCAAGAAGCTGTGAACAGTGTCAATGGCCCTATGGCGACGACATTGGAGGAAATCACATTCTACTCCAAGACCGTCATCGACCAAGAGCCTTGGATCAACGACCCGAAGTGTCTTCCGATCCCGTGGCGTCCGGCGGAGCCAAAGCACCGACTCAGACTGGCTGTCATGTGGAACGATGGCATCGTCACCCCCACGCCGCCCGTAGCTCGGGCACTGAAAGAAACGGTCGAGCGACTGAGAAAGGCCGGTCATGAGGTGATCGACTGGGTGCCAACGGGACACCAGGCAGCGCGAGAGCTTTTGCATCGCAAGTTCGTTGCCGACGGTGGCAAGTCAGTGCGTGGGCTCCTGGCGCCGACGGGGGAGCCGTTCCGGGAGGAGATGCGAGACTACGAGAAGGCGACAGAGCTTGGGGTCCATGAAATGTGGCAGATCCATCTTGAGCGGAATACTCTGCAGAAAGACTATCTTCACCGATGGAATGCGAGCGGAATTGACGGAATTCTCTGTATGAAACTATTTGCCTTCTGGCTCATACTCTTGGACTGCATCCGCTAACTGGTTTCCCGTGAACAGGCCCAACAACTCCATACAGCTCCGTGGAGCACGGTAAGTTTGCGTATGTGGGATACACTGGAGTGTTCAATGTCCTGGACTACTCGGCTGTCTCCTTCCCTTGCGGTGTGACGGCTAGTAAGGCTTTGGATGCGTCGTATCACGGCCACAAAGCATTGAGTGATGTAGACGCCAGGATACAGCATGATTGTACGTACATCCGACGGTTATCCTTCAAAACAGACCATACTAACCCCGAGTTCTAGATAACGCTGCCGCAGTTGACGGGATGCCGGTCAGTCTGCAGTTAGTCGCACGGCGACTCGAAGAAGAAAAGGCCCTGATGATGACGGGCGTGGTACTGCAAGCCGTGTCTACCGGCTGGAAGTCCAAACTATAATATCCCCGGGGTGGAACTGTATATAGTTGCCAATGGAGACATTAGGGCCATGAACATACACTTGGCTTATGCGTGATAATCGCTCCTCGACCACACAAAAGCAACGCTCCCCAACATCCCCCACATAAGTACAACCGCCACCCAATATAAGCCAAGAGGCACATGCACAGCTCCCCCACAGCCGAACATCCAGCACAAGATACTACGTAGCTAGTTCCCTAGCGTCCTCTCAGGAGTCTAGCGTCGGCAACCAAACCCCAAAAAGCCCGACCTGCACGCTCACTAAGCCCTAAGAAGCAAAAGTAGCACAACCGCCCCGACAAACCGCCAGCGCTAACGAAGCCCTAGCGCAGTAGCAATTTCAGAATCGTTGCAATAGCCCCTGGTATATCTAAGGAGCAGCCATTGAGCATGCCCAACCTACACCGTGACTCACAAACCTCCCTGCTTCGTCCAATCGCCGACCCTCGTTCCTGTCGGCTTCTCCCGGATGCTCATTGCTCGGGCCTCCCGGCGCTTTTTAGCCTCATTCGCTTCCATTCTGGGCGGATTTGAAATGAAGCTTGGTGGTCAGGTTACGTTGGGAAGACAACTGTCGGCGCGCGCACATGTGTCTGCTGCGCCTGGATGGGGGCTACCGGGGTCGCTTACGTTCTGGACGTCTTTCCTGGGTCTAGATTATAAGAGGGGGTGTTTTGGTAGTTTCTAGTTTTTTTTTTTTTTGTTCTTTCTGTTCTGTTCTGTGCTTCTACGTTCCTCTGCTTGGTTCAACTTCTTGCTGTACTGACCCTTTTATGCATGACTCGAAGACCACTGAATTTCCTATAAAACGAGTGTTCTGAGCCTCTCATATCATCCCATACCATATAAACCAAACCAAACAACTCCTAAGAAAAATATCCAAAGATGCACCTCAAAACCCTCCTCCTCACCCTAACCAGCACCGCCCTGGTGCTCGCCGACGACAAAGCCACCACCGCCCCCTACTTCGGGGCGGAGGTATCCATCTGGCAGCCGACCTACTCCGGCATAGCAGGCAGCGTGGCGGGGATCAACGCGCGGGAAACCACCTACCACATCAGCTGCACGAAGGACGCGCCCAAGTCACTCTGCCAGATCGACAAGCCGTGGACGATGATCCAGGCCCAGGAATCCTGGAGCCTGGCGGGCGTCTACACAGCCTGGAGTAGCGAGAAGGACGCCGTGACGGCCACGCAGGACTACTCGTGCACGTTCAAGCACTGGTCGGAGTCGGCGTCGTGTGCGTTGACGGTGCAGGCCACGGGCACGTTGAATGGCGGGTCGTGGTCCAGCTCGACGTCGACTAAGATTAGTGTTGCTAGTGATAAGGTGACGACTTACGGGCTGTTGGTTACTGGGGGCGTGGAGTCGTTTACGATGCCCCAGGCGACGCAGACCCCTGGCGCGGCTGCGGTGGGTGTGCCCGTTGCGAGGGCGGTTGCCACTGGTATGCCGCTTGCTGGGGCGGCGGCTGTGGCTGTTGCGGCGATGTTTTAGGGGTGTGTGGTGTTTAGGTTGGTGTTAACGTAGGTGTGGATGGGGAAGGGTTTATGGTGGAGATGGTGATGGGGTATAGCTTGTTCATGGCCATGTATATGAAGACGTGATCGTTCTATGAATATTAATGTGCTTTTTATATACCCGCAAATATTGACAATAGAATTATAAACAAGTCCCAAGTATTGTTCACCCTGGCTGGATCACCAAGCTCGGGCTGTGATTTACGGTTCAGAGACAGGCTCGTTCTGCCGAGATTGGGTAAGGGGTTGCTTCTCCTTCAGCCCGGTCTTGGTCTCAACGTGTTCCACGCTGAGGTGCTGGCGGGTGATGAGGAGACTGAAGATGAGTCCACACGCGCCTAAAGAGGTGTACAGGATCCAAATATTGCGCATGCTCCAAGCGTAGGCGTCCTTGACGACGCTTCGTTGCAGTGTATCCGAGATGGTCTGGATGACCATCACGTTGGCCGCGGCCTCGGATCCGGTGAGCTCCTTCACGATGGAGTCAGAGAGGCCCGTTGCCAGGAGGTCGGATTGCTGCGTGTCCATGCCATTCTGGAAAATCACCCCACCCAGCACCACCGACATGGCCATGGCCATATTCCGGATGAAGCCGAAAGTTGCCGTCGCGGAGGCGTTTTCGTCCTGCGCTATATTGCTCTGGAGGGCCAGGAGGGGCGGGAAGAAAAGCAAGCCACATCCTGCACCGGCCACAATCTGATAACAGATAATTTTTGCAAGCGAGGAGGTAGCGTTGAAATCGATGAGCAGGCCACTTCCCAGCAGTACAAGTGCGGTTCCGGTCCACACGACTTCGAGATAATGACCCGTGCGGTGAATAATAACTCCCGCAGCAAGACTTATGGCTGCTTCTGCCAAGACATATGGGAGAAGCAGAAGACCAGAGTGGAAAGGGGACGCTTCCTTGGCTGACTGGAAATACAGCGGGAGATAGTATTCTTGTCCGAGGAATGCCTTCAGACCGTCAGTGTCAGGTTAGACCGAAGGGTTACAGTCTGGATACTCACGAAGCCATGTGTAAAAGCCACGATGAAGCAGGCCATGTTAGAGCGGTTCTTGAAGATGCCCAACGGCATAAGCGGATACTTTGCCAGGCGTTTTTCACTGTAAATGAAGAACAGAGACATCAGGCAGCCGAAAACAATGAGACAGATCACTTTCGGCGAACTCCAAGGAAAGGTGGCTCCTCCGAAGTCCAGGCCCAGCAAAACCATAACCGTCAGCCCAAGAATGGAGAAGCTACCGAACCAATCGACGGCTTTGATGCCCTCCAGGACCCCAGTCTTCGGATTGTGTATATCCAGGAAGAACAGGATGAGCACAAATGCCGTTCCACAAATAGGCAGATTGATCCAGAATATCCATCTCCAGGAAATGGACTGGGTGAAGGCACCACCTACGATGGGGCCTAAAGCTCCGGCAATGGCCCAGATAAATTCGACGAGGCCCATGAAAAGGCTGCGAAGTCTGGAGTTTGTCAGTATTAAGTGCAACACTATTTCGGAGAGAGTCATGAATACCGGACACTGAAGAGGTCAGAAATGGTGATGGTAATCATTTGAATGATCCCACCACCCGCGATACCTTGGACACCACGACCTGCAATCAGCATAGGCATGTTGATAGCTTTGGCACAGATGATTGAAGCCCCGAAGAACAAAGCAACGGCCGCGAGAAGAATCGGCTTGCGCCCCCAGATGTCGGATAGGTTGGCCCAGATGTTGGAGCTAGCTGCGTTGGCAATCAGATATGCGCCACCAATCCACACATAGCCTGTACCCGAGTGCAGCTCCGCAGAGATAGTTGGCGTTGCGGTAGCTACAATAGTCTGATCAAGAGCAGAAATGAAAAGGCTGAGCTGGACTGAACGTCAGTTACCGGTGCTTTTGATATCTGCAACTGGTGTAGGATAACATCTCACTGAAAGGGCGAGCATAATGGCGACGATTCTCCAGTTGCTGCGGGGCTCGTCGGTCGAGACTGGCTCCTGCAGCTCATTCTGTGGTGAGGAAGCTAGTCGACCCATCTCGAATCCGTCATTGCTGCGATTGAGTTCACTCCCATTGTAGGGCTCGGGAATGTCCAATTCTAGTACTTCATGACTATGAACGGGCCTCTGTGCAAGATCACCGTTGGACGAAGAGTCGGTAGACAGCGCCATCACGTAAGTCGAACAGGCCGAAGGTCCGTGATTCTGTGCAGTTTTATTCAAATCAGGAATAGGAGGAGCTGGCAAGAGGAAGAAAATCGGCGCATAGGAATGTTTTCAGTTGGATTGAGTCATGTTTGTCATGTTTATCCGGGACCTTTTACCCGGCAATTCAATGGATTTGATTGGTCGGGCGGGTAAATCATACAGCTACATCACATATAAAACCCCTTGCAGCGAGGCTGACGAGAATAAAATTCAATAGTGGCTTATATCTTTAGAAAGTTCAACTAACTCCGATGATCTATTATACCCATACCGGTATAGCCGTGTATGATCCCATGTCTAGCTTTCCATAAGTTTGCCTGAAAAGACGACAACCAGCAAAGAAAAAGGACAAATCCGCAAGGGTGAGTGAGAGACTTCGCGACGCTAAAACCAAGTGATCCAGAACAAATCCGACATGCGTGGGAGAGACCATCCAACCTAAATTGGCTCGTCCCGGGGCTCAACAAGGACTTCATTAACCGAGACATGTTCGGGCTGACGCAAGGCGTAAACAATCGAGTTGGCAATATCCTCTGGGTCAAGAATCTGAGCCCCAGATGGCTCGCCGTATTTCTTCACAGCTTCAGCATCCGTAGACATGTTGAGAAGGGGGGTCGATGTGTTTCCGGGCTGGATGCTGGTCACGCGCAAGCCGGTGCCCGCTGTCTCCAGTCGGAGGGCCTGGAGCGTAGCCTCGACGAAGAACTTGCTGGCGGAGTAGACACCAAGGCCCGGGAAGACTTTGCGGCCAGCATCGGAAGAGATGGCAACAATATGACCGCGGCTACGGGCGAGCATGCCCGGTACGGTGGCAGAGAGACAGTGTAGGAGACCCTTGCAGTTGACATCGACCGTGCGGTCCCACTCATCGGTCTTCACATTCGCCATCATGGTGAAGTACATCACGCCAGCACACGAAACAAGGATGTCGACGGGACCCAGCTCTTCATTCGCCGCACTAAGAAGAGCTGCAACCTGTGCACTGTTCGTCACATCGGTTGGTCGCGCGATCACCTTCACTCCATGGGCCGTCATTCGACTCTTAACCGATTCGAGGGCGTCCACCCGCCGAGCAGCAAGGGCGACGTGGCAGCCTTCGCGAGCCAATGCCACCGCCACAGCGGCACCAATGCCAGAGGATGCACCGGTCACAACGGCCACCTTTCCGTGGAGCGGACCCCTCGGCTTTGGTGAGCTCGCCAGGGCATGCTGCCGGGAGGGAGGCCGGGTCAGCCATCCTCGGGCGAACCAGTGACGGGTATAGGTTTCGAGCAAAGCCCGGCCCACCTGGGGTCGGTCCAGAGCAGCCAGGGACGGCTGGGTCGCAGCATTGTTGAGCACGACAATGCCCTGGAGGAAGTCAACGGTAGGCATGCCACTGCGGAGGATATCGACGGTAAACGCGCCATCGCCGCCCTTCACCGGGCCTCGTTTCTGAGTCCACAGCGCTACCCAATCATCCCAGCTGAGTGGTTGCGTGGGGTATCCGAGCTCTCGAAGTTCCGCGAAGACGGAGTTCATGCTGAGCGGGCTGGGATCGCCCAGATGGAAAACGGTTTGGTCGGCGTGAGTCTGGGTAGCCAGGTGGACAATGGCCTTGCTGACGAAGTCCACAGGGGTCATCTCCGCCCGCCAGCCATCCACATCGGGAGCATATCCGAGATGGATAGACTCGACGATCAGAGCAGTGAGAAGATCCCACGCGTTGGCGGCACCGGTAGCGCTGTGGCCACTGATAGTACCAGCACGGTGGATTTTCACCGGCAATCCCCGACGAGCCGCTTCAAGAACAAGCTGCTCGGCGACCCACTTGGTCTGCCCATACCCATCCAGCAGCTTGTCGGGCACTTGGTCGACATCCAACAGGGCATCCTCGGGCCAGCCAGACTCCCCAGATGACGGCAGCACACCGTTTGTGGAGACGTACTGCACGGTTGCGCCTCCTTTGCAGGCCAGACGGAGCACCTCTCTGGTACCGCCCACGTTGGGGCCGCGCAATGCAGCGTATGGGTACACCAGGTTCACGGTTGCCGCAGCGTGGACCACAACCTGGACACGACTTGCGAGCTCGTCGAACGCGTCCGGGGAAAGGCCGAAACGGGTTCGAGAAAGGTTACCAGGGAGAATCTCGACCCGCTCCATGATCGAATCGCGCCATAAGCCCAAATCCAAGAGGTTCCGGCGGATACGAGCAATACCTCCGGGCTGGTCGTCGTTGGCGGGTTCATTAAATCGTACCAAACAGATAATCCGGGCAGAGGTGTGCTCCACTAAATCATGCAGAAGGAACGCTCCCAAAAAGCCGGTCACACCAGTCAACAGCACGGTATCCGCCTTGTCAATAGGACAAGCTGTGGCCGTGGAGGGCGTGATCTCATCATCCAGGGTCGCATCAGCACGCAAGACCGCCGGAAGATCTGCTTGCACAGCGGCTGTGTGCCCATCCCGGATCGCCCGGACGACTTCCAGGTGGCTCGTCAGCGTCGTGTTCTCTGCAAGACGGGTGATTGGCACGCGGAAGCCAAAATGCCTCGATAGCCGGGAGGATAGGTCGGCCAGAGACAAGGAGTGTCCACCAAGGTCAAAGAAGTCATCACTGGGCTTGAGAAGGGTGCGTGACGTTTTCAGAACGGCGGCCCAGATGGATGCAACCTCATCCAGCTTAATCGAGTCTTTCACTGGTTTGGGCCCATTGCCATTGACTAGCTGAGGGCTCTGCGGTGGCGGGAGGTTTTTCAGATCGACTTTGCCCGTAACTTCATGGGTAGGCAGGTCTTCCAGCTCAACCCAGAGAGCCGGAATCATATAATGGGCCAAGTGCGGTGCAAGAGTGCGGCGCGCCGCTGGACTGTGACCGGAATCATTGATTTCTACTTCGGGGCGATCCTCCGACTTTTCTTGCTCTCGCACAATATACGCGACCAACTGACGCTCCAGGCCTTCTCCATAGGCCACGACCGCGCAGCGAGAGACCGCCAAGTGCGTGACAATTTCATATTCCACTTTCGCCGGTACGACGGAGTACCCGCGCAATTTGATCATCGCACCCACACGTCCAGTGATTTCGAGCAGTCCCGACGGGAGTAGTCGGGCAATGTCGCCGGTCCGGTACAAGCGGGAGCTGGGATTCGAGTCGAAAGGATTTGGGATGAATGCTTTGGCAGTCGTCTCCGGGAGATTCAGGTATCCCCGGGCGAGTTGGGGACCTGCCAGAAACAGCTCTCCACTCACGCCCACGTCCACCTTCTGCAGGGACTCGTTCAAAACGTACGTGTTCTCGGGGTCAATGGGGGGACCCACGGGGCAATACAGCGCGTCACTGTCGATCTGCTGCAACATCTCTCGGATATCCCCGCAGGCGATCTCATGCGTTTCACAGGCGCTATAGCAATTCAACAGCCGCGTCTGGGGAAACGCTTTACTGGCTCGCCGGGCCAGATCCGTTGTCACGACTTCCCCGTTGAACCACAACGTGCGCAGATCCGGTAACCGATCACCTACGTGGGGGTGCCGGGCAAGAACCGTAGCCAAGAGGGTGGGGGTCATCAGAGTTTCCGTAACTTTCTTTGCTGCCAGCAGGTCGACCAGCGCCGCAGGGTCATAACTTGCATCATCTGGCACCGCAACCACGGTGGCACCGCGCAGCAGGGGACGCAAGATCTCCCAGACAAAGAAGACATTACAGGCTACCCGGTCTCCCTGTTGCAAGTCTGACACGCCAAATCTCAGGTTATAGGAGAGCACTGCGGCGCGGTGGGGGTTGGCAATGCCTTTCGGCTTGCCTGTGGTTCCAGACGAATATGATACAAATGCGAGGCGATCCAAGTCGTCGTCTGCCGGGAGGGGAGAGGGCTCGGGAACATGTCCATTGGCCGTGGAGGCCGGCTCATCCTGGATGATCACCGGCACGCTGGCTTTGATCTTGCCCACCTCTGCCCGGTTTGTGATGACGACTGTGGGCCTGCCATCCTCAATCACATCGGCCAGGAGACTAGGGGGATAGGCCAGCTCGAGCACCAAAAATGCGCCACCCGCACGGAGAGCCGCCAGACAGGCAACGACGTAGTCCGCACTGCGTGGTAGCAGTACCCCCACGAGACTGTCCCGACCGACTCCATAGCCACGCAGGCGACGAGTCAAGGTCTCGACCTCTTGATCTAATTCCGCATAGGTGTAGGTGGTCTTTTCATCCTCCAAGGCAATGGCATCCGGCGTCGTCTGGACTTGTTTTGTGAAGAGCGCAGAAAGGTCTTTAGAGGTATCAATGATCGACATGGTATCGTTATATCGTTAGACAAGGAGGGGAAATTTGGGAGGATGACGAGGATAGAGAGGATAGAGGAAAGAGGATGGAGGAGAGAGCAATCTTCAAGGCATCAAGCGGTTGAAAGGACAGAGTATTTAAGTTGACGGTTGTGAGCTCTGGGAGTCAGTGAACTGGTTGTTAGTCACTGGTATTCCTAAGCGTGGATGGAAAAGAAGGCAAGGTGCCGGGATGATAAAGAAAAGAAACTCACAGGTGTCCGTTGCCTTGGTCGCAGAACAAGAAATTCCATTGGGACACGAGGGAGGGACAACTATTTGGGGGACTGAGACCAATGGCTTGCTTTCCTTTCTTTTTTTTTTCGCTTCCGTGGATAGTCTTAGCATAGTGGGGGTGGACGACAATGATATCGATCGTTTATTGATTATTTTCTTATTATTTTTCCATGCTTTTCAGGCCAAAGTTCAGGCTTCCCGGGTTCCGATACCCAGACGGGTTAGACAGCTCTCAACACGCTAAACAGGGGTTCATTTGCACCACTCATAACGGTCAGCACACCTCTCGCAACCCTACTTTGAATGCATCTTGCAAGGTACAGCCCTCACTAGAACAATCCGTCTCCATCTGTAGTGCCAACTATAAACCCCCATCCTGAACGTTGCATCGTATAGCCTCCTCTCTCTTCTTTTCGAGGCAACCGACACCCCCCTCTATCGATATGCCGATCCACTGCCCGGATGGAGCCTCTTCCCCGTGGACTAACCGCCGTGGACTCTGGAGAGCCTCCACTCCGATTTAATATCTTACCCACTTTGTCTCTTGTCGTTTTCTGGCCCACTTTCACATGCTTCCAGTCGATTTGCTTTTAATACTCTTGTCCAAATCGGTTCGATTCCTCTCAACATTTTTGCTGCGAGCTGTCGGGAAGCTTCAAGCCAAGAAGGGTACACAATGTCATTGGCTACAGCTTGGTATCCTGACCCCGATTGCCCTGGATCCTGTCTGGGACTCTGTCGGTACCTGGCATAGACTTACTCCGGAGTACTATGTGCTATAGTCCACCTCACAAAGGGTAACCTTTTTCTGTTCAACACTGCGACTTTCTACTGTAAATTATTTACGGGTTCTCCCATGTTCTCTTTAAGTATAGCCAAAAGTGACGAGTGATCCAGGCTAACATCGACGACGCGGGACTTTTTCGCCCATGTTGTCCAGAACTGGACCCCCTTATCGCACGTGCCGATAGCGGTGGTCTCTGCTCCTGCGACCTTTCCTCTTCAGGCCAGCGGTGTCGCGTGCGTTGAGTCACGTGAGTCATGCTTACCTCACCCACACTGGCCAATCAGCAGCGCTTAATTTTGGTCAGGGGCAGAGAGACCCGCGCGATCACATGTGAAATTTAAATACGAAAATGAGCAGCCTCTAGAGACAAACAAAACATCGCGATGGATTCATCTTGTTCTAGTGGATTCCAACCACTTCGACATGAATCATGTTGGGATTGTTAGGAACATGCTAGCAATGGTTGGGCTTAGATGGTCTTCATTGGGAAAAAGCGCGTATAGCCGACTCCCAATAACCAAACAAAGGCTATATCCCAGACATGAGCAGGCGTGATGTGATATCACCGTGAAAGAGAACATCATGAGTTCTAGGTACTAGGTCTGGGCTGTCGAGTGCTTGTCACCAATGACTAGCAATGTCGGTATAGGTACATAATTTACGCTGCTTCATCTGGGTGAGAAATATATGTTGATAGAGGCGTGTGGGCAAAATATATAACCAGGTGTAATGAGATATCATAGAGGATTTACTATCCAGCCGATGCTGGTTTGTTGGCTGGATAAAGATATATAGACAAAACAAAGGCAAATAATGTCTAGTATTGATGCAAAAGGAGAATTACTGGGGCTTGAAAGGGTACACTCTCGTGCTCTAGAAGCATACAAAAAAAACAAAAAGTAGGAGTTACTCGGTATCCTGAAAGCCTCTATAAAACTACCGCAATCGTCATAACTACAGTACCTGGACTCTTTGAGCTCCGTAGCCAAAATATAGACTGATGGGGACCGAGAAATATGCTATGCAAATGTATCGAATTGGGTACAGTCGTTCACTATAGCTTCCATAGTGGTGCAAGTTCGGCATCGATAGGCCATTTGACGAAGTATATTGATAGCTTGGAATCGGAAAAGAAAAAGCATCTTCTTTGTTATTCTAGACGCTTGACGATTTATATATCGACTCGCCGAAACTATCGTACCATGACTGCCAGATTGAGCCTGTGCAGGTATGCTCTGTAAAGAACACTTGATTACTTGACTAGGTAATGTGTATTTTGAGAGAAGCTTCGAACAAAGAATGGTAGACCGGCTAGTGAGAACATGAAAGATGTTTAGTGAGAGACTGTGATTCTCCATGGCCTTGGCATGAGCTTCTCATAATGGGCTTCAGAGCTTTTTCAACATGCATCTCCACCGTAATTCTTCTAACTGGTGACATGGTATGTAGAATCAATCGCCGTGCGACCTTCAATCTGATCCTACTGCCTTCGGCAGTGTTGCGAGTTGCAGTCGTCTCGGTGAGCTCATTTAGGACGAAGTAATATCGCCCGTGAGTATCAGGTCGCGAGGCACTGCCAACCCTTTTTCGTTTGCGTGGGCCGATGCGACAGGAAGATGGGCTTTAAACATCTGCCTCCCGGGAAATAGCAGATTGGTCGTGAGAAAGTAATCGAGCGCCCTCATTGTCAGATTAAATACAGCTGGAGGCTGTAGCCCTTCGTAATGGCCTGGGACGTCCACGCCTCCGTTTATCTTGTTGGCCCATTTAGTAAAAAAGTTCGAATGGTCCGTCTCTGACGCATTCAGTGACCAGTTCTGGTCAGGGGTCATCGTGAGCCCGATCAGGTTGGGTCGCGCCTGGGTGCCAGCTGTCCACTGGCCTTTGGCCTTCCAAGACAAGGTAGCGGAGACCGCTCCACTCTTGGGCGGCGAAGCCCACTCAGTTGCCTTGTAATTCACACTCCACTCGCTGGTCTCCGGCTTGCTTTTATAGCTGACGAGTATGGCGTCCTCGCTTGACGTTGTGATACCAGGCTTCACAGTCACGGTGGCTGGGGGTGTTGTTACCGTAAAGTTGAACCCGTCATAATGGGTAATTTCGGTTTCTCTGTAGTCGATGTCCTTTTTTGTATCCTGGGCTGGGATTTTAACGCCTGGGTGTTTAAGGCACCCAGTAAATTCCATGCCACCTGTGAACAGGAATGTCACACGTTAGCTCGTTTTAGAGGCATACTTAGGACACACGGTGTGGCTTACCTGTCCCCGGGAACGAAGTGACTTTGACATCATCTAAAAACCCTTCCAAGTTTGGCTGGATGGAACTTGGGTGTCAGCAGTCATATCTGCCGGTGAATGGGGAGATGGTGCATCGCATACCTTGAGGAACAGGCCTGCCATGATGTCGTGACTAAATATGATGCTTGCTGATGTCTGGCTAGGGATCGGAGACCTGTAGGTAGTACCACCCGGTTGAAATGCCAGTGTCGTCATCCCACTAGGCTGTAGGCCATTTTTATGTCCTCCTTCCACACCGATCCACATTGAGAGGAAGCCAGGAGTGCCGTCTTCGTCTTTTGGCGTTACAGTGAAGCAGAATCTGGTCGGCCGAATCGCGATCATGCTTGGATCGGTGTCATACCCAGCGACCCCAGCGATAAGGTATTCTTGTGTACCCTGCTGCAAGTAGTTCCTGAGGCCATCCCTCAGGGCGTCTTTTGCAGCGGATGATATCTTTCCCCCTTGAGGTTGGAAATGGACTTCTGGCTCTTTAAGCGACAAGTAGACCCCCCGAGCGGAGTTTAGTTGCACATCTGTGGCATTGTTTGGGCCCGATCGATGGCTTGACGGAGATGCGATGAACTGACCGTTGCCACCCGCCTTGTTTAATGCACCCAGCACATTATAAAGCTCGGCGGCAATGGACGCTTGGTATCCATCGGGAAGCTGGTTGACTGAACCCGAAGATGAGGCATGTCTTTTGTAGGTGCCAGTGATTGTGAAATCCAGCTTTGCTCTCCCATGTTTGCCAATGAACTGTAGCTTGGGACTACGCAGTTTAATATCAAACTCATATTCACGGGCCACCACTTGGCCGCTGTCGTCTTCATCATGACCTGTACCCCTGAAGGGAGGTAGACTCTCTATCGCTGAGATCGGATGGGCCTCGAGGAAGTCGTTAATCTTGTCTTCATCGTACGATACAACGACATCCCAACCGTGGGTCGTGTCCTTCCCCTTCATGCTCTCCACAAGGACATTAAATTGGTCCCTCTTCATCTTGACGGAGTAAACGCACGGCGAGATGCTAGCGAGATGCTTTTGCAACGGGGTTGAAGGTTATAAACAGGGTTAGGTCCCGTTCACAGCGGCAGTGGTTATGCGGACACCTCTATGGGCCAGACCAACGCTATTATATGAGACCAAGCTAGAGCCTGAAAGTGGCGGTAGACCTACTGTACGAACCTCTCTCTCGATCTTGTGGAGATGTAAGGCAACTATGCTGAGCCCCCTAGTCCCTTGCAAGTAGTGCGTGAGTGAGAGAGGCTGCCTGGTGTGTTGGGAGCAGCTACCGAGGCTGCAAGTGCCCCAGCTGAGGTTCCATCGCGTTGTTGGATCGTCGTCCTGGTTGCAGATCGCCAGGATCAGCGATGGGGGCCAAATAGACCAGCTGGAAAGATTACACCCAATCCCACGCTGAGTGATTGTGTATTCTTTTGTATTTAGCTTTCTAGCCCATGTATCGAGTTCAGCTGTCATGCATGTTGTTGTATAGGTGGGTCTAGTGCAGATGTGTTGGCTCCACCCCACGGCACGAACCGTGACAAAAGTCATATAACTATACCCCCACTATGTGCGTACTAGATGTAGTAGCTAGCTGAGCCAACAATTTACTGAGAGCCGTCGCGGTGGCTGCCTAGAAGAGCATCGTTACGTTGCGAAGTCGTATTTGCTGGCGGACCACCCTGTTTGGGGGGATCGACACAGTATCCAGCTCTCATGGAGGGGTTGCTGCGCGATTTACTCATACGCATTGCTCAGCTCATCACTCGGAAGAGAAGGAAGGCGATCCACAGACAGGGACATGATATACCACCTCATACACCAGCTACTCATCCCTCCCCTGGGTTTCTGATCAAGTGAACCTTTCCCGGCTTCTCATACCTTCGCTTAACCTGGAACTTGCGATACGGTACTCCGAGGAGCACCCAGCAATCGAATATGGCATCCCGTCATATTCCTACCGGAACATTCCTGAAAGACGAAACCAAACATGTGACTGTGTTCCTCGACGCCTCGGACGAGGGATACTCTATCGATCAGGAGTTTAGTGTCTCAACACCAGTCGGTCTGGTGTATGCTGAAAGGGTGAGGCTCAAGGGGTCAATCAAGCTGAGTGGCAAGAAATTAGGACTCTTCTGCACTGAACTGGAGATCGCACCTGATACTACCATCGATGTGTCGGGCACCCAGGGAGAGCCCGGGATAGGGGAAGGAACGAATGGAGGCAATGGCGGTAATGCAGGTGAACTTTGCATGGTGGTGCAGCGCGCTACAGTATCCTCCCTAAAAACACTCAACATCAAAGCCTACGGAGGCGACGGTGGCCGGGGGGGAGATGCCACCGCTTCGAGTGGAACTGGAGGCAAAGGCGGAAATGGGGGAAATGGAGGTATTTTGAATCATCCAGCGCTTGCTCTTTCCCCCCAAACTCGGAATGGCGAATTAACAATTCCTTTGTGACATAGGAACCGTTCACATTTTCTATGGGAGCGACTTGAAGCTCGCGGTCCTAAAGGTGGAAAGCTTGAAGACGGCGCCGTGGCGATTCCAACTTCCCACGTTGCTCGAAGCTTCATTCCGTGGAAATCTGACGGCCGACGAGCTTTCTCTACTGGAGGGTTATGAGCGACTTGCTGCCACGCTAGCCAACCTGCTCGAGCCTTTAGACCGTCTGGCGGCAATATCCGGGGGGGCGGAGGACGTGAAGGCTTCTATCCAGAACCTTCTCGAGTCTCAAGATGCTCCTACAATGGCCTTACCACCAGTCTTAACTACTCTAGAGAGCCAAGTTGAACGTCTGGGAAACCTTGCGTCCAATCCCACACAGACGGAAGTCGATTCGATTGTCACAGGTATTGCTGATGCTGTGGGGACGATTGAAATCAGCCGCGAATCCGAACTTCGGGAACTTGTCAAAGAACTTGCTCTTAGGTTGAGAAGTGAAGTGAAGGAAGGGGAGTATGAGGTGAAATGCCAAGTGAAGAAATCCGCCGGTGAGCCCTGGAACGTCTTGATCGCCAGAACACCAGAGAGACTGATGATAATACAGGTGTTGGTGGCCAGGGAGGACGGAGTGCTGTCCCTCTGTCTGCACCCGGAAGTTTTGGGGAGCAGGGCCAAGTTGGCTCAGCTCAAGCCACTGATCTGACTTTCAACGGCGACCGCTCCGAGCTTGAGATCGGTCATGCTTTTGCGTCTCCAGACCAGAGCCAAATGCTACTGCAGGAGGCCAACCGGGCGTTCTTCTCGAACACCCCGGAGGAACAGAAAAGGGCATCGATGTTGTATGAGCGACTGATCCAGCGACTGAGCTTCCTCAAGGTCATCGACTTTGCCGGGGAATCCAACTTGGCGAAGGCTTATCGCCAACAAACCGAAGAATGGGAGCTAACCCTGTTCCCTGAAGCAGAGCTGCGATCAATTCTCAAGGAAGCAGCAAGTCATTTGAATCGCCTGATGCTTGGTCGCGACATGTGGGGGCATCACGCGAATTGGATCCCGCGGATGTCGGTCCAGTTCTATCATGAGGAGCTTGACAGGCAACTCCCGCTTCTTCGTGACCAGGAATCGATATTGGCTGATTACGAGAGTGCAAGAAAGGAGGCGTATGACAGCCAACGTTTAATCCGTAACGGCATCGAGTCCATGGACAAAAAGCTGTCGGCTGCAAGTGATCAGATCGCCCGGTTGACTGTAACCAACGGGCCTCTAGCCTCATCGATTGATACCATTAATGCAGTGACTCCGCGCATGAAGACGTCAAAGTCTGATATTTGTGAGAAGCTGAAGAATGTCACCCCTAAACCCCAGGGCCCACCGATCAAAGAGATGAAGATGATCCTAGAGGCTCTAACGACGCTTGCGGCGGCGAAAGCAGATGTGGGATCCATTGCCAAGATCATGAAACTGGGCCTTCGGGAGTGTCAGGCCTTTGACGATGTTGAAAACGTCGACGGGAAAAGTGTCAGCAAAGAACTACTCGTCAAGCAGATCGCAACATGTGGGGACAATCTTGCCTCGTTGAAGGATGCCTACAAGATGAATGCCGACCGTTCCATGACCCTTGAGAGCTCCGAAAGCCTGATCCTAACCACCAAGGCGAACATCGAAAAGTTAGTCAAGGACTACAGCAATCTCTTCCCAGACGAATGGCGGGCAGAGTTGAGTTCTGATCTCAATGCCTACGTTGCTTTGGTCCAAGCAAGGAACGAGGCTCTCGTGGAATATAACTCCACTCTCCAACTTTTGCTACAAGCCGCTGCAGAGAAAAAGCATTCTACGGAACAGTTAGGCAAGCTGAGACAGGAGGGACTGGAGTTTAATCGCCGCCTACCACTCTTCGTTCACTGGCAGCGGAAATGCTGCAACAGCTTAAGATTCAGTATCATGCGAAACCTCAATTACCAGAGCCGGGCCATCCGATACTGGGGCTTACAGCAGAACACCGTTATGGCCGATTCTATGCCATTGCAAACGTACAGCTTCCTCAGTGCGAGACGGGAACAGCTTCTCCAGTCCTTCAACCAATGTCTCGAAAACTATGCCGGCGGCATCCGCAGCACCTGGCCTCAAAGCCCTGCGCAGGGGCTTATGCGGAAACTCACGCCCTCAGAGCTCCATGATCTGAAAAGCACCGGCTCGGCATACATACATCTCCATCCCAGCACAGATGATGAAACCTTTGGGGATCAGATCGACATCCGCCTTCAACAGGTGCGACTTTGGCTACCTGGTGCAGAAAAAAGTCCTGAGTCCATGGGACGCAAATTGCTCACAGTTTATTTAACTCATCTGGGAGAGTCGATTATTCAGGATAGCAATCACTTGAACTTCGCTTTCTTTCATGACACGGTCAAGGTTATGTTCAAGTATGATGCAGCCAAAGTGCTGACCCGCGGCGATATCCACAGCGACCATGTATTCAATCAACAATTATTGGAAGGTACCCATGACAGAAGACAATTCACAGGCCAGGGCAGTATTGCCGCCATTGGGCCATTTGCGTGGTGGAAAGTTGATGTGCCCCGTGGAGGGGTGAATCAAGACCTGAATCTCGATGGAGTGACGGAGGCATATTTGGAATTTCACGGGACAAGCCGCCCACCACGGTGAATCAGAATACTCAATAGCTTTCGAATCATGCGATATGAGTTCGTTCATGATGTGTAGCTAATGGCTAGCAGCCAAATTGGTATTTGTGTAATGTGGCCCGCTTCGTTTCATGTAGCAGATGTTGGTTCCATGTCATCGGCGGAAGAAAGTGGACCTTGTTCTCTCACGAAGTAGCACAGAATAAGCGAGTAAGCTAGAAACCATGAGTGGAAATGAATCAGAAACTATAATACGCTTTCCACAAAATGGCTCAGTCTATACTGAGTGACGGCCGCTCGAGGAACGCCATGTAGATCAAATCAAAACAGACACAGTAGCCTATGTTAGGTCTTCTCGGCAATGAACCATAGTAGCCTATCACCTGGAAGGATATTACGATAAACTGATACTCCCAATTACCAGTTCAGTGTTACGTGTTCCCACTGAAAGGCACTGCGAAAAGTGGAGCCTACCTGCACGATGTAATATGTATATGGGATCGTCATTCAGCTGCCAGAGTGGGGGAGCTGACGGTGGATCCTTGTTAGGGTTTGCCTAGGCAGCTGAGAGACGGCAGACAAGTACTTATAGCATCGTGGAGCAGTTGGTGTGCTCTCAGATTCTGTTCCTGTCTTTGCTCCTACATCTGCTACACACTCTGTTCATTTCTTTACAAACCGCACCTTTCACACCCCAAAGAGCGAGCGCCCTACATCATCAACAATGATCAGATTGTTAGACACAGAGACAAAAAGGCTCGTGCCCCCCAAGGTTCAAGACATCCCTGAATACGCCATCCTATCCCATCGATGGGGCCTCGAGGAAGATGAAATCACATTCGACCAGATCAATCAGGAAATTCATGACGATAAAATGACCGAGAAGCCCGGATACAAAAAGATAACGAACTGCTGTGAGCTCGCCAGCAAGGTTGAGCTGAAGCATGTCTGGGTTGATACATGCTGTATCAATAAGTCCAATCCCGGAGAACTCTCAGAAGCATTGAATTCCATGTTCCACTGGTATCGCAATGCACAGGTCTGCTATGCTTACCTGGCAGACGTAGAACCCGGTGATGACCCATTTAAGGATGGATCTCAATTTCGGAAAAGTGCCTGGTTCCAGCGAGGATGGACATTGCAAGAGTTGTTAGCGCCACTGTATGTCGTATTCTTCAACAAGAAATGGGAGGAGATCGGGACCAAAGCTAGCCTCCATCCAGTCATCACCCAGATTACTGGGATTCCAGCAGAGGTTCTTTTGATGAACTGTGCAGGCGAGGTTAGCGTGGCCGAACGTATGTCATGGGCTGCTAATCGAACAACGGCGCGAGTGGAAGACCAGGCGTATTGTTTGATGGGGCTGTTCGGGGTCAGCATGCCAATGCTGTATGGGGAAGGCGAGAAAGCGTTTGAGCGGCTGCAGAGGGAGATCCTTAAGGTGTCGGACGATCAGTCCATCTTTGCATGGACTAGAGATGATCCTCATAGCCCGAGCGGGCTTCTGGCCAGATCACCTCATGATTTCAGAAGGTCGAAGGGCATACATCAGTTGCGCGACTCACTGCCGTACAGTATGACCAACAAAGGCCTGCATATCACTCTGCGTCTCCTCCTTGATGACTCGTCAAAATCTGGTATGGCGGCTCTGAGCTGCGGGCGTGATAACAAGCCATTCGTGATCCGCCTGGAAAAGCCCCCCGGGGCTGGAGACGACACATTTGTCCGGACTAACCTTCACGAGACCTACGAAGAGCAGGACATGTCCAGCTTTATAGACAAAACGATCTACATCACAGAAACCGACCCATCAAGGTTCAAGATAACCGAGTGGATGAGGCCGGAGTCACGATATACCTTTGTGGTTCACCGTCCCCCTCCCGCAAACCTGAGCAGCTCTTCCCACCCCGAGGTGAGCTGGACGTCGAGCGAGAAAACCATTGAATTGACGTCCTGGCGTAGCGGACATGCTGGCGTGCTTCTCTTCAGTGACAATGACGGTGGCAACAACAACCCTTACAAACACCCTGGCAACAACACTGGCAAGAAGAGCGACAGGAAGAAACATATGGCGATCCTCATTGGCGTGCATAACTACAATGTATGGTGCGATATTGTAGATGATGTAGATGACTCGGAGGATGTTTTCAGGGCGGTTTGGGATAGGTATTGCAACACCGGGGGACGGGACAGGCGGTGGCACAACCTGGATCGCCAAAGGTTACTTGATAATCAAGGACAGACGAAGGCATCCCTGGCTATATCCAAAGGACTTTGGAACGGACAGAGGGTGTGGCATGTTTATCTCAAACTAGGGATGCGGTATTCCCTCGTAAAACTGGGTCGGGGCTGTTGCTTTTGAGAACATGTAAATATGAGCCATTGTGGATAGATTCCGGTAATATAATCCATCACTCAAGGATTCTATCCCCTATAAGAACTTGACAGGCTATGAGTCCGGAAGCCCGGGATATTCATCTTACAAGATATCTAAATGTATGTTCAACTTTGACGGTTGATTTGCGGGGTTGAGGTCCGCTTTCCATGCCTTGATCTGGCCTACCTTGGCCGTGGCGCCTTGAGTATAGGGCTTGGAGAGCCCTAATTGTGGTCCTTCCCATGCAACAACTGCGCAGCTGGCTAGCAGTAATGGTAGTAATTAGAAAAAATATTCACATCCTAACAGAACCGCATCTTCAGATTTGCATTCAAACTCTTTTGAATCGCCACCTTAAACAGTTCTTGAACCCCACTTTGATCCAAATGCGAAATCGCCTTTTCTGTACTTCCTCCCGGAACACAGACTTCCTTTCGCAAAGTAGCGACGGGCTTCGAGGACGCTCGGGCGAGATAACCAGCGCCAAGACAAGATTGAATAACGAGGGGCTCAGCAACTTCCCTCGAAAGACCCATCGACTCTGCTGCGGCGACCATGGATTCGATGACGAAGAAGAAATGCGCAGGACCAGATCTACCCATTCAGCAAGTTAATGGGACTGTTGATTGGTTGATATATACTGTATAGAGAGAGAGAGAGAGAAAAGAAAGAAAGAAAGAAAGACTTGAACTGACCCCGACACCGCCGCGACAACATCTAGCATCGACTCTTCCGGCACGATCGTGACCAGGGGAGAGACTTCCTCAAGAACCGTTTTGACATGATTGACGCGAAGCGTGGCATCTTCCGATGCGAAGAGACCGGTCGCACCCTGCCTGAACTCCACGGGGGTGTTGGGCATGGACCGAACAATCGCCGTGCCTGTTGGCAGCCAATCTTGGAGCTGGCTGACGGTGATGCCAGGACACATTGTCACAACGGTAGGACGGACCAACGGATCAAAGGATGCGAGGGTGGGTGCTAGTTGTTTTGCAACCGTGGGCACATCTGCTGGGCGTGTGCAGATGAAGACAATGGGGGATGTTGGAGTATCTTGGGTGGAACTTCGCTGAGATATTCTGGCGGCTTGCCAGATGCGTTGATCGAGGTTATTGTCGGTGACCAGAAGTTGCTGGTATCGCGATCGCAGTTCTTGGACATGTTCCAGCCGTCGGGCAGTTACTGCGATGTCGCATTGCAGGGTCCAGGGACTGGTAGAGGAGAGAATGCCACTGATTATGGCTTGCGCGAGATGGCCGCCTCCAACGAAAGTGAGATGGCTAGGACTTTCCGTGGAAATAGTCATGGTTTAGTTAATGGGTTGCAATGTTGGTGTTCAGACGTCGAGTATGTATTTTGTGGGCAATGAGTGGGATTATATTTCCTCGAACGAAGCACATCCAGGGTCTTTATATCAGTCATTGTTTGCCGATCACATTGAGGGAAATGTCAAACTGTCGACATATGCCTTGTGGCTGACTGAGGAATGTCTAATTTGACCCATAATATATCATCCTTCTGACGTTCCTCAGAGGAATTTATGCACGTCCAGAATGTTTTGCATTCTGGTATTGGGCTTACAATACCGGTTTTCATAATACATACGCAGCATACTCGAGCTTTTATTTGCTGGGTGTTCTCAGGAATGTTGCTAGGGGCTGTCATAAATGCTGTCAACCAGGAGCTAGAATCTAGCGAAAACGGATGGAAGGGGCGCTGTGCATCTCCCTGTGTTCATGCAGCTGTAGAGTGCCACATGACCAAGTGTTTGAAATGATCCACTGGAATAGGAACTGGAGATAGACATTTGAATTAAGACAGGTACGCATTGTTCAATAGAACGACCAGCTAACTACACGTCACCCAAAATTCTTTGGATCCGAGCAAACACCTCTCGTACAGTATCCTCGCTGAGAAGCCGTCGGTTTCCTTCAAATTCTAAATGTAACCATCCGTTCCGTGGTGTGGCATAAATCTCTGGGCGCCCTCGAGGAAGCAGATCATGTTCGTGAACAGTAATCGTGCTTTCGGAGTCTAAAAACTTGAATTCCATTTCATCTTCCTGCTGGAATGCCGTTCGCCAACCAAAGTCGACCACCTGCTCCGGCCAGTCGGTGCAGTTTCGAATAATTTCCTCCATTCCTGGAGATTCATGGGCGGAGTGATCGATGAACTGGGCTTGCAACCGCTGTGCGACAGTTACGATTGTGTCGTTGAGACTGATGGATGCAATGATCGGCACTTCAGTCATGGTAGGACCGACGACGTTTTGTAGACTCGCAGGGAGCATGGAGCGCCCCGTTACTAGACGACCAAAGACCACATCTTCCTGTCCGAATTGTTGGGAGAGGGCAATGGCACAGGCTGCGTGGAAGAAGGTTGCGCTGGAGATTCCTTCGTGGCGCTGGATGTTGGGCATTGGGAAGGATGTTGTTACTGTCATTCGATCAGAAGTGTGGTATACCGCATCAATACCACTGGCTGGACTCCAGCTGGGATGGCAGCAGTTCCGGAGTCTTGATGACCAGTATGGGAGACTTTGTGCTTTCTTGCGCTCGTTGAACGCTATGAATTGGCGAAACGTAGGCTGTGTTGGCAGTGACTGTTGATGGTAAAGGGCTGCCAAAGTTTGGATCATCATGCCCCAGGTATATCCATCGAATTGGGCGTGTGCAATTCGGAAGACCAGACGATGCTTTCCAGCTTGGTGTCGGATAGCCATAAAGCGAATGAAGGACCGTCCTAACTGGCGTGGTCTCTTGAGATCTTCTTCACAGAGTTTACGAGTGAAAGACTCCAAATCATCATCAACATCAAAGGTATCATAGATAGGCTTGAATCCATCCAGAAGAACTTGCCAGAACCGACCATCCGCTTCAATAAATACTGCACGAAGTATATCGAAATGATTGACAAGTGCTTTACACGCCCGTTCCAGTCGGGCAAAGTCAACATTGTGGGGGAGCCCGAAGATCCAAATCGGCAGTCTCCCAGGGGGATCCTGCAGCGCGTCTATGACTGCCCGTTTTTGAAAGTCGGTACAAGGAATGACATCTTTGACAATATATGCATCGTCATACAAGAATGGCTCGACATGATCTTGGAGGAATGTCTTGTGATCATCCTTTTTCAGAAACGAGAATGCCGGCTGGGGCTCCGACGCTTCATCTTCCTCCGTCGTCTTCGTAACCAACAAGGCCATCTGGGATAGACGAGGGGCTCTGAATATTTGTGCCACGGTGAGTGAAAGGCTCTGTAGCCGTGCAGCTGCAACGAGTCGCATAGCAGCGATAGATTCACCACCGATACGTAGGAAGTTGCTGTCAGCGCTGATACTGGCAGGTTCCACACCGAGCACAGAGGACCAGAGGACTTGCAGCCTCTTCTCCAACTCGGTGGATGGTTCACGATGTTTTTGGCCATGAGATTGGAGTTCAGCTAGCCTCTCCAAAGTTTGCGCATTGCCCAGCTCGCGAAGGGCTCGACGATCGGTTTTGTTTGTTGTCGTCATTGGGATTTGGTCGACTGGAATATAAGCGCCGGGTATCATACTATAATTACACTTAGCACCACATCTCTGAATTAGAAAACATCAGAGCAAGGGGAAGCACTTACTATTGGGGTAAACGATCGACAAGCCTCTGCTCCAGGGTTTCAATGAGCTCGGTAAAGGCGGATGGATGCTGAGTGGATTCTCTGATGCTATCCGCGAGGCTAATGAAGACAGCTAATAGAGGATTGCCATTCTGTGGTCTGATAATCTCGGCTGCAACACCATCATAAAGGTTTGCATCTCCTAGACAAACGCGCACGTGGTATTCAACTTCTGCTAACTCGATTCGTTGACCTCGCAACTTGATCATTCCATCTTTCCGACCGATAAAGTCGAATGACCCATCGGAGTTGTAGCGCAGAAGATCACCAGTCTTGTATAACGTCCCCGATCGTCCTGGGTGCGCAGACGTGCCTTGCAGGAGCCAAGAGGGATCTTTGATATATGCTGCTGTGGTCTTGTCTGGGTCTGCGAAATACCCTTGGCTGACTGTTGGGCCCTCAATGAGGAGCTCACCAATTGCGCCGATAGCGGCGAGGCGATCCGGACATCCTGGCTCAACCAGCCACATATTTGCACCAAATGGCAGTCCAACATGGTTATTATGGCAATTATTATCGAGACGAATAAACGACAGAGCTTGAGCACATTCAGCCGGTCCGTAAATGCCAATTGTAGCCTCTGCTTGAGGCCAACGCACCACGTCGGACTTTTGGATGGGCTCTCCTCCCATGGCGAGGCATTTAAGTCCTGGCATTGATGATGGATCCAGAGAGCGAGCAACAGACGGCGTAAAGTAGACATAATCACACTTCATGCGATTGAAAGCACCGGGGATATCGTTCCTTCGTTCTGATTCGGACGGAATGCATAGACAGCCCCCGCAGATCAGGGTCTGCAGATGGTTGGACCATGAAACGTCAAAGTTGTATGAGACAAAATCAAATACCCGTGAAGAAGACCGAATATGCAAACTTTCTTGCTGATGTGTTGCTGCAGATGCAAAATTTTGATGAGTAGTCACAACACCCTTCGGTGTACTGGTCGAGCCACTGGTGAAAACAACTGTCCAAATGGGTCAGTCTAGCTATTTGAAAGGCATATACGGAACATACCGTATATTGTATCTGATGGATGAGCCTGTGGCAATGGAGCTTCGCTATGAATAACGGGAGAGACACGGAGGTGGTGCCGGTCGACAATCACCACCTTTGCATCAGAGAGACTACTAGCAAGATCATAATTCTTGGATGATGTGAGAATGAACTTCGGATACACTTGTTGTATCATTGATTGGAGTCGCGATCCAGGCTGTGTTGGGTCAACCGCGACACATGCAGCACCGGCTTTCATTACTCCTAAAGCGGCCACCGAGTGCCACATGGACTTTTCAAAGCAGAGTGGAATAATCGCCCCTCTTTTAGCCCCAAGAGCGACAAGTTGAGATGCTAAAGAAGTTGAAAGCATATCGAGCTCCGTATATGACAGCTGACCGTCCCAAGAGCATATAGCGGGGGATTCTGGCTGCCGTTTGACAGTGTCGCCAATAAGTTCATATACACACCTTTGTCTCGCCTGAGGAACCGCCGCATTCCACTGCCACAGTTGCGTAATATCCTGTGGACTGACAACATTAATTGACGCGACAGAGTCGGTGCTTAAGATGGCTACTTGATGCAGGACATGTTCAAACTGTGATGCGATCCGTTCCATCTGTGCCACGTCCACGACTTTGGAATCAAAGCTGATCTCCATACTCAGCCCATTGTCTTCGGTCAGCTGACACAGAATCATGACTGCATTTGGATTGTAGTCATCCAACTCCTCATTAGCAGAGCCTATTTTGCTCTGATCAAAGGGGCCGCCGTCGATTAGTTTATTGTCAGCGCATTGCTGGGCAGGCTGTACCACAAGAAGGGTATTAAATCGACTACCCCGTTCTGTATCCGTATTGATGCGTCGGATATCTAGCAATTCCGTCTGTTCGTAAGCAATCATATCAATGGACTGCTGCTGAATGGCGTTGAGAAAGCTTTCCATGTCTTGCTCCGGGTCAAACTTCACTCGCACAGGGACAGCGTTGATGAGAGGGGCAATCATTCGATCAAGGCCCTGCAGAGGGCCCTGCCGCCCAGTGACCAGGGTGCCGAAAACCACATCGTCAGTATCTGTGTAGCGAGCAGTTAGGATCGACCATGCCGCCCGTATAACTAAAGTAGCGTTAGCAGTCACAAGAAGGGTCAAGAATCCTATGGTCCGATATTACTCACTGGTTGAAGCCGTTGCATCCCGTTTAGACCAGTGGAAGCCTACAAACTCACGCCTGACAGTGCTGTCGGCTTTGGGACGGTAGTCATCATATGGTAGGGGTGGAAAGGGAACTGCTTCGGAGTTTGCAAATTGATTCTGCCAATACTCTCGGGCCTTCTCCTGGTCGATGTCCATGATGTGCTTAATAAAGGCCTGGAAGGGTGCAACGGGTGTGTGGTGTACCAGTCCTGTGTAGACTCTCGATACCTCCTGGGTCAGAATGTTCAACGAATAACCGTCGTAGATCGCATGGTGCTGGGTAAGAAGACAGTAGAGGTCGTTTTCCGCGGAATTTCCGACGATGGCTAGGCGAGTAAGAGGGGTGGAGAGGCCCATGGGTCGTTGGTCTTGCTGGATGTATGCTGACACCTTATCACCCGTCCCCCATTCCAGAGACTCGTTTACCTCAACCTGCACCAGGCCTTCTGTAGGCGTATCCACAATGCGGTAACGGAGGATAGGAGCTTTAGTTCGACTGATTTCTTCCCATGCTCTCTTAAGGCGAGGTATGTCGACGTTCTCTGTCAATCGAAGGGGAAACCGGGCGATGTACGAAGTGTCACTCTTTGCCGTCATAGATAACAGGGACTTTTGCACTCCAGTACAGGGAAATACATCCTGGATCTCCGACTTGCTGATATTGCATTGCTGAGAGATATAATCGAGGGTAACTTCCTTGTCCTCTGGATGCTTCAAAAGCAAGAACGGGGTGACCCCGGCCTGGCCAGCATCATCTCGATTTAGATCCAACGGAACCATTGTCTTCACCATATCGCATAGACGGGGCTGATTTAAAATCTTTTGTACAGTCAAAGAAATACCTTGACTGCGAGCTAAGGAGGCTAAACGCATTGCAGAAATGGAGTCGCCACCAAGTCGAAGAAAACTACTATCGATAGAAATTTGATCAGCTGGAACTCCGATCACTGATGTCCACCATTTCTGTAGCAAACGCTCCTGTTCTGTAGATGGAGACGTGCCGTTTGCTCGCCGTCCTCCACCAAGCTGCTCCAATGTGAATTGTGATCCAATCTCTCGCAGACGCCTGCGATCTGTCTTGCCACTGGGAGCCAATGGCATTGGATTGATCGGGACAAATGTGACTGGAACCATATAGGTGGGCACTCGTGCTGCCATTCTGTTCTCCAGATTGTCCGACATCTTGGAAATTCTTGCCGGGTTCGACTCGATAAAGGCTACAAGAGCAGCCCGTCCGGTCACTTCTGGGGTCACCACTTCCGCAGTAACAGAGGCCTCGATGGACATATCAGCGAGGACTTGTCGGAGATGATGCTCGATTTCCCCCAGCTCTATCCGTTGCCCTCGGAGCTTGACCTGGGTATTTTTCCTTCCGATGAAAACTAATGTCCCATCAACCGGATCGTACTTGACTAGGTCACCGGTCCTATATAGCCGCCCATCTCTGCCAGGAACCCGACCGCTGGGGTCACCCCTCTGCAGCCAAGATGGGCTTTCAATGAACGCAGAGGCGGTCTGTTCCTCATCCATGAAATAACCCTGTCCAACCAGGGGACCTTCAAGGTATAGCTCCCCGACGGTTCCAAGGGGCGACAGGCGCTCGCTCGATTGTGGGTCGACAACCCATGTTGATACACCGTATCCTTTGCCAATTGGAATCTTGGATGGGATGGGGCTGGGAGCCTTCCAGTAGAGTGTGCCAACGGAGCATTCCGCCGGGCCATAGCAATTGACAGTGGTAACATGGGGAGTCCACAGCGCGAGATCATCATGCGTGGGGGCTTCCCCGCCGAGATATATATTTCGTAGCGTTGGGATGCAACTGGGGTCAAGCCAGCGAGCTATAGATGGGGTTAATAGTGTATCTGTCGCTCTGAAGCGGCGCAAGCTCTCAGCCAAATTGCTTTTTCTCTCTTCGTCACTAGGTATGCACACTGTGCCTCCTGCTACGAGAGTAGGCAGAACGGCTCCATAGGTCACATCAAACGAGGGTGCAGAAAAGTCGTACATTCTGGTCGAGGGGCCAAGCCTGAACACCGATTGCTGATGGAAAATGGCACTGCAGAAGTGGCGATGCTGAATGAGAACACCCTTGGGAGTTCCAGTGCTTCCACTTGTAAACACAGCATAGAGCAGGTCCGATGGATGTACAGATGGTAGTGGTGTGGTCCTTTCACATCTCTCAGATACCAAGCGCATTGAATCATGGCTCACTACGATAACTTGATCCACCATAGAGGAACCAAGTGATTCATTCGCGGGTGACGCCAGCATTAGGGTGGGCTTCACTTGTTGCACGATTGTTTGGACTCGTGATTCCGGCAGAGCGGGATCTAGAAATAGCCCAGTACCTCCAGCCTTAATGACGCTTAAAAAGGCAAGGAAAGAGAATAGACATTTTTCAAAGTATAGCGGAATAATCATACCTCGACTAACACCCAGATCTACTAGCTCATGGGCGAGTTGGGTCGATAAGTAGTCGAGCGCTTGATATGTCAATTCTCCATCCCAGGCTGAGATAGCAGTGCCTGTCGGTTGGAACTCTGCCCTCTCTGCAATAAGGTCATGAATACACAGGTTGATGCTCTCGTATGTCTGCGAGTTCCATTGCCAGATCTGGCTCAAGTCTTGTGTTGTGATCATTTCGAGATCGTTGGCAGCAACTTGATCGACCTCATGGGATGCTACTTTCCGCAAGAGATGCTCAAAATGGTGCGCCATTGTACCCACTGTCGCATGGTCAATCACCTTTGAGTCGAATGTAAATTGCAGTTGAATTCCATTTTCTAACAGTGTGCAGCCCACTGAGAAGGCATAGGAGTTGAACCCACGGTAACGATCTCTCTCACTTTCCGGGGACGACTGTTGGGGTGAGAATAAACCACCCTCGTCCATCTTTGTCTCAGGTGGCTGAATCATAAGAAAGGACTGAAATCGACAGGCCTGCCGTGCTTCATCGTTGATCTTTTGAATCCTCGACAGCCCGCTTTGCTCATATGAAATCATGTCTGCTGCTTGACGTTGTAAGCTAATCAGCATTGCTAGGATACTTTCATGGCCATCCAACTTCACGCGAATTGGGAGAGTGGCAATGGTGGGAGCGGCCAATCTATCAATGCCTTGAACTGGTGCACTGCGGCCGTTGACGACAGTCCCAAACACAACGTCGGATGAATGAGAATAGCGAGAGCAGAGCGTGGCGAATGCTAGACGTATTGTCGCTGACGGAGTAATGTCATCGGTTCTCCAACGGATGTCACGAATAGAGTGTTCCAAATTCGAATCCGGATGAGGCTCGTAGGCCGCATGTGGCAGCGCGGGAAACTGTGATGCTTCGAGACCGGTAAACTGCGAGGCCCAAAAGTCGGATTCGGCCTTCTTATCCTGTCGGTTGATATATTGTACAAGAGGCTGGAGTGGGCTTAATTCACAAGGGTTTGTATCATGGTAGAGCGATTCCAGGGTTTCCAGGATTAAACCTGTGCTCACACCATCGTATATTGAGTGGTGCATAGTAAGCGCGAAAGAGAAACGATCGTTTCGCCCTGGAGATGTCGCGAATAAACTGCATCGCATCAAAGGTGATCCCAACCTAATGGGTATCTGCTTTTCCTTTTCGATATAGTCCTCAGCTCCTTCCGCCTCGGTCCACATGTTGGTTTTTTCCATTACTACCTGCACCAACCCTTGACCGGGAAGATCAATAATTCGCGTTCGCAGAATTGGAATACTCGCAACTGTCTGCTCCCATGCGGCTTTAAACCGGCCAGGGTCGACAGAAGAACGAAGTTCCAGTATGTTTCGACCAGTATAGTCCCCATCACGCTTTGTTGTCAATGACAGGAGGCCTTCTTGCAGTGGTGTGCATGGGAATATGTCTTCGATGCTCTCTTCAGAGATACCACACAGTGTAGCGGCTTGTTGTCGGGCCAGTTGAATATCTACAGATTTGTCCAACAGAGTAAAGGGGTCAACCTGCCCATCATTGGCATTCGTCGTGCTCTGAATAATAGTAGCCATATCGGCTAGTATGGGCCTCTCAAAGACCTGGGCCACCGTCAAGAGTATTCCTTGATCACGGGCGAGCCCAACAAAACGCATTGCTTCAATCGAGTTACCAAGCCGGAGGAAGCTATCGTTCGCAGAAATCTTGCCCATTTCAATCCCCAAAGCAACCGCCCACAAGTTCTGTAATTTGACCTCTGCTGGAGTTGTGGGCTTTCTCTGTTGAACATTGAATTGCAACTGCGTTGTGAACGCAGAACCAATCTTCCGCAGTGTCTTGCGATCGACCTTACCGGTTGGGCCAGTGGGAATACCCCGGACGGGAATGTAGTAAGATGGAATTGCATAACGAGGGAGTGACCTTTGGAGTTTTTCATTCAGACCATTTGTGATGGAGGCTACGTCTCCTGCCACAATGAAGGCCACTAATGTGAGGTGGCTAGTATCCCTCTCGATTATGCCATCAACGACGACTGGTAACTCCGCTACGTCCACACATTGCCGAATATGATGTTCAACCTCTTCCGGGGCAACTAACTGGCCTCGTATCTTGAGCTGTGAATCTTTGCGTCCAATGAATATCAGGTTGCCGTTGCTGTCGTATCGAGCTAAATCGCCCGTTCGGTAGATCCGACTTGTTCGCTTTCTTTCGTTTCCATTCTGGCTAAGGGAGAGAAACCTTGGGTTCTTGCAAAACGCCATCTCGGTCAATCTTGGGTTCCCAATATAAGCCACTGCACATGCTGGTCCCTCGAGAGCGATCTCTCCAGTAGCACCAAATGGCACTAGACGATGATAATTGTGCGGGTCAACTAGCCAGCGACGAGGGAGATATTGACATTCAACTTCTTCCGAAGGGCCCGCAATTACGCCCGTGTACCATGAGGGCAGAGTGGCAGGGGAAACTGCAGCTAAACTGCATTCAGCCGGTCCATACCAATTGATAACACGGCACTTGCCGTTCCACCTTCTCACGTCTTCTTCGGTCAACTTCTCCCCAGCTTGGATGAGCGTCGACAAAGTGGGTACTGCTTCAGGGCTAAGGAGTCTTCCGGTTGACGGGGTGCAGTGGAGCACATTGGATTCAAACCGGTTGATCGCCCTGGCCATGTCACTAAGCCGTTCAGATTCAGAAGGAATACAAAGACAGCCCCCGTAAGCCAGAGTGGACAGCGTTTCCACCGTCGCAACGTCAAAATCGTACGACGCGAACTGGAACAAACGAGACAACGAGCTCATGGCAAATACCTCACCAGCGCCCTGAATGTTTGCACTCAGCGTTCGATGATCCCAAAGAATCTGCTTGGGTTCTCCAGTACTGCCAGAAGATACCAAGACAATGGCGAGGTCAGTCATTCTCGGAGAAGGTAGTGGGTTATATGAGATAGGTGTCTCCTGTACCTCCTCGATAGTGAAGCATTTCGAAAACTGTTTTACCAAGTCAACCCGTGATGGTGAAGCCACGGCAATGACTACGTCGAGGCTTTTGAAGACGGTGCCCACACGATGTTCTGGCACGGCGACAGATTGTAGCAAACAGACAGCGCCAGATTTCAGGATAGCGAGCTGCATAGTCGGAACCCACTTAGACTTTTCCATGCTTAGAGCGACTGTTGACCCTTTGGAGACACCCAGGTCAAGCAACTTGTAGGCGAAGTCTGTCGACAGCTCGTCAAATTGTTTGTAGGATAGCTGACCATCCCAGGCATCGATTGCGATCGAATCGGGTTGTTTGTCTGCAACGAAAGAAATCTTTTCGGATACTGATGTCTGAGGCTCTACCAGGTCCTTGGAACCTTTCTCCCAAAATCGAGCGATATCGAAGTCAGATGCCGTTTGAACATCTTCAAGTTTTGTGGCTTCTGGGTCTGCGGTGCATAGCTGTCGAAGGACCGTCTCGAATTGACAGGCGATGCGATAAATCTGCCTACGATCGAGAATCTTATTGTCAAAGCTGATGTGCAATTTCACCCCTGACCCGGTAAGCTCGCAAATCAACATCAACGGATACACATTGAATGGATCAGTTCCCCGAGTGTCAAGATTCGATGAGAAACGTCGTGCTTTAAATAGCAAACTGTCATCCTGTAGGCTCTTTCCTTCGGCTACCGGCTGAATCACTAGCAAAGTCTGGAATAACGCAGAGTCGATAGTCTCTACCGTTCGCTGAATATTTTGCAGTCCGTACTGCTCATGAGGTATCATATTGATGCTTTGCTGCTGTATTAGGCCCAAGAATGTCTGGATTTTCTGGCCCCAATCGATAGAGATTGCAATAGGTACTGTCGCAATTGTTGGACCACTGCAGCGTTCGATACCAGCCATATTCGCTTGTCGCCCACTTGTTGTGACTCCAAATACCACATTGTTCGAGGCCACATACTGCGCTTCGAGGATAGCCCACGCTGCACGGAGGATGGTTGATGGCGTCATTCCGGCACGCGGCCAGTCGACTGAAATTGAGTGATTTATCTCCTCATTGGCCTGTGGGATGTAGGTTGAGGAGGGAAGGACCGGAAACTGTTGAAGCTCAGCGTTAGAAAGCTGAGCTCTCCAGAATTCTGTGCTGTCTTTGGGGTCCGTCTTTTGCAAATATTTGATAAAGTTGCGAAATGGTGTAAATTCTGCGTGACATTGTCCAAGGTACTGATGTTCAAGTTCATCCAGGATCATCTTCAGGGTAGCGCCGTCGTAGGTACAATGGTGAATAGTGAGAATAAAGCTACCTTCCACGATGGCAGCACGACAAAGTTGCATTCCCATCCCCATCGGCTCTTGTTCATCGTCTCGCACATACGTATCTATGTCAGTGCCAAAACGCCACGGGGCGTTTTCAAGTAAGACCTGAACGAGCCCTTGGTCAGGGAGGTCAATTATACACGTTCTAAGGATGGGTAACTTCTGCACAGTGGATAGCCACGCTTGTCTTAGTCGGTCTGGGTCAACAGTGGCTTGAATTTCAAGCACACTCCGCGATATATATTGGCCATGATTCTTTGCGCCTAATGCCAGAAGACCTTCTTGGAGAGGGGTACAGGGATAGATGTCGAGGACATGTTCCTCCGGTATCCCACAGCGGTGAGCAGCATACCTGCGGCTATCCTCTTTGCCAACCCGTGAGTTCAAAAGAGAAAATGGAGGAACCTCTTCGGTACAGCTACTTCCTCTTCCAAGTCGCTCCGACATACTCTCCAGCACGGGGGCCTCAAAAATGTCTGAAACGGTAAGCACAGATCCATTGTTGCGGGCCAGGGCAACGAGGCGCATCGCCATGATAGAATCACCCCCCAGACGGAGAAAATTGTCTGTTGCGTAGATCGAGTCGACGGTGACACCAAGAACCTCTGCCCACAGTCGTTGAAGCCTCTTCTCATTCTCGCTGGAGGGCTCCCTTGCCTTCTTCCGGGATGGCTGCATTGCCGCCAGCCGTCCTATAGTGAACGAGCTACCGATTTGACGCAGACGTCGGCGATCCGTCTTTCCCGTCTTGCCGATGGGGATCGTGGCAATGGGGATGTACAGCTTCGGAATCATATAAGACGGCAGCACTGTCACTAGATACGCTTCAAGTTCGTCGACCGGCAACGTGGGTTTGCTTCCCATATCGCGGTAGCTAAAGAAGAGAGCCAGGTTGTCCTTGTCGCTGAGTGATGGAGTAAAGATCTCTGCGACAGTTTTGACATTATTGCGTCCATTGAGAAACCCCTGAACTAAACGCTCGATGTCCTCAAGGTCAATGCGTTGTCCTCGAAGCTTGCGTTGTGAATCCTGGGCTCGACCCAGAAACAGAAGGGAGCCATCAGAGGTATATTTGACGAGGTCCCCCGTTCGATATAGTGTTCCATCTCGGCCCGGTACCTTCCAATGGCCCTGTTGCAACCAGGAAGGAGAAATGAATTGTTTTTCATTCAGGGCAGCACCACAGCTCCCTGTATAGCTGGCGACGATCGGACCCTCGATGCATAGCTCTGCGATTGCCCCGACCGGAGCAAGAATGTTAGGATTTTTGGGGTCGACTAGCCAGGTACAGGCTGCCTGACCTTTTCCAATGATTCCTGACTGCCACTTGTTGGGATCAAATTTATATGAAGTGGCTACGCACGCCTCAGCTGGCCCATACCAATTGTACACGATGTTCACATACTCAGACCATTGGGAAGCCGTTCTCTGTTGCAGCTTCTCACCAGCAAAGGCAATCGTCTTTAACGACGGTACGTCCTTGGGCGCAATCGATTCAGCAACGGATGGTGTCAAACAAATCCAGTTCGCATTGTAGTAAATGACGCTTTCAGCCAGTCGATTTGTTCGTTCGGATTCAGATGCGATGCAAACACAACCACCTGCGGCGAGGACCGAAAGCGTTTCTACGGTGCTGACATCAAAATCGTATCCTGCAAATTGGAAAACCCTGCTGTTAGAATCAATTCCAAAGCATTTTTGCACCGCCGTAATGTTGCTTGATAGCGTCCCATGGCTCCATTGGATAGGCTTTGGCGTTCCAGTAGAACCAGATGTAAAGAGTAGAAGTGCAGGATCAGAGGAATGGATCTGTGGTAACGGCAGACCTGGACTATCTTCAACGTGAATTTCCATCAGCTCATCATTGGTAGCAACAGGTGCCATGCCAGTAAAGGAACATAAGTGGGATGCGGTCGATGTTATGACAAGTGTTGGCTGCAAAACATTGACAATCTGGCTGGCTCGTTGACCTGGAGTCGGCGCAGAAACAGGCAACGCGATGCATCCAAGTTGAAGAACAGCGATCATGGTGATAACCAACCAGGAGGACTTTTCGAAGCTCAGCACAACGATAGATCCGGGGGTAACCCCATGCTCTCGCATTCGGCACGCAAGAGCAATCGACTTTTCCTGCAGCTGTCGGTATGTGAGCTCGTTATCCCATGCGCATATGGCGATTTCCCCCGGTTGGGTATCAGCTCGCTGCGCAATTAGGGACGTTACACACTCAGTAGCGGCAGGTGGCAGATCTCGGTTCCATTCCCAGATGTCACCAACATCCTGGCTGGTCAAAGGGCTGAGATCTCTTAGTTTAGATTGGCCAACCTTCTCTGAGCACATTTGTCGCAGTAGATACTCAAACTGCCGGGCCAGCCTCTGCACGTCGTCTTCTTCAATAGCCCCGGAATCGAAGTTGATCTTGAGCTCTGCACCAGATTCTTCCAGCTGACATATAATCATCATCGCATAAGGATTGTAGCTCCCCATACTGTCACTCTCATCCTTAGCCACTAATACGGGATGCCCTTGGCTGTGCGCTTCTGAAATATCTGGTATCGACACAGGATGTGCCCGGGAGAAAAGACCGCCAGGTTTCTGACTCCGTCCATGGTGCGCTGGCTGGACGACCAATAGCAGCTCAAAGTGGGCGGCTGCCTCAATGTCCTCATCGATCCGCTGCATATGCTGTAAGCCGAACTGCTCATATTCCGTCGTTTCTACCATCTGCCTTTGAACTTGCTGCAGCAGACCTTCGACCGTCTGATCCCAGTTTAACTTCACCCGCACAGGAACTGTGGCAATGGTTGGTCCCGCGATACGTTCTATATCTGGGACAGGGGCCTGTCGGCCACTGACGGTAGCTCCGTACTTTACGTCGTCTGTATTTGTGAGCGATGCTAGCAATATCGCGAGTGCAGACCGCACCACCGAAGATGGAGTAGTGCCGGTACGGGGCCATTGCAACCCACTAATAACATGGTTGAAATCGAGCTTTTTCCTTGGAGAATATTTAGAAGGCGGAAAAACAGTTGCATCGGTCCCACTGAGCTGATTACGCCAAAACTCCCGGGCCTTTACGGTATCCATGGCCATTACATGCTTGACAAATGGCTGGAACGAAAGGGGCGCTGAGAAAGCTTGAGTCGCCCGGTATGCCATTTCAAGAGTATCCAAAATGAGCATTGTGGTCCATCCATCGTATATCGAGTGATGAATTTCCAATGATAGACGTGGAGTTTCATTTTCAATTACCCCGGCCCGACACAGTGGTCTCCCTAAATATGAAGTCTGAGAGCTGGTGGCCATAATGTCGCGGATATACTCATATCGAAGCAATGTCACTGGGGTCTTCACGACAACCTGAACAAGACCTTCTCCCGGTAGCTCGACAATCCTAGTGCGCAGAATAGGTGTTGCTTCAACGGTACTTGTCCAGGCCCTCTCCAGCTGCCTCATATTAGTGTCCTCTGGCAGGTCAAAGACGGTGCGTGATGTATAGTCGGCGCTAACACCTCTCGCACTGATGGCTAACATCCCTTGCTGTAGTGCAGTGCATGGATAAATATCCTCAATCTCGCCGGCCCCTACTCCGCACAGCGTGGCAGCCGTTTCACACAAGCTCCTCTTGCCTCTCTTCCCGGTCAGCAGGGAAAACGGAACCACAACCTCGGCCTGCACCACCTTTTCGACTTTGGTTGCTAATTCATTTAGAATTGGAAATGTGAACACATCTGCAACCGTTAAAGAAAGCCCTTCGTTCCGCGCTTGTGCAACCAGATACATGGCGGTAATCGAGTCTCCACCCAAGCGCAGAAAGCTATCACCTGTGCTGATTCGATTGACCTCCAGCTTTAAAACCTGTGCCCAGATGTGCCGCAGCTGCCTTTCCGCATCCGTTTTCGGCTCGCGATACTCGACAGGGGATACGATGGTCGATTGGAGCTCGACGATTTGCTTCCAGTCCAAAGCATTGCCCATCTCCCGTAGTCGTCGTCTGTCGGCCTTGCCAGTTAGGGCCACCGGGATGACATCGACCGGGAGATACACGGTAGGTATCATAAAGGAAGGTAAAATCTCACGTAATTTTCCTTCCAAGCGGTCCATTTGGCGCTTAACCCGTTCTCTATCATCTGATTGCGCCTGAACAAACAGAGCTAATGATAACGTGTCGGACCCACGCGGCATAACCACGTCTGCAATCACGGAGAGATCTTCGTCTAGACAGGCGCGGACGTGATGCTCAATATCACCAATTTCCACTCGTTGACCACGAATTTTAAGTTGTGCGGCATCTTTGCGACCCATGAACATTAGCCGCCCATCTGGTTTGTATTTGACCAAATCCCCTGTTCTGTAAAGTCTCCCTGGTCGACCAGGAACGTTGTTATGTCCTGCTAGGAGCCATGGAGGGTCATTGATAAATGCATCAGCACTCTTTTGAGGGTCAAATAGATACCCCTGACCGACTAAAGGCCCTTCTAGGAACAGCTCTCCTGTCGCCCCTGGGGCAGCCAACTCGTTGCTGTCATTGACATCGACAATCCAGGTGCAGTGACCAACTCCCCTGCCGATATCTGGGCGACCTTCGAGATGTGAACTAAGCAGAGAAAAGGCACATTTAAATGTACATTCCGTTGGGCCATAGGTATTTAGCAATTTTACTTTGTCAGCCCAGCGAGTGATGTTGTCTCGGTACGGCATCTCTCCACTCAACAGAACCGTTTCGAGCGTAGGTGGAATGGGATTTATAGTCCGTAAAACAGTAGGCGTCACATTAATCAATGTAGCCCTAAATGAAGTGATGGCGGCGGACAGATCATTCAGCATATCTTTCTCGTGCGCAATGCAAATACACCCTCCCGCGCAGAGGGTGTGCAGAAAGTTACTCCATGCGACGTCGAATGAATAGGGGGCAAAGTCAAAAACCCGCGATCTTGAATCAAACCCCAACTTCTTGCCTTGGTGGTGGACGGCACTACGCACGTTCGCATGGCTGATGCATGCACCCTTGGGTTGACCGGTTGTTCCTCTGTCCGGATTAGTGTTTCTTCTTTCTAGCGCATAATTTGGAAATTACATACGATGTAAAGGAGATATAAACTATATCAGATGGGCAAGCGAGCGGGAGTCCGTCAGTTAGCTCCCCAATCTCGTTGTCAAAGAAGGCATCATCCAGCTGCAGGATGAAAGCGTCCGCCAGTCCAGATGCTCTCGTGGTATGCACCGGTGACGAAATGATCACTTTCGGTTGTGTTTGTTGCACAATCAATCGCAGCCTTGTATCTGGCTGCGTGGCATCCAGCGCAACGGCAGCACAACCTGCCTGGATGATGGCCAACATTGCCACGCAGGTCCATCGCGACTTGGAAAATAGCAAGGGAATGCTAGACTGGCGGGGAATCTGCAAAGCAATCAGGCGTTGGGCCACCCGGCGAGACAGCGTATTAAGCTGAGAATACGTTAAATCGCCATCCCAGGCGCATACAGCCAAGGCATCTGGATGATGGACGGCAAGAGTTGCAATCAAATCATGCACGCAGCCCGGGACAGTCTCCGGGACTTCAGCATTCCAGCTCCAAATTTGATCCAGACCCAGGGTATGGGACATCATGGGCGAAATGGGATTGTTAGCTGGCGATGATGGAGGGAATTGGTAAAGGGTTCCCGTGCGAGTAACTACTGCAGAAGAAAAAGAAACCCTGGATTCCCAAGGTGAAGAGTTCCTGACAGGACCCATCGAGGCCGAAAATTACATGACAGCTTCACATACCGTCAGCTACCGAAAACATGGGAAATCACTTCCATTGATCAACGGATGCAGAAGCGACCTATAACCAGTTAGCATGGCAATCTTGACTACCTGCATATTCTATTAATAACCAAGCATGGCATTTGGCAGGGAGCTACTAGTGTGGCCTATCCCCGGGTCCGGTATATATGACAACAGTCCGAACTCTCAGTCAGCCATCCAGCAACAATCAATCGTCCACATCACAATTCCTCATGTTGCCCACTTTGGATTTCTCTCGTTTCCATGATCTCTCTCAGAGAGAGAAATTTTGTCATCAATTCGTCTCGACATTGAAGGAATATGGATTTGTGAAACTGATTAATCATGGCATTCCGTTGGCTCAGATTGACCAGGCATTTGCAGCAGTTTGTTTCCACTCTCCAATCCACCAATGCGTATATTCTTACTTTATCATAGGCACGCCACTTCTTCCAATTACCCTTGGAACAGAAGTTGAAATCACCTCATCCTCCCACGGCGCATCCTCATCGGGGCTTCAGTCCAGTCGGGCTGGAGAACATTGGAGCCGTTTCCGGCTATGGCAGCGCAACCAAATCTCCTTACCTCAACGACATGAAGGTGATTGTGTCTCACCTCGAAGGAATATTCTATTCTAACCCCTTGCTAGGAATCTTACGACATTGGATCCGAGTGTGATCCACTTTACAAGAACATCTGGCCCCCTTCGGGGGTGGACGATGCCTTCCAACCTACCTTCATTTCATTCTTCGAAGCCGGCTATCGCACCGAATTAATCATTCTCAAGGCTCTGTCGATCGGTCTAGGCCTACCTGAACAAACGCTGGGACAGCTTCACGCAGAGCAGACCAATGAGCTGCGCATCACGCACTATCCTGCAGTCGCCCGAGGGGATTTTGCGCATTCGACACGCATCGCTGCGCATACCGACTTTGGAACAATCACCCTGTTATTCCAAGATGCCGTCGGAGGATTACGTAAGTTCTTTTCTTTCTTTTTCCTTGCCTTTTTCTCCAATTCAGTTCTCTCGATGGTCGGGTTCCGTGATCAAGTTGTGCTAATGCCGGTAACAGAAATGGAGGTTCCACCGCACAGTGGGCAATTCGCGGACATCGAGAGTGGGGGGCCATACGAGTGTATTCTGAATGTGGGGGATTGCCTGCAGAAGTGGACTGGGTTGTATAGTGCGCGCCATCGAGTCCATCTTCCCAGCGAAGAGCAAATCGACGGGATGGTGCCGGAGCGCTTCTCCATCGCGTACTTTGCGAAGCCTGACCGTGCTGCCATCCTCCGACCATTACTGGAAGGAATTTCAGATGAAAAATATCTGACGGCCAATGAATTCCAACACATGCGGATTGCGGGAACATACTGATGATGAGAATTGGCTGTGGTTATGCAGAAGCTCGTCACATTCCATCCTCGTTCAGCCAGTCATCTGGTTCAGACCGAGTTCTGCGAGCGGTAAACCAATACGAAAGAGATGTTCCAGGGTGTGTGTGTGTGTGGTGTATCAAGAGCAACGGTATGGAGTAAATAGTCCTTACTCCGGCCCTGTTGGTGCAAACGGAATTCAAGTTGTGGTGGGTCTGTCGAATTGGACATTCCACCATCACAGAGTCTAAAGGGTGTACTCCAGAATATTTTTATTAATCAATTGTATCTCTAACCCCTTACATCCATGGCGCCAGCCACATTACAGAGTAATACAGTATGAAGCATGACAGTTTGGAAGCACACAAAAATAAACCCTTTGCTATTACCATTCGAAAAGCAGACTGGCTTCTCATCTCAATGTTCCAATTTCACCCTCCAACCATGGAATATCCCACTTGGGCATTGACCGTGACCAAATTTGACTATAAATCTGTTGTCGGTCTTTTGTTGACCTTTACCGTTGCCGTTGTCACGACCAAAATCCTACACGTTTTTACGAAGCGCTGCCCTGGCATTCCCTCCATTCCTCTCTACATCTCGGTTTATGATGCCTATCGCCGCGTGTCTGAAATCGGTTTCCATAACACTCGTCTTCGACCCGTGCTAGAAACCCACGGCGCCGTCAATATCTGGAACTCAGGTCAATGGGCGGTTCTAGTGACTAAACCAGAGTATGTGGTCCGTATTCTACGCAATGAACGCGTTGTAGCCAAAGGTGGCTTCTATGGGAAAGTTCCTCATAGTACATTAGCCGGTCTGTTTGGCGAGAACATCATTGACTCAGATGGAGAGCTGTGGAAACAATTCACCGGGATCATGAAGCCAGGTATTCAGCGCGCTCATAATATCTCTGCTCTCAAGATCGCATCGTGTAGGCTTATAGCGACATTTAAACGAGAGCAACAGCAGGCGCCATCGGATCGTGGCGTTGTTATCAATGACATAATTGAACGGTGGGCGATTGACGTGTTTGGGGACAGCTTTTTTGACGTTGATTTTGGTGCCTTGAATGGCGGCACTGTTCGGGCTCAAGATGCTCTTCTGGCCATCCTCTGGAACCTGGGGGGGCATCTCATCCACCTTTTCCCGGTGTTGGAAAGAATTGGCTGGCCTCTACGACCAGCAAGACCCTATTGCTTTTCCATGATCCGAGAGCTCGAGGAGGCACTGATCGACGTAACCGAGAAACTCACATCCACCGAAACACCGTCGGGTCGATCCGAAAAGCTAATCTATCGGTTGAAGCGAGCCCGCGACAACGGGCTCATGTCGGACTTCCATTATCGCTCGAACCTTAAAATGTTGTTCTTCGCTGGTCACGAAAACGTCAAGTTTGCATTGATAGCAACCCTGTGGGAGCTTTCTCAAAATCCTCAAATACAAGACAAGTTATACCAGGAAATAACAGCACACAGCCCTTCTTCGTCCGACGAGGATGACCTCAAGACCTTGCCCTATCTCACCGCTGTACTCGCTGAAACCTTGCGCCTCTACCCCCCAGTCAGCCAGTTGATCAATCGCAAAACTTTGGAGCCAGTGTATCTAGGAAACGGCATAACCATTCCTCAAGGAACATGGGTGGGATGGACGGCATACGGCGTCCATACCGATCCGAATACCTGGGGACTTACCGCCCATGAGTACCGGCCGGAGCGATGGGGGGATGACGTCCATGCCATTCAACGAACGATTAGCCAGCAACAGGTTCGAGGGAGTTATATTCCATTCAACGCTTGGACTCGTAGTTGTATTGGGTCCGAGTTTGCATTATTACAACTCCGAGTGACTCTCTATGAGATCGTCCGCCATTTCGAAATCACTCATGCCCCCGAGTATCATTATTCAATCAAGGAGGCAAGTTCCAGCCCGCAGACGTGTTGCAAAATGTATCGATATAAGTACTGACCCGAAAGCAGAACGCTTCTCTCGAGCCCTATAATTGTCGACTGATTTTCAAGGATAGAATCTAGCCTAGAGACGTTTCTTATCGCGTACCACTGATCACGTTACTCCCAAGGATGTAGTCCATGTTCATTTGTCTGGCATATGAAGAGCAAACAACACTGCTGGGTATCCTCAGGTGCTCCATGACATTGTGCCAATTAGGTAAAGAAGATACCAACTTAGCTCTGTGCTGTCGTTCTAGCTGCGATCTCACCGGAACTGTAGAGTAAATCCTGCGGCGCGCTGCCACACTTTTGCAATAAATACACTGCACATTACGTCCGCTTCAACCATGGGTGCGCATCGCCCCGTTCCGCTCGCTGTGTTTTCGGCGTTGATGATGGCACTTGTCAATCTGCTGGCGCAATTCCTTCCACAGCATCCTGTAGGGGGGTACAGGCTTGCTTGCCTAATCCACCATGCCAGCCAGCTCCTCGCACGTGGATGCTTGGTACACCAATGTAGTGACATGCTATCAAAGTTACGTGCAGTAAACCCAGTCTGATCCCAGGATATGTAGTTTGTATGGAACACGGGGAATTGAAGGATAGTGTGATGGATCCTAGCTGGCACAGTACAAATGATCACACTCCGTACTTGTCCCCCATTTTGGATGGCTTCCTGGGCCTGGAGTTTGGAGAACTGATATCGGGCATTGGGCATTCTATAAGGTGACGGGTAATTTGCTGTAATCGAGTCCCAATCTTGAATCACTATCTGAAATTAATAATTGAGGAATCTGCGGATAGGACAAATAATTCATCTTCAATACTCATGATGATTGGGTAAATAATAGAATTGAGTCGATGAAGATAAATATCCATGTATATTGAGTAATTACACCCAGTTTAGCATGAGGATCTACAACTTAGTAGTTCAAAAACTGGGAAGATTACAATCATATACTATTAATAGTCAAAAGTAGATATTACACTACTTTTAGCTATTGCTCTATTGTTAGATTCATGGAAGCGTTGCGTAGGCCAGATTCAGGTCGCCTCACTCTTGTTTTTAAAAGCTCGATGCCTTGGGGCCTTCACGTCCGGTCTACTCTACACGTCAATGGATACCATCATCTGCATTTCAAATTCATATCTCCATTTGTATTACTATTGTCCTCCATTAACCTTCAATTGAAGACCTTATTGATCCATTATTGTAGAGCTATTATCGTAAATGGGACCTAATCCAGGAAATAAAGTGCTGGAAGGGATCGGTTATGTATATTACTACATCCAACCCTAGAAGTAATACGTCTAAAGCTAACCATTCATACTATACAAAAAAATGCATAATAAAAAAAGACAGAATTGAGGGACGGGTTGAACCAACTATTATTATGAATCCGGAATACACGAATATAGAAAAGATAGATAAAGGCCGGGTTGTATCAGATCATAGATCTAAGTCGATAGATATTACGCCATGTCGGCAATTCTGATCTGAGCAGATATCTTCAATGCTTCCACATCTGCTCCATTATCAGATTTGCAAGATATGACAGTATCTGCTTTAACATCTATCTTTGGAAGGTCTTCTGGAAAAACTTTTGGGTCCAGGCGATACCCATTTATCTGGATATCCCTTAGGCGTATAAGGGCAATGAGAAGGCAGGTTGCCATCTTGAGCAAGGTCCGTGAGGATACTTTGGTTTTTTTTCCCACAAAATCACAAAGACCCACAACTGGGTGCACATAAAATTCTTGATATTCGCCCATCTCTAAGTTTGGAGGCATGGACACGCATATGGCATGGATCATCGAGAGTTCGGCGTATCTCAAAGTGGACATTGGCAACAAACTGATCGTTGTCATTCCTGTATAATTATTAAGGAGAAAAGTCCGACATAGTGCTACAGATTCAAATAAGTCTAGTCAAGTATCTTACTGATCGATTCGGCCCGGCACAATACCATGGTTGTCCCGTTGTTCCTCTGCACAGTCTGCTTTTCGCTACCGGACATCGTCCTATCGAATCTAGATAGCCCAGCACTCCTGATAGTCTTTATAACACTCTTTGGGTTCAGGATCGATATTACTTATTAGGTGGTATTATGATCAACCGAGGGGGCCAACCACCGGGCGACGAAGTGAGATAGTTATGCATTGACTGGAGCAGTTCAAACACAAGCCTGATGCCGATCTGTCTCGGTCAGCTTTGCGAAACTCACGACTATGGGTTGGAATTGGAGGACCAGGTGGTAGAGCATTAGTGTATACTGTTATACGAATAGAGCATTAGACCAAATTCTAGACCCAATATCTGGCGTTGAGAATGACAGAATCACGCACGCCCCTATGATAGCCCTAAAACTCGATCCGGTATAGCGCTGGTTTATACCCCTCAGCACCAAAGGCTCACGTTTATACTTCGCAACGTCACTCCGACTTTCCTCTGCCCAACTCTAGACTTGAAACAATTATGGAAACACAACCTCCCTCTGTCAGTCCCGATCTATTTCAAACCTCCCATTCCCGTTGGCTTGCCATTACACATCGCGCCCCATCATCCCACTCATCCTTTCTGTACGGTGTCAAATCCACAAAGATCTACTGTCGCCCCACCTGTGCTGCGCGCATAGCTCGAAGAGCCAATGTTGTGTTCTACGACACAGCAGACCAGGCGCGCCGTGATGGTTTCCGGCCGTGCAAGAGATGCGAGCCAGATAACCCGAGTTTTCTCGGGGGAAAGGAGGAGGTTGTCGCGAGAGTTATCACGCTTTTGCGGATCAAGAAGGACGAGGTGGCGATGAAGCAGGGCTTGAAGGAGCTGGCACAGGAGGTCGGGGTTACGCCGAGTTATCTTTGTCGGGCGTTTAAGAAGACGATGGGCGTTACGGTTGGGGCGTATATTATGGAGTTTGAGAGGGAGATCAGGCAGGGCGAGACGGATAGTTCGACAGTTCAATCTACTCAAACCCATGGATTAGATATGCTGGATGTGGGGGCTGGGCTCCTGACGCCGGCAATAACAGCTATGAACTCCCCGGCGCCTGTCGATGGTCTGAAAGGAGGGATGGTGGAGGGAGGTGTGGAAACTGTTGAAGAGAATCTGGACTTGAACTTCAATCTCGACGAATGGTTCTGGACGAAAGACTTCTTGAATGACAGTATCTATGGGCGGGCTATTCAAGGTAGTTTAAGGTAGTCAACAGTTAGCTCTGGTATGGTAACTCAGACGAAGGATATAATCATATTGGTGGCACGACACGAAACATACATTCGCGGAGTAGGAAGCTCCAGCAGCAAGGGAGCATCCGGAATAGTGGAAAAACCAACCCTCTGCTTCTGTTTCTGTAATTTCGTATTAAAGTCACTTGCAGATTGAACGAGATCGGCATGCCACAATCATGGCTCATGGCTGGTAGCCTAGACGCTGCCTAAGCGGTGTACTGGGAGCCTAGACAGGGTGAAAACAGCGGCTTCCTTCTTACATTGAACTCTTGCCCAACGATTCACCGATCCATAGTCAATTTATCCCATTCTTAGAGCACCTGTCCACGATTATTATGGAGGAAGAAGACTCCTGGATAAATTTTTTCTTCTCTGGCAATCCTCCAGAGTTCGTGAATGAAATCAAGGCCGATCAACAGTTCCGACCTTTCTGTTCTCGAGATGACGCTTGGAAACTACGAGGCCTGGCCGATAAGACAAGACCGATAGACGAGACCAGGATACAAGTTCTCTGGCTTCTGATCAATGGACATAGAAGATACGTTGGCAATGTGGTCAGTTGGTCCCTTAGCTGTGCGCTATACCAAGAATTCATCCCATTTTAGTTTCCCGATTATACAAAGAGGGAGGCCATGTCGCAGCTTTACCGGCTCAGGGTATCGAAGCGCCAGATCCCCCAGATGATAGACAATGCTGTGCTCAACTTTGATAGGTTCGTCCGAGAAGCTCGGGCATATACCCAGATTGACCGATTCTGTTCCCGCCGGGAAAGAATATATTTCCCTAAATTCCATGGTATAGTTACCGACATGCAAAGAGATAGGTTCTTGTCAGGATATGTTCATCAGCGAGCGGTCGTGCTGGAAGCCATTATACCGAAGTTGTCTTCTCGGCGTATCCTTGCTGAGCGCGGCTCTCAATTACCAGAAATCTCCTTGGAGGCGCTTGCGAAGCTGTCCTTAAGCTCATTTGAGCGCGACTGGTATATATCTTTGCTAAACGACCGCCTTCGTCGCCTGGATGCCTTACATCGACTGGGGGTCACTCATGGAGACGTCCAGGACTGGCATTTTAGAGTTCCTGGTGACTTTTATGATACAGTCTTATATGACTTCTCTGAGGCGTACACAGTCTCTCCCAAGTGGCCTTTCCGGATAAATCATGGCAAACCTCGGCCGTTGAGAGGCATAGCAAAGGGCGAACGTGAGATAGTTAGCATGCACATTGAAGAACGGTAAGAAATCGGCCGGGCCTCTTCTGAATCAGGACTAATACGTACTCAGAGCTGGCACCCGTGATTTCCGTTCTCATCTTGCCCACCTGAGTTCAGAGAACACCGTTGATGATGCGCTCTGGCAGTCGCTGTACGCGGAGAAGGAGTCGCTGGAGTTGATTATATTCAAAGTTCGCCATCGCCCAGATTGTCTGTCTTTCCTGCAACCCTTCGGACGTACGCAACTAATCAGTCTCGCTAGACTTTTCGATGCCTACGCTGAATTCCGTTTTCCCTTTCCTAGAGGCGGTTTGTCCACCATCTGACCCTGGCTTATCCGCCGAGGCCGGCTTTTGCAGCATTACGAATCAGTCTGGGCGGTTTCCCGATTCGATGAAAACCAGGCCGCGTCTATTCTATTCGATGGCGAAGTGGAGTTTGAAACAGACGATTTGCGTGGTAGATCCTATTTTATGCTTTGCTTAATACCAAAGTCGTGGAATCTATCATGGAAGACGGATCATGAATCAAGTTCGGAGGATACAGGACCAAGTCACCAGCTACGACAAGCTTGTTCGCTTGCCTTGTCTGAGCGTTCGGGGCAGATCTTTGGCCGTAGCGAATTTCTGGAAGTTGGCAAGCAAGACAAAGAATTTGAGCCGAGTGAGCATGTATAGTCTACGGATTATGCTATATTATGAACTACATCCAAACACCATCCTTGAGTATCTGTTTGGCGGTTTTGTGTATGTACCGACTATGTTCAGATTTCGTCCTGTCTTGCAATTGTTGAAATGTTGATTATCTTAGATAGTAAACTAGAATTCGGTACTCATCTAGGAGCACAATAGGATCAAAAGGCTTGAGGGTGGCTCTTACAAATCCAGTCGACCGGGTCTCCAAATCGATTACCGGATGCGGAAAGTATGCCCTAATCCCCAACTTGCCAAGACCGTTGTGTCCTCAAGTCTTCACCTTATTACTGAGTCCTGCTTGGTTGATTCTGTTGACAGAGAGCTTGGTATTGTCTTATATTGAACAGCGTAATATGATCATACATATAGTATAACTGTAGCATCATCTTCCACTGAATTCTTACTTATCTTCATCAACACCAAACCAGAGGCTATCGCAGGATATGATTGAATCCCCAAAACGAGACAAAGAAGCAAAAAGAACTAAGTTGTCTCACGCCAGCCACACATTACAAACAAGCAAAGACAGTCAAAGCCCAAAGACACATATTCCCTAGTTAATACACCGTTATACACCCTACTTCATTTAGTTCACAGATACGGACCTCCTCCACGTAAAGTAGCCACAAATACCGACCCTCCAAGCTAACCCTAACCAGCACCGACGCCGGATTACTGATCGGCATTGCCATCTCGGATAAATCGCTAAAGTAAATCCTGCCAGCACCTCTTGACAGCTCCAGATGCACGCACTAGCATCCAATCGCATTTCACTCCGGTTGTAAATAGGGTTTCCCAAGGTGGGAATAAGCAGTGGAAGTTCCCCCGCATCTCCGCATAACCCGCTCGATAACCGAGGCGAAATCGTCGTATCTGCGCCGACGTATAAATAGCACTGCTTGTATCACCATGATGAACCGTGTTCAGGCTGGGCCTTTTCGAGCGAAGATTCAATTGACCTATTCATCTCTTTCTCTCTACCCTATCAGTCCATAAACACATCCATTCCAGCCATGACTTCCCCGTCCTCCGCCCTTCCCCGCAAACTGTGGGAACATGCCAACCCCCAATCTACAGAGATGTGGGCCTTTAAACAAAAGCTAGAAGCTGAGAAGGGGCTTCAATTCCCTGTACGTGTTACATTTACTACATGAAGGAGTATAACCCAATCTAACCATGCACAGACATTCCACGACCTCTACCAATGGTCCATCCACAACCGCGCCGCCTTCTGGGCCTTCTGCTGGGAGTATTTCCCCATCATCCATGAGGGCACCTACACCACCGTCGTCGACGAATCAGCCCGCATAGACAGCGTCCCGACCTGGTTCGAGGGCATCCGGCTCAATTTCGCCGAGAACATGCTCTTCGCTGGCGAACGGACGCCCAATGGCGATCTGAAAATCACAACCACAAACAAAGAAGACGGCAAGATTGCCCTAACACAGATCCGCGAGGGTGGCTCGGAGCCAGCGATCAGCATCACCTGGCGCGAGCTGCGACAGCGAACGGGGCGGTTAACCCAGGCCTTAAAGGCAGCAGGGGTGGTCAAGGGAGATCGGGTGGCGGTGGTGGCGAGCAACAGTATCGATACACTGGTTATACTGCTGGCGACAACGGCGCTCGGGGCGCTGTTCTCGTCGGCGTCGACCGACACCGGCGTCAAGGGGATTCTGGATCGGTTGCTGCAGCTGCAGCCGAAGTGGGTATTTGTTGACGATGCGGCGGTGTATAATGGGAAGCGGATTGATCTGCGGCCCAAGATTAGGGATATTGTTGGTGGGCTGGGTGGTGTCGCGGAGTTCCGGGGCGTGGTCGCGGTGCCTCGGTTTGCGGCTCCGGCTGATCTGACTGGTGTGCCGAAGACGCAGTCGCTGGCGACCTTCTTAGCCCAGGCCCGGTCCGATGAGCTGGAATTTGTGCGCATTGCGTTCCGCGATCCCTTCCTGGTCGTTTACTCGTCGGGGACGACGGGGAAGCCCAAGCCCATTGTTCATGGTGTCGGGGGGTATATCCTCAACGGCACTAAAGAGGCCCGGTTACATAGGGTTCATGGCCCGGAGTCTGTCGTGCTACAGTATACGACCACGGGATGGATCATGTACCTCTCCGCCATCACGGGCCTGATGTTCGGCGGGAAACCCATCCTATATGATGGAAGTCCCTTCCTGCCTGACGTGAAGTTTCTCATCCGATTACTGGGCGAGTACAAGGTGACGCACTTCGGTACTTCGCCGCGGTATCTGCAGGAGCTACGGAAGAACAACGTCCGGCCGAGGGAGATCGCGGACCTCTCCAATCTCTCCATTGTCACTAGTACCGGCATGGTGCTGTCGGAGTCCTTGTTCGAGTGGTTCTACGACGAGGGCTTCCCGGCTCACACGCAGCTAGCCAACATCTCCGGAGGGACCGACCTGGCCGCGTGCTTCGGGCTCGAAAACCCGCTGACGCCTCTGTACGTGGGCGGCTGCCAGGGACCCAGTCTGGGTCTCCCCATTGCAGCGTTCGACCAAGCGGACGAAGGAGCGTCTGGGGTCAAGGGGACAGCAGTTCCAGACGGCGTACCGGGAGAAATCGTCGCCACAGCAGCATTCCCAACGATGCCGGTGAAGTTCCTCGGAGCCGACGGACCGCAGAAGTATTTCGACTCCTACTTTGCCCGGTTTGACAGTAAGCGTCCCCACCCTTCTATCAGATATGTCCTGGTATACTAACAATAAGAAAAGACGTCTGGACGCACGGCGACTTCATCAGCATCCACCCGATCACGAAGCAAATCTTCTTCCTCGGCCGCTCGGATGGAGTGCTCAACCCATCCGGGATCCGATTCGGGTCTGCCGAGATCTACAACGTAATCGACACGCGATTCGCCGATGAAATCGCAGACTCGATCTGCGTGGGCCAGCGACGACCCCAGGATACTGATGAATCGGTGATGCTGTTCCTGCTCATGCGGCCGGGGCGCGAATTCACGCCGCAGCTGGTGGGCCGGGTTAAGGAGGCGATTCGCAAGGCGCTCAGTGCGAGACATGTCCCGAAGTATGTCTTCCAGACGCCTGAGATTCCGGTAAGTGGCCCTCCTCCGTGTGCGAGGGCAAGCGCAAGCTAACGAGGGTGTAGACGACGGTTAATCTCAAGAAGGTTGAGTTGCCGGTGAAGCAGATTGTTTCGGGGAAGAAGATCAAGCCCTCGGGGACGCTTTTGAATGCGAAGAGTTTGGACTTCTATTATCAGTTTGCCGAGGTTGAGAGGTTGGTAGAGCCGAAAAGCAAGCTGTGAGGTGTGGACGGATTGCAGAGAACAGACAGACAATATGGGAGAACAAGACTAGGAATATACAGTGAGATACACATGGGCACAGCAAATAGACCCTTGGTTGGGGAAGAAATATAGATTTTGTTGTTATTACATTCAATGGCTCTCGGCCTCGGTTACTCACGGCGTCAACGTTTAGGAGACTACATAACCAGACGTGCTCAACAACAACATATATTCAACTGTAGTAGAACGCAGGATGAAGTTCTTTAGTTTACTCAGACCTAGTGTTTGGGAACTGTGCGAGAAGCATGGAGGTTCATAACGACGGTGACATGGCCGCACCATTAGGGTATAAGACACACAATGCTCCGGTATGGCTTTATTTCACTCGCCTATCTACAATCAGAGCCCATCGCCCTGGCAGCATCAACTCCCCCATCCGCCTGCGGGAGGGCTTTCATCATTCAGCAGCTTACTCGGGCTGCCCAGTAGGCAGCACCACTTTCAAGTGGGATATCGTAGTCCAGCCCATCCAAACATAAAGATAATACAGAGGAAAAATCGACAAGAAAGAAAACAGGAGCGCCGTCTATACGCCGAAGTAAAGTGCTGACCCAGCCGCTCAAGATAAATCGCACACTGATGCAAGGTCGTCGTCTATTTGTTGTGGATCATAAAGTTGCGGAATGAATCCCAGTGATCGCAGTCGGAATAGCTAAGGAGCGTCAGTAAGGATCAATCTGCAAAAAGAGAATAAAGGGCCATACATGTAAACCATGCTACTCTTCAAACTCGACATGAGGGTGTCCGGGTGCCAGCGGAAGATGTACATGACCATAGCCCAGCTCAAACTGGCAAAGACTGGCCATGCGTGTTTCTCAATATCGGCTCGAGCACTGGGGGTTACAAGGGACGATAGGGGGTGCATGTTCGGTTGCACGGACAGCTTGGCAAGAGCCAGCAGCACACGGGCAAAAACGTAAATAACAATCTATCATGGTCTGCGTTAGCCCAGGTTCGTCCCTGTCATAGTGTTCATTGTCCGTACCTGCTGCGTGATACTGGTCTTGTTCCGGCCGAACACGGCATACCCTCCCAGCAGACCAGCAAAGAAGCTGTCAAACCGTCCCTCCTTTCCGACTCCAGAGGGGTTCACGTTTCGCAGGACGAGCATAGAGCTCTTGTATATGAAAGCAAAGGTCGCGAGGTTCCGGGCATGCTGGCGTGTGGCTTTCAGGACAAGCTTTGCTTTTTCTCGGAAGCTATAGAGTATATCAGCACACGGTCTCGTATGACAGTCACACCGAACGGGATCGCTTACGTTCCAGAGCGAAAGAGAAAAATCATCCTGTAAGAAAATACATCGACATATCAGCTATAGTTCCCACTGGAATCCAATCTTCTCCGGGGTTGGACATACACCAACGCATGCGGAAACCGCACTTTTGCGCCGTATACTGCGCCATTACGGACGGTCTTAACTAGCGCGAGAATAGGTGCAAGGTCGGGGTTGGTGACAATAGTATCTAAACGGGACTACACAGCGATTAGAAAGGCACGAACGGCGGCTGGAGGGTAGTAAGGGAACATCTCATCCTACCATGAGAGCATCCATAGTGACTCGTCGGGGACCTCGGCAGGCCGATCGGATGAGCAGCACAGGTCGATATGGGACAGTTTCACCGACGGAGATCACTCGATGTGTCTCAGATCATGGGGAGGTCATACGATGAAGAAAGGAAGTATCGTCTTGGAGCCCAAAGAAAATATAGTAATTAGAAAGCCAGGACCACAGGAAGGTGGGGAGGGCGGCAATTAAGGACATCTTCTGCTTCCGCGCAAATGCGAAAGATCCCTCGGCATGTGAGCCTGCGCCGAAAAGCCCCAAAAACGTCACTGGTCACGTGGGCGCCTGCTGATCAGGAAACGTCCTCAGGCAGTCAGGCATACATACATCTATACAGTACGGAGACTTGAGGGCTAGATGCTAACGATGGTTGTGCCCGAACTTTTTCACTTGTAGAGAGCAGGAGCGTAAATCTATACACATGAACAACATCAAACGGGGTTTATAGAGAAGCAGCTATATTGCTTGGCATAGTCAACAGAGAAACCAATCCGCCGGTAACGCCTCGTGCGTGATAGAAAAGGAGGGAACTTCATCAAATGAATACATTTTTTAAGCCGTCTTAGTCCTCTTCCGTCCCTCATCCTCCGAAATCTCATCTACATCCATCATATCCCCATCCTCCTCGTCCGACTCCATGCCGGCACGCCGCTTCAGACCCTTCATCTTCCTCGTCTGTAATCCGCCCAGATCTTGCTTGGTCAAGTGCACGCGACCGACCTTATCACCAATAGAATCCATGCCGATGTTCTTCTTCATCTTAAACTCTTCGTTAGGCCGCTTGCCTTGCTTCATCGCCTCCTTCATGACATCCCGAGGCGCCTCCTGGGTACGTCCAACCTTGAAGTCAAACTTGGGACCGATCTCCTCCAACTCCACCCGTGGGAGCTTATGTCCACTGCGCTTCGTCTTGAGCTTGTACCACCGCAGGTGAACAACAGGCGACAAACCATCGGTGGGTTCCTCAGCAGCAACCATGAGCGCATATTGCAAGCCCTCCACATCAATCTTATCCGTAGTTTCGCCCTTGAACATATCCATGAACATGCTCTTCAGCATGACATGCGCCGACGACGTAGGATCATCCCAGGGGGTGCCGGAGAAAAGCAGCAGCGGCCGTAATCCCATACCAACGTTCATGGTGAGGTTGTTCATCGAGGGAATCTGGTCTCCATCCGGGCTGGGAAGCAACAACAATTCACACATATCAAGCAGCTTGGCATTGAACACCCGAGCCATAGTAATGCAGTTCGGTCTCTTCTTGTTGCTGCTGCCAAATAGCACCATACCACAGTCGTTCTTATCGGCCAAGAACTCAAGGCTCTCTGCACTTTCGAACGGGTGAATATTCTCATTCTTCTTGTGGAACAGGATCGAGTTCGGCCGGGTCAGGGAGTGGAAGGTTTTAAGGACCGTGTGGAGCGGTGTCGGACATTTCGAGCCGTGCAGTAACAATGTGCGCTTGGCTCCTTCGATGAGCTGGGGTTCTTTGGCTTTGAGAATTCGCGCCGTGCGCGGATTCTTGGGTTTTCTGTCGCAGAGATTTTCACCGGTCAGTATTCCCACATCATACACATACTCTTACAGGGATATATAGTAGGGCTTACACTTCTCTGAGCATCATCTTGAAATATGGCTTCTCGGTGGAAAATCTTCCAGATGGTGCCTGCTCAGCGGCTGATCTCTAGTGAGGATCAAAATTTAGAAAAAGGCGGAACGAAAAGTTTTGGCGGAAAGGTCTTGGCGTCTCTTATCGATAAGCTTATTACCACCCAGCCCTCATACGGGGAAGTCTCGCAAGCTATGCGTCCAGTCTCAGGAAAGATTTTGCTTGAATAATATCTGGTTATTGAGATCCTACAAGAAGGTCGGCAAGGATTAGTGCAGTACCTCAGCGAAACGAAAGCCGTTGCTCAGGAAACGGCGTATACCTCGAAGAAATAAAAGAAATACAAGCTAAAAATAATTGTTTGAACAGTCTTAAATTCACCTTTTATAGGGTACTAACTATATGCAGAGCTCATCTACTCTTTACTCTAGTCGCAGCTTCTCGAATTCACGAATCTGTTCTTCCAAACGAGCAGTCTCGCTCTCAGCATCCTTGAGTTTCTTCTCTTCCATCTCGCGTACCTCGGGCTTAGCCTTCTCCTTCCATGCAGCGCTGCTCATGAGGTTGTTCTGACGAGTCACAACGGCACGGGCCTTCTCGAGGCTGGCCTTGGCCTTCTCCTCCTGTTCAAGAGCGACCTCCTTAGACACGCGCAGGAAGACAGCTGCCTCAGAGCCAACAGCAGACACCACGCAACCCGATGGCCGAGTAGTAGACTCGGGTCCCTGAATGCTGAGATCGCCCAGGGACTTACCACCCAGAGACTTAACGCTGGTCAGTTCTTCCGAGAGCGTCTTGTGGCTGGTGGCATCGTAGGTCTGTATGATGATGTCTCCCTTGGTCTTGATTTCATATTGGGCAAGAATCGAACGGATGGCGCTCGAGGTCTTCAAGATAAGTTCGTAGGCAGTTTCAGCCTCGGTGTCATTGAACTCAGCCTTGTATTCGGGGTAACGGGCCTTCATGATGGAAATGGTGTTGTCGTTGGGACGGCGAGGCAGACGCTGCCAGAGCTCTTCCGTGACGAAGGGCATGATAGGGTGGATCAAGGTCAAAGCACCCTCAAGAGCAGTGTAGAGAGTCTGCTTAGCCGACTCCTGCACCTCAGCTGGCACTTCAGGAGCAAGGAGGAACTTCGAGTTCTCAATGAAGACGTCGCAGAGCTGGGCGTACCAGTACTGGTACACAGTAGTAGCAACAACGTTAAACTCACGCTGCTCCAAAGCCTCGTTAATCTCCTTGGCAGCAGAGTTGAACTTGTGCAAAATCCAGCGCTCAGAAAGGGACTCGCGGCCAGTCTTTGAAACGGTAGGTTGAGGCTTGAAGTCATCACCAAGCTTGCCAAGGACATACTTGGTGGCTTGGTAGATCTTGTTACAGAAGCGACGGTATCCGTGGATAACCTGAATGTCAAATGCAATATCACCACCTAGTAAACAGTTAAATATTTAGGTTTCGCTCGGAAAGTCTTGGAAATAACATACCTCCGGTAGTGTAAGACACAAGAGCAAAACGCAAAGCGTCAGCACCGCACTCGGGAATACCCTTGGGGAAAGCCTTCTTCTGATACTTGGTAGCGGTAGCAACCTCCTTCTCGGCAAGGTTACCAAGGAGGAGCTTGTCATGCAGCGTCTGGAGCTGAATACCCTCCATAACATCAATGGGGTCAATGACGTTACCCAAAGACTTGGACATCTTACGGCCCTCCGAGTCTCGGATCAGGGAATGGCAGTACACCTCCCTGAAGGGAACCTGGCCGGTCAACTTGATACCCAACATGATCATTCTGGCGACCCAGAAGAACAGAATATCCCAACCAGTCTCGAGAACGGAGGTGGGATACAAGTTCTCAAAGTCGTGAGTCTTGTTGGGCCAGCCCAGGGTGGAGAAGGGCCACAGTCCAGAGGAGAACCAGGTGTCAAGCACGTCAGGATCCCTCACCAAATCGAACTTCTTGTCGGGGAACTTGGCCTCGGCCTTCTTGCGAGCCTCCTCTTCGGTACGGCCGGTGACCCAGAGGTTTCCATCACTGTCGTCATTTTCCTCGCCCTCGATCTTGACAAAGTAAGCAGGAGCCTGGTGACCCCACCACAACTGTCTGGAAAGGCACCAGTCGTTAATGTTCCTCATCCAGCGGAAGTAGCTCTTCTCGGCAGACTCTGGCTTGATGACAATGTCACCCTTCTCAACAGCCTCGATGGCAGGCTTGGCAAGGCTTTCCATCTTCATCCACCACTGGGGCTTGAGGATGGGCTCAATAACATCGTTGGACTTGGCACAGCGAGGGATCTTCATAGGGTTGTGCTCCCACTTGACATACAGCCCCTTCTCCTTCAGAAGTTCGATGACCTTGTAACGAGCGTCGAAACGCTTCATACCGGCAAAGATACCACCATTCTTGTTGAAGGTACCATCGTCGTTCATCACGGAGATGAACTCGAGGTTGTGGGCCTTTCCACGGTTAAAGTCATTGAAATCGTGAGCCGGAGTGATCTTGACGGCACCGGTACCGAACTCGGGGTCGACATCGGTGTCTGCAACGATCGGAAGCAAGCGGTCCACGAAGGGGTGTTTGGCACACTTGCCGATCAGGTGTTGGTAGCGCTTGTCCTCGGGGTGAACGGCGATACCAGTATCACCAATCATGGTCTCGGGACGAGTAGTGGCGATCTCAATCCTTTCCTTGGTGCCATCAATCTCGTAGCAGAAGTGAGTCAAAACACCGAATTCGACCTTCTTTTCGTAGCCGGGCACATCAAGCAGGGTACGTCCTTCAACCTCTTTGTTCTCGACTTCCAGGTTAGAGAGGGATGTGTTCAGAGCCACACACCAGTTGACCAGGCGGTTGGCACGGTAGATGATACCCTCTTCATGCAGGCGAACGAAAGTCTCAGTGACGGCGGCGGACAGGTTAGGGTCCATGGTGAAGGCCTCGCGAGACCAATCAAAGGAGCCACCAACTCTGCGCAAGGCATTCTTAATGTTGGCATGATATTCGTGCTTCCATTCCCACACGCGGTTTGTAAACGCCTCGCGGCCCAAATCGTGGCGGGTCTTCTTCTCCTTCTTCCAAAGCATCTTCTCCACGACGCTCTGGGTGGAGATACCGGCGTGGTCCATACCAGGCAACCACAGGGTGGTCTTGCCCTTCATCCGCTGCCAACGGATCATGGTATCTTGGAGAGCATTGGTGAGGGCGTGACCCATGTGGAGAGATCCGGTAACATTAGGAGGAGGGATAGGAATGACGAAGTGGCCCTCGGGCCTGACCTTGCCGTCGGCGCCGAATTCGGGCTTGAAAAGATCACGCTCCTCCCACCATTCATAACGGCCGGCCTCGATGACCTTGGGGTCGTACGCATCGGTAGTCTTGTCCTTCTCGACCTTCTTCTCCTTCTTCTCGGCCTTGGGGGCAGGGGCGGGCTTCGCTGCTGCCTTGGCCTTTTTCTCGGCGAACTTCTTCGCCTTCTCAGCCTTGCGACGCTCGCGCTCCACTATACATTCAGAACCGGTGTCAGTCGTTTCCATACCCCAGCGACGCACCTATGCGATGGGTTCGTGGACGGCAAGGAACATACATTCTTTCTCGGTCTTCACCTTAGGAGGAGCAGCCGCATCGGCATTTTGGTTTCTCGTCTGGTCATCGGCCTGGGGGGGAGTGTCAACCACGGGAGCCACGGGCTCACCAGCTGTCATGACACACGATCCCGTTAGCTTCTAATCCATAGCTCGCCGACAATGAGTCATGGCGAACCAAGTCAAGAGCACTTACTGGGATTCTGGGGGGCAGAAGGCTGGGCCATCCTGGAAAATGATCGATAGATAGGAGGAGGGAATCTCCAAGGCGCCGATCGCGCCACGAATCGTCGGATAAGTATCTTGACCACCGGTGACTCCAACGGCGATAGAGAACAAGGAGGGGGAGGGGTCGCTCGTTGTGCGAATGCGGGCAATTAAATTTCCTGGCGCGCAGAGCAAAGAACGGAACGAATCAGAGGTTGCAAGAAGAGTGCGGGGCCCAAAAAAAAAACACCACCGGTGGAGAACGATTGGTTCCAGTGGAGGTTGTAGTAGGATTAAGCCTGAGGCATGGGTCGGGCAGTTCAACTCCCCAAGGACCCTCGAATTGACCACTTTTCCTTCGCTCGCGCGTCCTCTCGGTCTTGTCCTTTCTCACTCTTTATGCCATCGCCCATGAGTCACATCACGTGATGATACTGTCCAGTCACTGCAGACGGCAGACTACGGACATTTGCTACGGCAGGAATGCTACTCCAGTCCAGATCCGATCGAGACGAGGATTGTTTATTGTTCTCCGGAGACCTATCCCCCGGATTCTTCCCAGGCCCGCGCTATCTATATAACCTTTGCACTCAAGATATCAAGTGGGACGGAACTATTCCACAATGCATTCAATAGTGTCCTGAAAAAAAGGAAAGCCCAGATTCATAAAGCACCAAACTATGTAGACCCTCACGCCGTTTAATGACGCAGTAAGGAAGGAGTTGCACACGGGAAATATGATCAAAGGGTAGAAGTGGCAAAGTTCAAAATGCAATAATGGCAGCGAAGAATGATATCCCATCGACAACGGTCCAACAGTTACGAGGAAAGAAGGATGGTAGAAACTGCACAAGACTGAGACAGCCGTGCTCGTGCAGAAGGCACCAGCCGTCAAGCCCGTTGATCCCACTCTAAACACCATCGGATAAATCCCCTCACTTGGTGCGCCAAGAGTAATGAGCTGAGATGGGCTCGGTGGCCCATCGTATTAAGTGTATGTCATCTGTTTTCATCATCGTCGTCTCCGTCCATATGGCATAACTCATCGCATCCATGGCGCTCTCAGTGTTTTCTTGTCCAGAGCGACACAACAACCATTTGTTACGTCGCCGTTTGTAGTTCTTTCTTGTAATAAACTCATCTCCTTGTCTCAACCCAAGGCACTCAAAATGTAAACCAAATCGATGTTTATCAGCAGCAGCAGATGGTCAAATAATCGTGGAGGGTGCTATGCAGTAAACCCGAGGGTTCTGTGTATAATAGCTATAAGACTCTGGTGCGCGCTTGCGGTTTATGTTTACAATCCCCTATTGTTCTGAGCTTGCACTTCTGGCCGGACAGGATCGAAGTAAGGGTGAGCCATGGCCTCCTGTGCGGTCAGACGTTCCTAGACGACAGTCAGTGATATGTTACGGAAGGGAGATCTGTGATGCATACCGCATGATCATATCTGAGAAGTTTGTCTAGGAAATCAATGGCCTCGTCAGAGACGAAACGCTGATTCTCGGCATTGACGAAGGTATGCCAGGCCTTGCGAGGGAAACGGGAAAGAATTTCATCATATTGAGGGTCCAGCTCAATTTCATATTTATCCAGATACTCGAAGAGCTCCTCAGTGCCGAGGACCTTGGCGATCTTCACCAATTGGTCTGAGTTGCTGTTTCCGTGGAAGAAAGGCTCCTTGCGGAAGATCATAGATGCGAACATGGCACCAAGTGACCACATGTCCAGAGAGTAGTCGTATTCTTGGAAGTCAACGAGCAACTCGGGGCCCTTGAAGTATCTAGAGGCGACACGAACGTTATACTCAGTACCCTTGTGATAGAATTCGGCAAGACCCCAATCGATAAGACGCAGCTGGAGATAGGTCAGTATATGTATATACACCAATACCGGCCATCAAAACTCACCTTGCGCTTCTCATGGTCGATCATGACGTTGTGAGGCTTCACATCACGATGCATGATACCCTTGCTATGGCAGAAGTCCAACGCCTTGAGGAGCTCATAGACATAGTAGCGGACATCGTAGTCGGAGAATCGCGGATAGAGTGTGCGGAAGTCGGTATTGTTCACATACTCGAAAACCAGACTCGGGGTCTTGCTCTGACTATCGCGGACCACATCCAACAACGCTACCACGTTGGGACCACCTGCCAGGTTCTGAAGAATCTTGATTTCACGCTTAATCTTCTTCTTCTTGACTGGTTTGAGGACCTTGATGACACACTTCTGGTAGTTGACAACATTGATGCCCTCAAAGACCTCCGAGTACTTTCCACGGCCTATAGTAGCGATTGTTAACATTAATCATCACCATCACGCACTGACCGCCTAGCCCCGCGACAACCATATCGGTGTGGGTAGGTGGCAGCGGAGACATCCCGTTGTTGCGCCTTACCTATCTTGCGGACCACTTCATAGTTCTCCAGAACACCCCAAGAGATGTTTACACTGTCATAATCCCAGTAGGACCGAGGCATATGCTCGTTAACATCGGCATAAACGCGCGCCATGGTGATGGCGGCTGACAAACAGATTTCGCGTCCGCCCACAATCGGATGGCGAAGATAAAATGCGGCGGGGTAGAGGGGAGTAGTGATGAGAGAATAGTCGCGACCAAATATCCGAATTGAAGGACAGACAACAACAGCTGCAAGACTAGGAGCTAAGGAACCCGTCCAAACAGTGCAGCCGTGCTATCGCCCCGAACAACGATGAACCAGAGGGAGAGTCTATATATCAGAGGGTGGATGATCAGAATGGGCTAAGAGCGTCTCGCTCCGCCTTTCACGGATCACGTGGCAGTGCTATCGATCAGGCTAGACCGGAGCTCGGAGAAGCTATTGACGCGGGCGATTTTCTGATTTCCTTTCTCGGACAGTTCCCAAGATATACTTCTCGTGCACTAAAAAAGAATCCTTTGGAACGACGATTCCAAACACCCGGCTTGGCTCAAGCTTTTAAAGCTCAACAGGCACAATGTTTTACGACCTCAACGTGCCGTACGGCCCAGACGATCCCGAGATCGCTCCAACTTTAAGCTTTCTTGCAGAACGTATGTCATTTTTCCCGGCCACACGACCAATGTTGGAGATGACCACCTTGGAAGGAAGCTGACCTGACTCTCAGTCGGTTACACGACAATCGCCCTTTCGCAAACCCTCAACGGAAAGCTTCCTCCAAATCCTACTCCCCCACTTGTTCCCACCAATGTTCCCAAGGGCCTGACGCTACTAACCCGCGTGAACGTACCACTCTCCGACCCCACGCAGAACCAACGACTTACCACCCTCACCCAGGCGTATGATTTAGTAGCAATCCGCCCTGCCAATGAAAAGGCCCTGTTGAATGCGTGCACCAATCTGGAATGCGACGTGATTTCCTTAGATCTCTCCGTGCGGCAGCCATACCACTTCAAGTTTAAAATGCTCTCCGCCGCTATCGCACGAGGAATTCGCTTTGAAATTTGCTACGGGCCGGGAGTCACGGGGAGCGGTGCCGACGCCCGGCGCAACCTCATCGGGAATGCAATGTCACTGATCCGCGCAACACGCGGAAGAGGAATCATTATCTCCAGTGAGGCCAGGAAGGCTCTGGGTGTTCGGGCGCCGTGGGATGTGATTAATCTGGCATGTGTATGGGGCCTGTCACAAGAGCGCGGCAAGGAGGCTATTTGCGAGGAGGCGAGAAAAACGGTTGCGCTGGCAAAGTTGAAGCGCACGAGCTGGCGTGGAATTATTGATGTCATTGACGGTGGAGAAAAGCCAAAGCCGAAGACCGACAAGCCTGCGTCTAAACAAAAAGGCGCAGCATCCAAGCAAAACGACACCCCTCAATCCGAGAGCAACAGCGACACTCTTAAGAGGAAAGCATCTGTAGTGGAGACCGAAAAGCCGCTGTCGAAACGGGAGATGAAGCGCAGAGCTAAGAAAGCTCGGCTGGGAGTGGTCGACAGCGAAGACAGTGCGACAACGCCAGCCAATAGCTAAAGCAAGCACCCAGCAATATTCATAAGGCTTGTATTCATGCAATGGATCGGTGGGGCTCCCACTGCCACTACCCATCATTTGAGCTTGCTCATGAGCTCAAGATGATTTCGGGCGATGGTCCTAAGCTTCCTCTAACATGTACCATTATGGTCTTTGAGGTGATGTATCGTCATGATCACAAGGGTACGGAGCAACCTAAACTGCATTCTAGGTTGTGAACAGCTTATCGAATGCATCACACACAGCACGGAAAGAACTAGTAAACGCTTACTTAGCGTTGGAAACTGCTTCTTAAACTGTGGCCATCCTAAATCTGTGAAACCCGTTGTCTGGGTCAGCCAGCAGCTAGGGAGCGCCAGTCAAGAGCGGAGCTAGCCTCACGTCTCACAACACGTCCGTCTATATCTTATAACATATACTTAGGTAGCAGATTCGGCGTAATCAGCTCTTCCAAATTATGAACAGCATGGTTTTATTCTACCAAAGCTTTCCTATTGTACGAATTGAGTAAATGCAGGCTTCCCAGTTACAGTTAGGGCAAGTTCGGGAGAGGGTTGCCATCACCAAACCCCAAAATGTCTGAAGTAGCAAATAACATGTTTGGCGATATAAAAGGAAAGAAGAAGCAGAATAGCAATGAAAATTAAAAACTCTTACTATAGAATAACAACAGCTGTGCTAAATTGAGGAGCGAAGATAAATGGAAGTTGCCGGGGCAAGACTACATGTGAGGGAAATATCAATATAACTTTTTACGGGGATTACAGATGCAAATACCAGTGACCTTCTTCTGAAGAAGAGAAGAAAGGAAGGAAGGAAGGAAGGGGAAATTCAGAAGCTCCCATGCTCTTTGAAATTCATTCCTTAGAAATTATTTATTGAGTGACATCAGAAGTCGCATTGCCTTCAGACTATACTTCAGACCGCGCTGGACACGTCGTATTAAAAAGCACTATTCTACCTCCTAAATGCAACTAATGCCAGCATACACTTACATCATGTCTCATCCTGATAAGTCATGTCCGTAATGGGCATCAGAAGGTATGAACCGAAAAAAATGGTCAACGTTCACCGAAATGAGGAGGAAGGTTAGGTATGGATATTTATATGCAAAGCGAAGTGAGGAGAAAAGGATAGAGAGAAGGTAAAAGGAGGTAGATGGAGAAGAAGGCCCAGAACAAAGATAGAAGAAGATTATTAATGCTCGTATCCTCCAGGGAAGACAGGCCACGGGATGTGAGAAGGCAAATCTGTTGTTGAATCCCAGATAGTAAGGGGGAGAGAGAAGAGTAGGGTGTGTTGGCTACCCAGAAAATGAGAGACACTACTAAGAGGTACTCTCCAGCTCTACAAGGACTCGTAGATCACCGTCCATCCAGTCTACGTTACCCGCAGAGAGGAGTGCGATCGTCCACTCGCCGTCATTCTGGACAGGGGTCAAGCCCTCGGGCAACCAGACTCGGAATCTCCAGCCAACCGAAGACATCCAGGCTGCAGGGTCCAGCGACGGGTCAGAAGGTAGACCTGGCAACTGGCCCGCGAATCGACGGCAGAGTAGCTGTTTCAAAGTCTCAAGGTCCGGACAGTGTCCTGCAGGAAGATCTACCCGTGGAAGTACACGTTTACCGTTCTGCATGATATTGATTCGCAAAGATATTGGTGCTTGAGAGGTTGTCGGCGGGTTTGGCATAGTTAGACCTGTTGGGAGGGGCGGAAAATTTGATGGGTGCATGGAGGCATGGTCGTCGGTTGACGTTTGTACGCCATGTTTCGTTGCAATATTATCACGGATAATGCGAGAAAGGTCACGGGTGATACTGCTTGCACTACAAGGGAGTTAGTTTCATGTTAAATACCGAGGAAGGTGGTCATGGGAGGGTGGCAACATACAACTCATTCCTGGCAACTTGATGTCGATCCCCACCAACTCTCCACCGTAAACACGACACAGAGTTTGCATGTAAGATATGGTTGATATTCTCGTCCTCACATGGTGTGGGACAATCAAAACCGCCGTTGTGAATGACCTGGTAATGGCTGTCAACAGCAGCTACTAACCCACGCCAATCTGGCTGCTGTAGGCCCGAGAGATACCACAGGTTGTCAAGCTCGTAGTTTTGATTGTAGGTGTCGTACGTTTTAGAGATGGCATTCCAGTCAGCTGGATAGCCGTCAGGAAGGAGATCTGTCAGGCCCAACTCCATGTCTTGGGAAGTCGCCCCCAACTCGGGGTGCGTTGGCGCATACCCTTCAGGAGGATGATGTTGTGCATGCATCTGGAGTTGTTCCTCAACGGGGAACTTCGGGGGACTAGCACTATTCATATTCTGGAGGCTGTCTTCTGTTTTCCTTCGTCGTCGTTCCTCTGATCCCCCCCCTTTCCTCGTCTCAACGGCATATTGCCTCTGTCGTTCATTTGTGACCATACGCCGTAGCAGTGGAATGACAAGTGCGATGATTTTCTGCTGATCCCGGGGCCATACATAGGTCCTGGGACCCATGCCCTCGTTGACTACATTTTCACCAAAAAAGCGTTCACCGTTCCCTTCAATTTCGAGGAAGTGGCGCACACAATTCCAGAGTCTCAATTTAACCATTTCCGTGTCCCCCTTGCCACGTTGACCGACACACTCACGTCGCTCTGGATGCTTGTCATCTAGCATGTATGCCTTGGCAGCGGCTTGTAAATGTAGGAAATTTTCTGGTGATAATTCCAGTGAAGCGAAAAGCCTCGACATGGGTGGTCGTGTGTACTTCTTGTTGCTCGAGGGTTGACGGAACAAAGCAGCTGCGGAATGTAGGCCAACCGCGCGCGCTTCTGATAAGGACTGGGGAGGCGCAGACCGGATATCTAGACTTTCACCACCATAATGATGCGAATTATGCTGATGGGGCTGCTGCTGATGACCACCAGGTCCGGAGGCTGTTAAGGCTGGGTCAAGTGGGCCATCTCTCTTTCTCTTTTTTGATACAGTTCTTGACAGTCCGGAAGGCTGACTGTGTTCATTGGCGGAAGGCCCTGGAGCTCGTAACTGTCTTCCAGCGCCCAGCCCTGTCCCAAAACCTGCATCTGCAAAGCTATCATCCTCGATATGCATATCCGAGGGGTAGCCGTCTAGATGATGCTGATGTCCGGCAGCACCGGCGGCGGCTGCGACGGCGGCGGCGGCGGCCCATTCCGGTGATACGTCTTGACCAGCTGCTGCAGTAGCAGCTTCTACCAGCCCAGCCAGTTGACTTTCATTTGGCGCATAGCCACTAGTGGCGATGTTACCGTTCGGGTCGATGTTGGAGGAAGAAGCAGTTTGGTGAGCGGAAAATTCAGCGACTGAAGACGAAGGATGTTGGTGATGGGAGGCAGACGTCATGACAGCAATCTGGGCGTAGACAGCCACAATGAAGAAGGGCCCGTCTACGTATCAGAGGAAGTCTTGAGAAAAAATCGAGTCTGGGGAGCGTGAGAACCGGTATCAATCTATATCACCATAACCACGCGACGCGCGAAGGATGGCGGTGGGCTGGTGCGGAGGATTTTGTTTTTTGGCGCTCAAATAGAACCGCACTAGAACTAAAGGCTTGCCGCTTGTAGCGTTCAACCGTCCTTGTCAGTTCCCAAAGGCAATAGCTACCTAGAAGTAAGTGGCATAGACCGGTTGAAATGAATACGCTCGGCGAAGAACTGCGCGCAGTCCCCTTGCTGGCTCGCAAGAAAAACAAGACTCGCCAATGAGCCCGGAGCTTCCGTGAAGCGGGCGCAAAGCCAGATCTCGTTGTCCAAGAAGACAGACGAAGATACGGAGGCAGAACGCTCCAGTACGTCTATCCGAATGAGCTCGCGCGATTCGCGATAAGTTAATCAATCAGATCGCTTGCTTCGGGCCTAGATGACGTTGTTTGCGCGGTTTGAAGGATGGGCAGACAATGCAAACTCTGTAAAGTCGTCAACCGTCGGGTGTATCACGTGACTGAAACCATGGGTTACTCGGGTTACTTACTACGTCATGATGGAATGTGTCAATTTACCCCTGGGGAATGGATATTCCAAAAAAAGACAAAGAAGAATTGTAAAAGTAGAAAAGAATAATACGGATTTTCTCTGCCTTTATCAATATCCATTTGGAACCAGCCAAACTGCAATTGGAGTAGGTATCAACACATTTTTTGGGGGCATATGGCAACACTATAGACCACTTAGGCCTCAAACAATCCAAGTATCCAATCCCAAATATTTCGCAAGAAGGGTAGAACTAAACAGCATCGAGAGGCACACGAAAGCCACACGGTCTCCGACACCATAATGCAGAAATATCAACAAGAAGGTAAGTCTATGGCTGCGGGTGTGAGCGTGAGTGTATATGTATGGGGAAATGAAAAGTCTTGAAAAGAGCACCGAGACTGAGGGAATGTCCAAAGTCCGCATAGTCCTGTGTAAGATCATTAGCCGGCCAGCGAAGCCGTGAGTTATGAGTATTTGGTGCCGTCGTAAGCCGTTTAGAACCCATCTCCTTCCTTCCATAATCTGCCTGCCTCTAACGCTCTCGCTCTTGGGTCCTCTCCGCGCTTGGTGGCGTTGCGTAGCATCTCTTCGATTGTCCGTTCCTTTTCGACAATTAGCTGCTCTAGCTCGGTATCCCTACCCGGATCGGGCACTGAGACGTGGCTTTGTTCGCCTAGGGTGCCTACGATTCGCTCGATTTCGATGGCCTCTGCTTCTCCGCGCCAGAACTTGAGGTCTTCCTCCAACTCTCCCTTCTCCGAATGTAGTTTTCGGAACTTGTCGTATTCCTCCTCGCCGCCAAAGCAAATTCCGTAGCCATCGCAATAACAGACGTGCTCCTTAGGACAGACGACATTTTCACCCGTAAACACGACATGCCACAGATACTCCCAGATTCGGCCAGAGATATAGTCACTCAGTTCCGTTCGGAGAATCCAGTCACGATAGTAAACGAAGCGAGCTTTCGGGATCGCGAGAATGCGCTCGCGCGAAACGACAAATTGGGCACAGCATGGTTGTGCGAGGACATCGGGAATTGGGTCATCCGGGAAGATTTCGCCCCACGACCTGGCCAGCATGGTTTCTTCTTGCTTTTGTTCATTCTCTTCCAATGTGCCTGGATGTAGCCAATCAGGACAGCCAGGTGCCCATGTACAACGCAAGTTCATGAACCCTTCTCGGACTACCCGCGCGGGGTTTAGACGTTGCAGCATCTCGGCGGCATTACCGTTGAAGATCTCATCGTTATGCCAAGCGAACTGATGTGAGTGCATGAAGGCAATGATGTCGGGTAGTTTGTCGTAGTGGTCAATAATATAGCTCAGATACACTATAACCTCATGGCCCTTGTTCTTGGGAGGGTGTAAAGGCGCAGAGGGATCGTCAACCACGTAGACGGCAGGCTGCCACTCTGGAATTTCAAATTGAATCCATTCGGTGTCTTCAAGACCAGCTTGGGGCACCACCAAGGCCTTAGTATATGTTGACCCGGGAGGTTTAGGAACACCAGGCGCATAATGCGGTCGAGGCGCGTACGGCTCTCTCGAAGGCTTATCAACCACCCCAGAAACATTCACATGGCCAGACGCCGTTGGATACGGGGTCGCAACCAGGTCGCCCAGGCCAACCACCTGTGGCATATTCCGCCATTGCCGGGAAAGACTGCTGACCGTGTATAGGAAGACGATAAAGAAGGCGAGACCGAGGAGCGGAATCGCGCGCCGTGAGAAAATCATGAGATGTGGTTGTGAAGATATACGCCAGTAGGAAAAATCAATAGTAATTGGCTACAAAAATCCATGGAAAAGACAGTTAGCATCAGTGTTGAGTAGGGCAGGGTGTCTTGCAAATATGAACCGAGCACTTCATCCGCAAAGGCTCCTGCGCGAGAAAGACCTGGGCAAGCGATTGCGGGCGCTTTTAGGAAAACCCAGGCTAAGGGAACTCACAATCGGCTGAGTAAGTGAGGCTTCATGAAACGGCCAATTGATCCGTCCGCGAGAGGAATTCTGTTATTTGTATGTCTCGCGACGTCAGGGGCCAAGACGAAAAGGAAAAGAAGCCAAGCCACAGCCACGCAGCAAGAGGGAACTAAAGTGAAACAAAGGAAAGGAGCTCCGCTCCGATAAAGATATTCATCCAGCCGAGGGCATGAGCAGTGTGATTTTCAAAATTCAAATATTCAGAGTAAGCAGCGGACGGGGAAGACTGGGAACGGGAGGCGGAGGTGTTGTCGTCAGCAGTGATGAAGCCGATCCGCGACTTGTGGTTACAGTGCAGGATTCAAGCATGAACTCATGGCCAATGACCATGTTCCCCTTTGAGAGAACACTTTTGAACTTTATTCCTGTCGAACTGCAACGGTTCTTTTTTCTTTTTCTTTTTTTTAAAAAAAAAGTATTATGATTATTTTCTGGGAGCCCCACCGTGAATTGTATGTACGAAGTATCCCCAGAGTTGACCGATAAGATGGGACTGACTCGACAGAATGTCAAAATCGGAATGTGATTGGGGCCTGCATGAAGGCTGTTTCTATTCTTAAATTATACTGTACAAGCTGTATTCCCTCGCTTTACTCTGGCTTAATATTTGACTTTGTAATATTTAATATATTTGTAAAAAAAAATATATATATATATATATATTTCTATTATTTCTAGAGTCTTAATAAAAACTATATAATAGAGCTGTTTGACTCAACCCTGGAGGAAGGAGCTATATACCTAATTATCAGGGCGTTGGTTCGGGCAGACAGACTAATCAGAGCTGATACTCAGACAGACTACAGATCAAGCTATATACAGATAGATAGATAAGATATAACTCCAAGAGCTACATACATCAGAATCAGCGGGGAGGTATACAGCCGAAAGTCACGTTAGCAGGCGGTTATAGTAGGCAGAATAGGCGGTGTGGGACCCGTGGCAGATATTGAGATTTTAACACCGTACGTATTTTATAGATTACAATCCGGGTATCATAACATTTTTAATCTATTACTTTACATATATTGCCACACACTCTAGATACCAGGAGCATACGGGAACATCAAAAATAGGTCAATCAGATACTCGGGATCCGGTATGTACGTCGAGATCTCATCCACGTACTACGATATCCCCGGGGTCGCTCTGAACAGTGAGAAGACTAAACGCCAGTGCATACATAGTAGTCCACCCACAAGTTCGAGCAACTCGCATCAATCTGCGTATTCCACGAGCGGAACTCAGCAAGGGTGATGCCCGCTGCCGTCTCAATCGAGAAACAATCATCCCCGGGTTTGACCTTGTAAAAGGTCTTGCAGTTGCTCACGATCCCCGGCATCTGCGGCTGAGGCAACGTGGACGTCGGCTCAGGCGTCGAGCTCGTTGTTGTCGTGGCTCCTGGGACATGCACGCAGACATAGTAGTCCAGCCAGAGGTTGGAGCAGTCTAATAGAAACGAATTAGCACTGGGTGACATACGCGAAGAAAAAAAAAAATATAAAGGGGGGAAGGCATACTGCTGTCAATGCTGGGATTCCAGTCCTTGAACTGAGCTTCCGAGATGCCGTACTCGGCCGCAATTATGTCACACTGGTCACCGGATGCGACGAGATGGAATTTGTCGCAGTTAGATGGCAAACCAGGCTGGGTTGGCTCATGCTGGTTGGAGGAGGTCGTGGTTGTCGCGGTTGTTGTGGTCTTCAGCGTCGTAGAAGTCGCTGTGCTCGTGGTCACTGGGTCATCTGTGACAGTGCCAATGATACAATAGCTCTGGCCAGCAGTCAGAGTTGGGCATGAAACACCGGGATTGAGCTCTTGGAACATTTCAACGGTCTGGCCCCAGGACGTAGCGAAGGACTCGCAAGTATCGCCTTCACTGGCTGCCATGGAGAAGCTGCAGACAACGCTAGCAGAGAGCAGTTTGGGGAGCAACCCCAGAGTAATGGCAGCTTTGTAGCCCATGGCAGGCCGCAGGAATGAATTGAGTGAAAAGGAAAAGGAAATGAGGGATGTTGATTGTGATTCTTGGGCTTGCGGTTGCAGGTGTGGTTTTGAGCTATAAATGTCCTCCCACGTACTCCAGCCGGGTTTTCCGTGATGTAACGTGTGCATTCGACTGGCTATGTCTTGTACATTTGGCGATTGAGTATGTTCGCGTGATGCATATTGGTGCGATTGGCTACCACATACTAATATGGAGGGCTCGGACCTACTAGATCAAGTATCCTAGCGGCGAATGGATTGCCCCACAACGCCTGAGCAAAGGCCTCCTTGGCATTATGAACAGGCCATCCTCATGGGTTGTGCATCTTTACTGCGGATATCCGGATTCTTTCAGATCAGCCGCGGCTCTAATACCGGGGACGGGCCTCTCCGAGGTGACATCGGGTCAGCCTTAGCTTCGGCCAAGAACTACTAATATACTCCATATGCCTCTACCGAATCGATAGCTACTGGTGCATCGAATGGGACGAAGTACCCGCGCAACAATATCCTATTACGGAAAATCTCAAAGCACTAGCATACAACGAAATGGTCTGTCAAAAGCCTGTACCACAGAGATAGCTGACCTCATTCACGCGAGACCGTAAGCGAGCAGCAAACCCATCACTAATATCCATGGCCTCTCGACGTGTGATGGCCCCACAGGGGCCGCATTTTCAGACGATGGGGTTGGGCAGCTCAGCCCTGTGCGGCGGCGCGGGTTGGCGCAGGCAGTAGCGGTCAAGGCCGCCGAAATACTTGTGGCAGCTGAGGAGTCAATCTTGACGTTACAAGGACTAGCAGTCGGCACCCAATCCGCAGTGACTGCGCAGGAAGAACCGCGCCAGGTGGGCTTTGGAGCGTACCAGTCTGTTGCTCGTGTTGGGCTGCCCCAGATTTGCCCGGATGGAACTTTCAAAAGCTCCGGGACATGTATGGCCTGAGCCAGGGATTCTTCACAGGTACCATCCTCGGTTGCGGCGACAAAGTCCGGTGGCGAAGTGCCATTCTTAGTAGAGAAGAAAGACCTCGCGCCGTGTCCACCCAGATATCCAAGCGTGAAATCTGTACTCGCCGGTTCACGCGAGCAGTTATACATATCAAGAGCCCAGATGATCTCGAATGTCCCCTCAATATTAAACTTGCTGGTGCTCCAATAGAGGAAGGATGGATCGCTTCCGGTAAAATTACCCTTCTCCAATTCGATGATACCTGAGTAAGAGACCGCTTCACTGCTGTTGACATTTACTTGGTCGATGTAATATCGAATTCGAGGATGGACGCTTGACAGAAGACTAGGATTTTGGATGGCGAATATGATCGGGGTCAGCGTGGAGGGAGGATAGCTCCCATTGCGCGGAAAGATCAAGTCGACTTCCGCAACCCCTGGAGTAATAGAGGCCCAACCGCAAGCGAGGCATAGAGAGAGGGCCAGGCGAAGCCAACCTCGAGGCAGGGGACCCATGCTAGTCGTCGTGGTGGGAGCGAAATGCAAAAGGGATAAGTTGATGGGCCGGAATTTGGAAATTAGAAGAGTCGGCAACAATGGTTCCTTAATATGTTGGTGGGGTCTTGGCCCCTGGAGATGGCTTCATTGAAGCGATACTAACGTCGCTTAGCGAGATGGACTAGTATGCAGGAACCGTTGCATTGCGGACGCAGCCAAGCAGTTGGGCCTTGCCGACAGGATGAATTTAATCTGTGCTTGATTTTATCCGAGAAAAACCACCAGTACTTTGGTCAACACAACCCAGCCATATCAAATTATGGCATAGATGCTAAGCCCGCTAAACGGCCTGGGCCGTCTACGTTCGTCTTCGATTCGAATTATGTACGGAAATGAGCCGGAAGTCCCAGCACGAGGTGAGTCGTCTACTAGGAGAAAGGCCCATCATTGTGTTGGACTGCAGGAGAGAAAGTACAAAAGCCCCGAGAAAGACGCCTTAGAGGATGAGAAAATTAGTCTTCACCTAACCATTCCTTTTTATCGTCGTTCTTTACTATCCCAACCTCCTGTCATTCTTTTAGTTTTCGTTCAAGCCTTTTGATAGAGTGACATGATGACCCCCTCGTGGCTGACCACAGCCCTGGGGGCTGTATGCCTCTTGCTCTCTTTTGATCTTGCCTTTGCGGCACGAGGAAAGGCAGGATTGAGAAAGCCTGCCAGTCCTGGCTATCGCAGTAGAGATGCGGCATGCCCTGTAGCTTGCCACATCGCAGGTCCCAATCCCTCCAATTGGTCTCTGTACCACAATTTCGATCAACTCCAGTTCTGCCACCAAACCATGTTTTACGATTTCTCTTTGTATGATCGAGTGGATGATCCAGACACCCTCCATCGCCTCTATGCTTGTAGCTCTTCTGGCCCTGACTGGTCGAGCCTCCCACGCCCGAGCGCAAAGATGGCGTCTGCTGCTGAGTCTGTGAACACAACATACTCCCTTGGCTGGTGGACAGAAGGCGCACTCGCCCCCTCAGATATCATCTCCGTTTTGAAACAGATGCGCTATTATATGAAGAGTCAACATATCGCTACTCGGAGCACTGAGAGAAACACATTCATGTTTGCGCGATCTGGGTCCGCCGCAGTCGGTATTTATATTGGAAAAGGTCTACAAAGCGAGGGAGTCGCATCCTTTGCGGCGAAGGCGCTGGCAGACAATCTTCGTACTCTACGGATCAGCTCAAGTAATGTGGCCATGCAATTATGTGATCCCACTAGCAACAATGCCCATACGTTCGGGATATTCGCCTCTAGCAATGGTTCTTTTTCCCCGGTGCAGGATGCCATGAAAACCTGGTCGACAGGAGGTTGTCTCTCCTTTGAACATACAAAGAACGTTACCGGTCCGGCCGTCCATACCACTCCTCTTTTGAAGAGTTCTCCCAACACCACCCAATCGAACACCACCCGTCCCACGTCATCCTCCCCCGGCAAGCTCGTAGCTCGGGCTGAATGTAGCACGATTCAGGTTGAGGGAGGAGATGACTGCGCTGCTCTGGCGACAAAGTGTGGAATCTCCGCGGCAGATTTTACCGAGTATAACTCTGACCCTCAACTCTGTTCGTCACTCAAGCCCGGGCAACATGTCTGCTGCTCGTCCGGCACACTCCCGGACTTTGCCCCAAAACCTAACCCGGACGGATCGTGTGCTTCGTACACCATCCAAGAAGATGACAACTGTGCAGATCTTGCTGCTCAATACAGTCTAACAAAGGAGGATTTGGAGGGCTTCAACAAGAAGACATGGGGCTGGAACGGCTGCTCGAATGTTTGGATTGGTACTATCATCTGCTTGAGCAGTGGAAGCCCGCCTATGCCAAACCCCGTAGCCAATGCGGTATGCGGCCCCCAAGTACCAGGCACTGAAACGCCCAAAGATACTACGGATATTGCAGGGCTCAATCCATGCCCCTTGAATGCCTGTTGCAATGTTTGGGGTCAGGTATGTTCTTCATCCTAGAAGCAGATCATGCAGTCAGTCCTAACAGGCTATCGGCGTAGTGTGGAATAACAGACGAGTTCTGCATCGACACCAGCACTGGAGCGCCAGGGTCTGCTAAAAAAGGTACGAACGGTTGCATTTCAAACTGTGGCACACAGCTCGTCCGCGGTGATGCCCCTGAAGTCTTCCGAAGTATTGCCTATTTCGAGGGTTATAGCTTGGGTAGTCGCGCGTGCCTATATCAGGATGCCATCCAAATTGACGGGTCCAAATACACACATCTGCACTTTGCATTTGGTCAACTAACAGAGCAATATGAGGTTAAGTTCGAGGACGTCCTGACTGAGTACGAATTTAGGAATTTTATGAAAGTCGCTGGACCAAAAAAGATCCTGTCTTTCGGTGGCTGGGATTTCTCCACCCTGCCTGCTACATACAATATTTTTCGCCAGGGAGTCAAGCCTGCCAATCGGCTGACAATGGCCACGAACATTGCTAACTTTGTCAAGGCTAATAACGTTGATGGAGTTGATATTGACTGGGAGTATCCTGGAGTATGTTCTCTTAGCACCATATGCTTTATACACACAGCTAACCTGCATATAGGCACCTGATATTCCGGGAATTCCGCCCGATGATCCGGACTCTGGTGACAATTATCTGGCCTTCCTCGTCATCCTTAAGAATCTGCTTCCCGGGAAATCCGTTTCTATTGCGGCCGCATCGTCCTACAGCTACCTAAGGTATTTCCCCATCGAGAAGATTAGTAAGATCGTGGACTATATCATCTACATGACCTATGATCTCCATGGACAGGTAGGTAGGCATGCTCCATCTGACATACATCGCATATTGACTTTTGCTTGTGCAGTGGGATGCAATGAATCCCAACTCACAGATAGGTTGTCCTTCAGGAATGTGCCTTCGCAGTCAGGTCAACCTGACTGAGACCATCAGTTCTTTAGTCATGATCACCAAAGCAGGTGTTCCCTCGCATCAGGTTGTCGTTGGCGTAACCAGCTATGGGCGATCGTTCGCCATGGCTGATCCTACATGTCACGGCCCAGAATGCTTCTACACTGGAGGACCTTACGACTCGCAGGCTACCCCGGGAAAGTGCACGACCACAGGAGGTTATATATCCAATGCTGAGATCAATGAGATTTTGGAGGGGTCCACAACTAACGGGCTTCTGAAACGCGACGGTCGAGTCAATCAGCACTATGTCGATCCTGCTAGCGACAGCGACATTCTAATCTACGACAATAACCAATGGGTCGCATATATGAGCGCTGAGACCAAGGCGTCGCGCAAGTCGCTCTACGAGAGACTCAACATGGGCGGTACCACGGACTGGGCCACAGATCTCCAGGAATATAACGATCCTCCAACACGTGGTGGCGTGCTTGTCGACAACTGGGCTGCCTGGAAGACTGCCATAAACAACAAACAGGACCCCTGGCAGGTTGGAAATAGGACAGGAAACTGGACTGAGCTCCATTGTACTGATAGGGCCGTCGCCGATAAGCGCGGGTTGTCGCCATCGGAACGATGGAACCAAATTGATGCTCCTCATGCTTGGGCTGACGTGATTGATATGTGGAGAACCTTTGATAGAAGCCGCCCAAAAATGGCATTCACAGCGTCCATCTCGGACACTCTTAACGGCCCAGACAATGCTGAATGTGGCACGTTCGCGGCGACAAACAACTGCGATAACACTAAACAGTGTAAGGAGTTCGATACCAATGGTGCAGGCCCAGCAGGCTATATGATTTGGAATTCAATGGTTTATATTCATCAGGTATGAATAATTTTTGCCAAACCTGATCCACATATGCTGACAATAGCCCTAGCTATACCAGAGCTATCACAGTGCCCTATTCCATGAGGCCGCTTCAGTAATCACCAACTCTCTCGATGATTTCGAGAATAAGTTCGCGCCGATACCTAAGCCCCCGGACAATACATGGCTCTTACTCCTGATCGACCTCATTACGCTTGGGACCGCTTCAGCAGCCCGCCCCATTCTTCAATTCCAGTACGTCCATGGCTAGCCTCAACCCCTTTCCCAATAGTAAAGAAGAAGTTAACCTTATCCCCCCAAAAGTGTTGTCAAAGTTGCCCTATTTCATAGCGAAGGGCTCAACACTGGACAACGTCAAGGATACCACTATGACCATCATCTCACAAAGTACAACTATCGCCAAGGACTTGCTCGATGACCCTGAAGCGTAGGTGCCATAGCCAAGTACTGGAACAACTTGCTGACCGTTAGACAAACAGTTACGACTGGACTCCAGAGAAGCAGGATGAGTTCACCAACTATATGGGCCAGGCTATCGCGGGCTGGGGCGCCGTGATAGAAAAGTCGTTGAGCAAATTATTCGACGGCTCTGACGACGCAATCAATACACTGACGGAGCTCATCTCTGACGGCAAATTTATTGAAGGTTCCTCAATCAGTATGATACTACCACCAGCAGACGGGGTCGGACTGCCAAAGGATAGCTTAGCTGCTCTTCAGAAAGGTATAGGCAAATCGTTCTTCGCCTTCGCCATTCCTTCCATCTGGGCTGTTTCTGGTAGATACCCTTTCATTATTGATGCGGGCTACTCATGTGACCATGCCGATGACATGGGTGATTATTTGGAGGAAGAGACAATGCAACTGGCAAAGGCCTGCTATCGCAATAAGCGCTACTATCTTGCCGCACCTGAGGGGCAGCCTTGGGTGTGCTTTGAAGGTGGCTGCCTGGATAATCCATTCTCTGCACTGCCCGGCGTGGACTCAATGGGTCAAGGGTTGTTTGGCAATGTCACCGTGGAGGAGATCATCATAGGATCAGTGCGTACATACTTGCAGAACGGTGAGACGAATGGCGGCAACGCAGCCGACCCTACGGATATGGAGACACTAGAAGAGCTGTACAACGACGATATCACGACGCCGGGACTGATCCGTTTGCCAGTCTGTGGCGCGGAAACTGCCTTCCGTGCATGGGACCATGGCGATACTGGGGATACCGACGCCCCGAACTACCCCTGCGTGATCTATCCAGCGCCTGACTATTGCGGCAGCTCCACATTCGTCGACCAGACTAGTGATGCGTCCCCAACCGTGGCGGACTGCATGCAGATCGTGAAGAACATTGCTAACACAGATGGCCACTATGAGGTCGAGAACGCGATCGGGTCCCAGCACCAGCTCGTCCAACATGGGACATGCGCCTTCGGTGTGCAGGGTAAGGGCAAGAATGGTAACATTGACTTCCATGTCGGCGCGCAGGACATTGTGGATATCATATCCGACTCCGTAAGACAATTTGGAGGGTCTGGGAAGGTTGGTTCCAAAGGCGAGATGTCCTGCAAGGGGACTGTCAAGGGCCAGAAGGTCGAGTGGGGGCTGTATCATAATTAGGCTTGCTACAACGGCTTTAGTCGATATACCGATCAAGATGGAATTTGAAAAATGGTGCTTCAATTCTAGCTGTTTTAGATAGTTGCGCTCTTTGATTATCTACTTGACACCAATGTTAGATGATACCTAAAGTGGAGATGAATGACTAGCTACCACGTGCATATACATTGCTTGCTATTCGTATAAGTAGGGCCTAATAAGTGAGGATGCAGCATGTCCACCACTATCCTCACGCATGTTAACAGCGGCAATCCCTGCCACACTAAAAGCTCCATTTTGAGGTAGGAGCTCTTCACCAGTCTCATCAGGGTTCAGTATCTGTCCTGGTTTCGCGACGTATTTCGACTGCGTCAAGATTGCACCACGAAATTTGTAGAATTCACTTTCGATGACCCTGAAGACTGCGTCCACAACAGCTGGAGGCCCGTAACAAGCGAAATTGACTCGCCAGGATCCCAAACACCATCTGCCGCGCCAATCGTCCAGCACGTGGTCAGTGCCGGCATTATTGTAACGTGCAAGTTGTTCCTGAACATCTTTATCCGGGCATATCAGGGCGTTCTGGAAGACGTCGGAGACAGCTGGAACGTTCAGTATCAGCCGGTGTGTTTGCAAGTCCGTGAAAGTCCCGACAAGTGGTACCAGGCCTTCTTCGTTGGGTACCTTCACGTTACACCTCATAAAGGCTTCCCTGGCGGGAAACAGGTGAATACTGACGTATTCCATAGTAGAGATTTTGACTCCGACAACAAGTGCAAATTTCCGTAGTACTCATCTGCACTTTTTGCTTGAAAGCAAGCTTCATGTAGGGCCAACTGCATCGTCAACTTCGGAAACACCACTTGATGGGAGAAGCCATTTAAAATGATAAAATAGACGTCGAGCAAAAATATGCCAAGGAGAAGTCTGGGAAACCAGGTCAATATGTAGGAAAACAAACAAGGTATACATGATACATCCATACCGGATGAGCTCTTCTCGCGTAACGAAGTTTGCCCAATCGAACTCAAGTCTAGTCTGGTCATGGTAAGCTGGATGCTTAAGTGTGTAAAGACCAACTCTCTGGCCATCTTAAACAGTATATTGGTGGTTTCGTAATAAGACATTGACAAGGATGAGAAGACCCTATCCTACTTACCGACAGTAGTTGAAGAAATCGAGTGATGAAAACCCGTCTCTTAGTACATAAATGTCAGATGATATAGATAACTGTATATCTTGATTGTATATCCTATAGAAAAGGAGGATCAGGCGAGGTCAATTGCTACCACTACTATGTACATACTAGTACATGCATGTAAAGACATCCGCAATCTCGACAGAGGAAATAGATCTCCTCTGCAATCTTGACCAGATGGCCATGCTAAATGGATTCCAACATGACAAAACGGGGAAATCACCAGGCATGAGCTCCATCGCATAGAAATTCGAATACACAGACAACCCGGGTATGATCTTTCTGCCTCGCTAAGAACGCCATTGAACGCTTGTTTCCCAAATTTGATACGACAAATGCATCGGGCAAATAGATAGTGGGGAGTAAAGTACTTGCAAAGTATACAAAAAAAGAAGAAAGCAAAAAGTTCTAGAGGGGAATCCCATGTCATGTCTCATCATCCCCGACGTCCTCTACCGTTGCCACCCGTGCTTTGCCCTTCGATGGTGATGACGATGAGCTATCCTCTGCCACACCATCCTCACTATGATGGACACCCTCACCATGTCCAACGGATAGAGAGCTGGGCTTCTCAGGTTGTCCCTCAGTTGTCACTTCTGTCCATTGCTCCGACGCTGGGTCAGCATCGTCCGTCGCGGTGGTTGGCGCCACTGCGGAACCCCAACCTGGCAGGGTACGAGAACCGGAATTCACCTGGCTAGGACCTTGGTCATCCTGGTTTTCATTCACACCGTTCTCCGCCAAGGCGGGCGTCTGGGGCTCGGAGCTGCCGTCAGGCGTCCGTATAGAGGGAGCTGCCACAGGAACAGTTGGAGTGGGCGTCACGCTTGCCGCTCCACTCGAGCCCTGCTCCGCTGAGTGGAGGGGAAGAAGGGACCAGCCCGGAGGAAGGCTAAGTCCTTCGGGTAGTCGTGTATCGCCAGCCGTCATGGCCGGTGCTCTCGGGTCTGATATGAATTGTCGGCGAGTCGTTGTTATTGTAGACGACGAGGGAATAGTAGGGTTCTGCGATGAAATATTCGGCAAATCCAAGGGGGTTGCCTGAGGATTCGGGAGACTCCGAAGCCGCTGAAGCTCGGTTTGTAACAAGCGGACCAGATGGAGTTGATCTGCAGTGACCCGGAGATTGTTGATCTCTTGCATAATCTGCTGTTCCAATTGGGAAAGGTGGCTTTGTATATCAGAGACGGGCGCTGGGGCTGGCGACGGGTGAGCGGTTGGTGGTGGTGGTGGACGCCCGAAGCCAAAACCAAACCCGATCTGTCTCGCGCCAGGGTTGCCATTATTTGCTGGTTGCAGGGGAGCATTGCCTTGATGAATTTGCTGATGAAGATTGTGGAACATGTCACCTCGGCCCGCGCCGAACCCAATCCGGAAAGGTCCAAATTGGTATACACGAGCCCTTGGTAAACCATCAGCGGCTGCATTTCTCCCAGCAGGCTGATTTCCAGCAGGGCCACCTTGTAGACCCCCAGCACCTCCGTTGCCTTGTCCGTCGTTTGCCCCCGCCCCTGGCTGGCCACGGTGACGAGGCGGTGCGACAACTGGGCGTCGACAGGTTGGGCAGTTTTGTTGTCTTTCCAGCCAGCTGCGAAGACAGGCGAAGTGCAAGATGTGACCACAAGGGAGCTTCTTCGGGCGGAGTCTCTCGGAAACCCGTCCTCTTGTTGGTCCAGCTCCATCCGCGGGTTGCTGCCACTGTGCCATTTCCTCCCGACAAATAATGCAGACTTCTTCCCGTGCGATTTCCTCTGCGGTTGCATCTGGATATCGCTCGTTCATGTCACGAGTAGCATTGCGGTAGCGAAGGAAGTCCATGATTCTTCGACCGAAGGAGCGAATTGTCACCACTACGTCGCGCAGGATATGAATTGGCAGTCCGTAGAAAGTGAAGAGGATGGCAAAGAACGAGAGATATACGGTCAGCTTCAAGAAGTCCGTAAGCAGATCGAGATAGAAAACCCAGCGGCCTTTTTCCTCCCATCCTGGGACATCAAGTTCCATCTCATTGATGTCGTTCTCATCGGGCAGGTTAGTAGGAGGAGAGAGTTCTCCTGCTTGCGCACTCCGACGAATAGCCTCCTGTCTCTCAGTTCGAATCTCCTGACGACGCTCCTCCACCCTGGCCTTCAGCTGTTGGTGAGTAACATAGATCTCGACCAGAGAAATTGAGTACCTGGCGGCAGTCGAACTCGATAGGATGGTGAGGATGGCGAACTCAAAGCCGAACATGACCATCATGTCAGGGCGTGCTTGCTCAAGAACTGTCCGAACACAGTACTTTAACATGAAAGAATTGAACAAAACCGCGAGGAGCAGGGAAATTGCCAGGCGAGTATGGAACAGGCGAGGGTTGACTGGGGGTTGTTGTTCCAGGTATTCCACGCGACCCTCGCCAATCCAGCCCCAAACCTTTCCGACGAGTAAACAGACGAACATGACCAGAAACCAGCCCCCCAGCTCGCCCCGGAATATGGTCATGGCCAGACAAGTTTCCGTAACGGCGAACCATGCCTTTTCATACAACTGTTCGGTTTCGATGGGTCGCAAAGGGCCGTAAAGGAGACGCTGAAGCCAGAAAAGAAGGAAACCGACTGCCAACAGACACACATTTGTCAGGATCTGCATCTGTTAGAAGATATCCTCTCAAGTGGTCTTTAGGCGCGGAGCTCATTGGAAGAGCGCATGCGGCGGCGACCTACCATGAGATTGGCACTGCTCTGAGAAAGGTAAACGCAGGCCGAGTAGAAGTTCGCCCTCTGATGAAGCGCCTTTAAAAAGACACCCGTGGCTAGGGCCACTGAGACCTGTAAAGTGAGGCAGGGTCAGTTTTCCATTGAATGCGAACGGAACCATGCGTGCCACTAACCCCAGTATATGCGGCAAGTCTCATGACAGCAGAGGCGGGCGAGAAGCCCGATGTCCTTGACAAAAAGCCGAAATTAGAAGCCAGTAAGTTTGTCAGAGGGACATCGACAGCGGATAAACAAAATCAACACAATAGGAGGAGAGGAAAGTGAAGAGGATTGAAGGTTCAGGCCAGCGACCGCGTGGGCGAGAATTGGAGATGTTCTGGACAGCTATGCTATACTTACTTTGTCAAAGCAATATGGGGGGGAGAAGCCGTCACCGCCCGCCGGGACCTTACGTCAGCGCGGGTGTCCGGGTATTGTCTCTTTTGAGTTTAGTCCGGACGTGGAGTATAGATATGGATCCCGTTGTGAAATACGGAGCGTGCATAACATTTAAGTTGGCTTGGGAACCATGGCCTTTACACCCTTTATTATCACCTATAATAATAGCCCTACTATACGGGGCAGACACCGTGTCAACTAGCTAAGGATACATAGGAAAAGAGAAGACGAACTGTCTTCCATCTTTTGCTTGCTAATTTGAATGAGATACTAGGTTGAACTACTGATTTCTGTTCTTCATGTCGGAGGATCTCACGGAGTAGCACCACGAAGCTCATTGACATCGAAGAAAGTAAGAACTAAAGACTTCTGCCATTCAACATGGTTATGATCAAGTTTAAACCCCACGTCAGAAAGTTTTGATCCAAAAAGGTCCGTCCAATCGTAGCGGGAATCATTTGGAGAGTCAAGGTTGAATCCTCCACTCCGATACGGCTTCAGAGGAATCCAAAACTTGGGGTAAAACCCAGCTGATTCCCAATCCAAGATTGCTTCGATGCTACAGTCGTCTGAGATAAGAATATTTGTCGGGCTAAGGTCGGCATGATAGAATTGAAATCTATCTCCAACAGGGGGAGGAGGCTGAGTTGACATTTTCTGGAAATATCTCTCAGCAACAGTGCGAGAAAGTGGTCCTAATGGTCGAGGCTTCCAGGATGGGTGTGATTCTTTGGCATCCACCGTTAAAAAGGGTTCAAGGACTCCACAGCCTGTTGCGGACTGCAAATTCTCTGCAGTCTCTTCAGCAAGGTCGTGGCAATATTGTGCGACAGTAGTAGCGGTTTGTACTTTTTGCTCGGAAGTCAGTGATGGCCAGACCTTCGCAAGAGTTTGCCCTTGAACCCGCCTTAAGATAAGGAAGGTACGGTCCAGCTGCTTGTCGACCCACGAGTAAATGACCTCGGGAAGTGGGATGTGTGGAAACCTGGATGCGACAAAAGCAAGAGTGTCGCTTTCACTTTCCATACCCTCCGACCAAGTTTTGACCTTACAAATTGCCTGGGAGCCAATCTCCCAGACGGCAGATGACATGTTGACACTCGACAGCCAGGAAAGTTTCCCGGTTTAGTAGATTCTTTCTCTGAGACAGCGGTCGTCTGTCCTCCGATGTACCTCTCAAATTGCGTGCCATGTCCAGCCTTTGGAAAAGAAGATCAATGCCGATCGCCGGGATTGCTGAATCCAGGTTCCCCGGTTCACCGTTGGACATGGACATGAGAGAATCCACGGGCGGATTGAGGCCGGGGTTTGCTGTTTTATCAGACGCCGGGACAAAACGGATGGAAACGCACAACTGTGTTTACCCATTTTTCTTGTTTTTCTCGCTGGAACTTCGAGCCCATTCGGTATGTGTCCGTGCCTAATTTCGAGACAGATGGTTCAATTGGCGGGGAGGGCCGGCTATATACATCTATCAGTAGTATATTCAAGACTAAATCAAGGATATAGTCCTTCTAACATAAATAACATCTTCGTAGTGGGTAGTTCGAGGTAAATTAAAGGTATAGTACGGTCAATCAAAGCAATGTAATCGAACAAGCAGGATGCGAATGTCTAATGCAGTGATTTTTGATATCATATCCACTAAGACTAACATACACTCATTAGGAGAATGTACATCACGTGGATTTTGTTTGTCTGTCCTACCCGACTCGGGTAGGACTTTTATACTCAATATTCTCTACAAAGGAACCTTACGCGCCTGCCAGCTCGCTGCCTTTGGATATTTCCACGCACTGCGTCGGGATAGAGCACACACAGCGGTGGAAGGCACACGCTATTCCTAAATAGGAGCACTATACCACAGTTCATATACGGAGCATAACGAGGAGATATGATGCATTGGTGTAGATTGAGGTCGAAATAGAAATCAGATAAAGCAAATAAAGTTCGAACGATTTAATAGTTTTTTTTTTAATAAAAAACCGAAGTAGACTCGGTTCGATCGGCGCCTTCGACGCGCAGTCAGGTGATGTTGGATGTATCGCTTTTTCCACAGCTGACGTTGTCCCTCCATCTGCCAAGATCGGCTTCCCTTAAGACCATATCATAAGCGTATAGTACGGATTTCCGAGACTTTAGGCTAATTCCTCCAACTCGGAATCAGAACATGACCTGAATTGATCAGAGAAACATGGCTTCCCAACGAGCTCTATTTACGGCGAGCCGCACGCAGACCTTGACCTACTTGCTAGCCGTCTGTCCGTTTTCTATTGCCTTTCTAGTCTATATCAACTCCTCCATCTCATTTGTGGTCACAGAGTTGATTGGACTACATGATGGCGAAGGGGATGCCGTCGGAACCCTCGGGTTTGCAGATGAATTGCTTGCGCTGGTCGCTTGCCCTCTGTGGGGGGTTCTTTCGGACCGCATAGGTGTCCGCCATGTACGCTTCCGTCCACTCCTGATATACTAGTTATGACCTGAAGCCTCATTTCTTCCCTTATAGGTATGTGTGGCTGGCTATAGCATCATAGCCGTCGCATTGGTTGTACTCGTCCAGGCCACGAACGTGTATCCGCAACTTCTTCTGGGACGGTTGTTATTTAGTATTGGCGGCTCTGCGGTCTCGACCATGGTGACGGCAGTTCTTCCAACTGTGACGGGGAGCTCCAACGATCAAGAATCCACCGAGACAGCAGACACGCAAAACAGCTCCAACCATGAAGCATCATCTCAGACCCAATCAAACGGCGACGCGAGTACGCCTTCCTCTCGATTGGCTGGATTCGTAGGAATGTGCGCTGGCTGCGGCGCCCTTGTATCTCTTGTTATATTCCTCCCACTCCCTGCCAAATTCCAGACCCTCGGCTTATCGCCAGCCGAAGCCATCCAGTGCAGCTACTACGTAGTCGCAGCAGTGGCTCTCCTGGTCAGCTTATGGTGTCTATTCGGGCTCCGGGATCTTCCCGGCGAGGAGAAAAAGACATGGAGCTCACTCTGGTCGACCCAAGAGGAGGACGACGACGATGAGCCAAGATGCGTTGCTGGCAGCAAATCACGCCTCCCATATCTGGACCAATTTGGCGCGGCTATAGTTCTAGGATGTCGCCACAGTGACATCCTCATCGGCTACATCGGAGGGTTTGTAGCACGCGCCTCGTCGGTGGGGATCTCTCTGTTCATTCCCCTCTTTGTCAACCACTATTATCGAGTCCTGGGCGTCTGCAATGACGGCCACAACGAAGGGTCCGGAGATATCAAGCACTCCTGCCCTGATGCATACAAGCTGGCATCGATCCTGACAGGCGTCTCCCAGCTCGTAGCCTTGATCGCTGCACCAGCGTTCGGGTACTGGTCTGATAAGTCTCGCCGGCACCATCTGCCTCTCCTCCTTGCTTGCTTGGCCGGTGTCCTCGGATACACGGCGTTCCCACTTCTCCCCACACCCAAGTTCAGCGGAGAAGGTGGAAGTCCGAGTGTATTCGCCATCATGAGCTTAATCGGTATCAGCCAAATTGGGGCGATTGTCTGCAGTTTGGCCGTATTAAGCAACGGCATCCTGGGTATCGATCTAAACCAGGAAGTCCCAAAACAGGCGTTTGACGCTGAGACTGAATCACACACCGAAGATGGTGCCTCTCGAACCAGCGAAATGGACAGCGGTGCAGACCGACAGCCACTGCTCGGAAGGGCCCCCAGGTATCAAAGACAGAAACAGCTGTCCCACTTGAAAGGATCAATAGCCGGCGTGTACTCCTTGTTTGGTGGCGCGGGTATCCTGCTCCTTACTAAGTTAGGTGGCCTTCTCTTTGACGTTTGGTCTTCGGGCGCGCCGTTCTACATCATGGCTGGTTTCAATGGTGCATTGCTCCTGGCGGGCCTTGTGGGCTGTCTTGTCAAACGCTCGAGGTAAAGCGTATTTTTGGGGGATTATTTAGATTCTTATTTACAGAATGTTGTTCATTTCCCTTTTTCTTTTACCTTCTCGCGTCTGTTCCAATATATATCTATACCACAGATGCCCAGGTTGACACAAGAAAACAAGACAGTAAAGTGGAACTCAGATTATCAATTGCACAGAAGGCATTTCCATCCTGGGACAACACAGTAATTCGTAAACTATTTTGATTTTCTACCGTGTCTCTAGTCATAATTCTGTTCGTAGCTGGCTATCTCCGTAATACCATCCTTCACTTCATAGTTCACTGGAACACCCCCGTCGGCGGTCGTGAATGCTTCGGCCCGGGTCCAGCATGCCCCTGCTTGCGCTCATCGCCTAATGGGCGGACTTCCAGTCCTGCGCGGATAATATTAGTCCGCAGTAATCTTATATGTGCCTCATCAATGTAGCTCGATAAACTCTCCAACACGGCTTCCTGCACTTCTGTCCGTTTATCGGTCTGATTGGATACCAGGACCATCTTTTCCAGGTCAATCCGAGAGTCCAGGGTTCCATCTTGAATGAGACCGATCAATTCTTGAACAAACGGGGACTTTGAGTGGATAGGCTGAGCCTGTCCGCTGGTAGCTGCGGGAGCGAAGATCTTGGACATAGAGTCAAGCGTGACACGGCTGAAAGGAACCAGATACTGCTGAATAGACTTAGTTCGGATGCGAGTGTAGAGAGTGCTGACGTGACGCTGCAAATGGACGTCTAACAGGTAATCGGTTTGGTAAGACTCTAAAATATCGAGACACAGCCGGAACTTCGAATTGCAGAAGAAAGAGATCGCCCGGCGGATATGGGGTTCCAGCTCAAGGAAGTTGCGGAACGAACTGTTGTCTAGCACGCGCCGCTGAAGTTCATTGCGATCCATGGATGCAAGCGCGCAAAGTCCACCATAAACGGCAACATCGTTGGACGTGAGAACTTCGTTGTACGAGTCACCTAAAGTGGGGTCTGTGCTCAAGAAGCTATTGGCAGCTTCTAGATACGCGCCAGAGTGCAACTGGGACAAGCCCATCGCGGCCGACATCTTCGGCTGGTTCTTAGCCTGTTCTTCTTGTTTCGATTGTAGATTGCGTAATCGCTGCACATGAGACTGGACACTCAGCCAGTCCCCACGCTCGATGGCTACATTTATGATTTTAAACAACATTGAGGCGATATGGCTCGGGGTCGTGCAGTAATCTCTCATGCGAGAGTAAGCCTTCGAAGCCGACACTAAGTCACCAATTTGATGATAGTGCTGCCCAAGGTCTTCATTGCCCATCTGTGATATCCGGTCAGAATGTCTGCCGAAGTATTATAGAGCGCTGCCTGGAAGCTTACTCTTATACTCTCTTTAATAAGGTTGTTTTTATACCCTCTCAGTTCATGCTCTAGTCGATCGGTCTCCGCCTTGACGACCTTCCGTGTACGATCTATCCACTCATTGTCTGGTGTAGCTTCAGCCTCATACGGTGCAGAATCGGCGAGTGCACGGACTGCGCGTTCGTATCGGGAAACATCTTTGCTTGATTTGGCTTCGACAATCGCAGCCTTCAGTGCCTCGACGGAGAGATATGTGGAGCACGTGCCTATTAGAAATAGACGGTTGAACTTGGTTCGGCCTGGAAGCAGCATACCAGTTAGCTAGACATCAACATGGGAGAATGCGCATCATACCAGTATAGTTTGCAATGTACGATTCCAATTCAAACTTAGGTGGGTCTGTTCAGAAAATTAGCATCACTTCCACTGCTGGCACACGCTGATACGTTTGATAAAGCAGACTAGAAAACCGTACCATCAACCTTCACGGACGGCACCGTAGTAGCCGCTACTCCATTTATGCTCTCTATGTCGGGGTTCCCTACACTGTGTAATTGTCCCGCATATGGACTTGTCGGATGAGAGTCGAAAGCATCAGGCGGCATGGATTCCATTTGGCTAAAACTTGCGTACACCTTGAGCCTGCAATAAAGGAACGGTATTAAGCAACTGTTTAGCTCCCCAGAATTCTCTTGTGTCGATACGAGGGGAACAGTTGAAGCCTCGACAGGTTACACACGGAGCGACTGAGCGATATACCGCACGTCGAAGTGGAGTAACTCTTGGTTACCCAAGCGGTGATAGTGGAGGTCGCCGTAGAGGATATGGAAAGTTCTGATGGCTGAAGCTTCGGGCAGGGAGGAGATAGCTATTCCAGAAGTACTAGTAGAGCCAAAATCACTGTAGCGGGTGTATGTGTGGAGAAAAAGAACAATGGTCTATCAGATGGTCATCATCATCAACAACGCACTTATCTCCGCCTACGTCTTCACCGCTTCCACGACCGCCTTTGTCATCCTAATGCCTACAGGGAATATGACATGATCCTGCAGGGCGTTTGAAACAGCATTTGAAGACATAGTTAATCTATACAGGAACCGCTCCCTTCCCTAGCAATTCATTGCAACTCAGGATTCTTCATGATGGCGACATAATGGGCTTCATCACCCCAACTCTGCAAGGGAAGACGAAGACAGCTGGATTCAAGCCCGAGTAGAATACAGACAGGCAGATGCAAGATCTCTTCTCTGCGTTCTCCTTTCCTTTCCTTTCTTTCTTTTTTTTTTTTCCATTATAATCCCGTGTTTGGTTGATCTTGACCCCTGTGAATGCTGCGTGAGCTGTTCGATATCGACCAAATAGATCCGCATCATGTTCAAAAGCTAGCTGCGTCAGTCAATAGCCAACCTAGTCAAAAAGAAAAAAATATACATACATTCCTTCATCGAGTGTCTGGATATCCTCAGTGCGAGTATCCTGATTGATGACAATGGGCGTCGACATATCTTTCCAGAGCCAGACTTATCTGACTTAGTTACGTTCAAACAATCGTAAACAGCTCACTGCAATAGTCGTCCGCCACAGCTTGTGACTCCTCGGTCATCACCATATCCCCGGAGACGTTAAATGACAGGCTTGGCAGATTCTCATGAGTACTTTTAGTATATGTGTCAGTGAAACAGTTGTGACAGCTGGCTCAGGTTTCCTACCCGCTCTCATTCGAAGTAGCAAAGGTATCACTAATCATGGCATGTCAGAATCACTCAATTCAAATGAGATATAACACCTTACCTGTGTGTGATTTGGACGTCCACAGCTCTGCTTTATCAGTATATTACCTGGGACGGCGAGAGAACCGGAGGCTACTCACCCACTCGCCTGAACATATACAGAGGCAGAGTTATCTACATGTTCAACCGGAGTACCTGACTCCATCTTGGTACCAGCGGCAAGTCCAGATGAGCTAATCAGGTGGTTAGCAGTAGAAGAATCGAACCTCATATTGACATCGTGTCTGCAACTTTTGTTAGCAACATGCTTCTTTCACGACACATATTCGGATCTACCTGTCATAGGCCGCGCCTGCCTGCGAGTGAGCTGGGTTAGCGAAAGGAGCAGGGCGAATATTCTCTTTATCCTTGTCACTTGCAGGTGGACGAAGAGGAAGGTCCTGGACATCGCGACGGTAAGGGCCACAATCTCCGTAGTTGAGCTCCGGGCTAACATGTGCCGGGCGAGGGGGTAGTTCGTGTGGTCCCTGTTGGCATAGAGTTAACCATAGTTCGTGCTTTTGAAGTTTGTGCCTTGAGTGAACACATACTGTGTGGTTCCTTTCACTGGCATGCTCTTGACGCTGTCGCCCACGTCTTCGGCGAGGGCGAACACGACGGCGATGGGTATTCACTCGATACACTCGAATCGGCACAGGTCGGCGTATCCGATTATTCAGCTCAGCGGCCATATTCGCCTATGAAACATGAAAACCTTGTTGTTTTTATATCATCTCGTGTACCTTGCCTTTTACATACCAGATGGAGTAGGCCTTGACGGACCGGACAATCCAGTGAAATGTGGCCACGCTCCCAGCAAACATGGCAGCGCCGCCGGTCCTGTTTTTACTATGTGAGTATGGGATGTCCTCCCTATAGATGATGTGTCTGGCGCTCAAGGGCCTTACCCCACCGTCGCGCACCATGATATCGAGATCAAGCTGGATGGCTCTGAACACAAAGTAGTGTAGTCACAAAGTTGGTAAAGGTAACAGTGGCCAAAGAGACTAAAACAAGTGAGCGATTAGAGGGGATAGAGAGAAGATTGCAACAAGAACGGGGCTGGTGTGGAGAGAAGGAGTAGACAAAGCCGATGATGAAGGGAGGAAAGTGTAGACGCAACGACCAAATAGGAAGCCACGGGGCCCTGCCAGATGTGTTACGCCATACCACCAATACTGACGGTTCGTCGGTTTCTGTCAAGTGAATGCGCCTAACATTATCCCGTGCTACGTGAATTTCTGTGATAATTCATCTCCTATCCTTGCCTCATATAGGATTCCATACCCAATATTTCTACCAAGATTCCCATGGTATTTTTATGCCAGTGAGCTGTATGCTTGATGGAAGACGGCTAGAAACCTAAGTGGAGAGAGATAATGTGACTTGGTGCTGGGGTCCTCCACACTTTTCAAGAAATTTTCCAAGCTTTGAATGACAAGTCATGATTATGGTTATTAGAGAGAAGTATCATGAAGACATACATACACGCAACGCTCATAATAGAAATGATAAGAAAAAGAACTTCATGCAAGCGAATAATCATGCAGAGACACCGTACGCTATGACTGGAGGTGAAATGTATTAGTGATGGTAAAGGATTTCGTCATGCTGCTTTGGTCGATGACCCATCGCTCCCAGGAATGTTCAGCTGTCAATCCAACTTGCAATGTCATTTAATCAATGTCATTCTCACAGAAGAGTCGCAAAGCCGGCAAAGAACCCAGCCATCACAACGGCCAGACCGTAGATATGGCTCATATCTGCCGATGGCCTGGAGGCAACCCCATTCTTATCCGGGACGCCAGTGAAAGGAGGCAGCGAAGTCGTCGCTTGAGCAGTACTGGTAGCTGTAGAAGTGGTAGTATTGACACGCTTAGGGTCCTGAGCGCCACAAGGGTTCTTAGAGCGGCAGTCAGACTGGCACTGTTGTTCACCGTCGCAGTTGTTCACGCATTGGTTGTTTTGCTCAGTGCAAACAAAGTAGGGGATTGTCTGGGAGTATTCAGATGCGTTGGGAGACTGGTTGTTGCTGCAGATACACGAGTATACAAGGGATTTCTGTTTCATAGCCAGAGGAGGCACGTTAGAGTGTCTATTGAGGGCACGATGGATTATATCTATCACTCACGTAGTCGCATTTGTTCTCTTTCGGGTTGCCCGAGGCCCCTGGCAGTTGCAGGCAGATGAGAGGACAAGCCGAGGTCTGTGATTCACACCATTGCTCTATCAAGATCGAAAGTCAGAATGGCTCCTTCAGAGATCTCCAGTTCATGGAAAACACACTTCTCGTCGATTCTAAAACACTACTTGGATTAACAGAGCTAGTGGTCTGGCTTGTAGCGAGACTGGCTACAGTGGCAACGACGGCCAAGGAACTAAGGAGAACCATCGCGATGCGTTTGTAAGATGATGAAGCTTAACGAATGACTGTAAAAGCTATCGTGGATGTAATGGTTAGCTTGTAGTTGTACATGAGCAGCATCATTTGGACTGGACTTACCAGGTAGGAGAAGGAGACAACAAGAATAGTGATCTTCCAGTGATGGATAGATTGTTTCCAGATGAAGATGTTGAAATTGGGTGTCAGATTGACAAAGATGTGAAAAAGACAGGTGGAGGAAGATGGAGGGGGGGGAAAAGAAAAAAGAAAGGAAAAAAAGGTGAATGATTCAATGGCCCGATATATACAGCATGTACGACGACCCAGTGCTCCACGTCCTACTCTACTAGTAAGTTTCCCGCCATCCGAAACGAGGTTGGGGTGGTGGCGCTATCAGTCTTCAAAGCTTTGTCTGGCCACCTGGAGAGCTCCTTGTATGCCTCCTAGTAATTTAGCTCACCTGTTATCCCATGTTGAATCGAGGGCGTTTGAACTTCTTCCAGGGTGAAAGGCGGTATGGTTATTACACGAACGAACGCCGGTGGGAATTTAACAGGCCTTGAGAGAAACTACCAGCATTGAAAAATGAGCAATTATGAACGGGTCTCTTCTTTTCCTGACATTTTTTCATTTAGGGAAGGGAAAAAAACATCTATCACTGTCGATCCGGGGCAGCTTTCCGACAGTGCCGTATACGGTACGGTACTAGGGTCCGGACTAGCCAACTAGTGCTACAAGTAGGGTGCTGGGCAGGGAGGCCTTCATAGGTAATGTTTCTAGAATGGCGGTAATGCAGACCCTGATTGCAGAGCCGTCCAACCTCTGCGCATGATTATGATGGTTCCCCACCTCGTTGATAGGTGGCTATCTTTGGAAGTCCAGACTTGTCTTGACTCTTGAACTTTGACCTCTCTGCGATACCGGAAAAAAAACCACGCACATGGTGCTGGAACGGCCTGGAAAGCGCCGGAGCCGTTGTGAATGTCTGGGGGAGTTTCCTTGGATTGGGGGTTGAAATGTCTCAGGTGAAAGTTGTTGATTACCCGAGGTTCAAAGGAAGTGATTGGGCCACCCGATGCTTGGCTTTGCTTTAGTGTGGCTCTAGGGACATAGAATACAGTAGTTCAGCATGTCACTACCTCTCAGGGTCTAGTCAGTGTCACTTGGTTTAGTGTATGGGGAGTGAAGGACTGTTGGGAAAGGATGGAACGTTGCAACGGAGAGCGAATATATATTAACAATGGATCTCGTGAGCTTTCAATTACTAGATAAGAATGCCGCCTCACAAAAAATGGTAATAATGGTCCACATCAATACAGACCAGAGGAATGTTGGTCTCTCCAGAGTACGAGTGGAGTGACACATCCCTAGCAGTTCCGACAACAGGACGTCTGAAGCTAAATACCCCTTTTGGCAGGATAGCCACATGACTTGACTTGCTTCAGACAAAAAGACCAAAAAGAAGTGGGGACTCGGCCCAGTCTCGTGATTTCCGAGCCGGAACTCAATGGGAACTTGAATGGAACCGAATGAAGTCTGGTTTGAACTCCCTCCGTCGATGGGGCCCATTTTTGAGAACACTTGAGCAAACTTTACGCAAGGGAAACAAAAACCAAAGAAAAAAAAAGATCGGCCTCCTATCTTATCAGCCACTGACTTGTGCACCACTTCCAAGTTCCAACATCTGTTCAAATTTCCCCCCGCACTCTACAAAACTCCGACTGAAACACACAGGCCTCTGCGGCGCCAGCAAACTTCGCTAGTCAGATTCGGGTTGTAGTAGAACCACGTTAGTTGTTATCAGGCGGCATCCTTGCTTGATTTGCCTCCGCCACTGGCCGTGAGGTTGCATTCTCGACTTATATTTAGAACGTACCGCGACGGTCAATTCTCCATTCATTGTTCGTCCTGCTCGATATCTAAATGGATGGAGCGAGCGAATGAGGAGACGAGCCTGGTGCCTCGCCCGCAGCCGCTGCCATCCCCTCCACTCCATCCCTCAACAACATCCTCCAGGGTCTCAGACACTGATGCGCTCGTCACGACCTCCCTTGCCAACAGTGTCAGCGTCAGCAATGGCACAGTCTTCCCGCAAGTGTGCAATGGTACCAAAGATCGCCCGGTCTCCGGCATAGTTCCGCCGTACTGGAGTCACCACCGGAATGCATCCCGCACCTCTCAGATCTCGCTCGAACAGCCCGCCATCACTCTCGAAGACCACACAGAGGATCCAGATTCGGAGACGAGCCGCGGACTATGGGCCAGGAGTGTATCTGTAGATGACCATGTTGTCGTCCAGGGGAAGTCCGGTATAGGCGCATACGTGGTGTGGAGCTGTACCATACAAACCCTCGAGGTGCGCATTTCCCTCTCGTCCACCGCATCTCGTGACTTTCGTAAGGATATTCTGGTTCTAACGGCGATTGTAGGGTGGTCCCATAAACGTTCGAATGAGGTACTCTGAATTCGATGACTTACGACAAAAGCTGGTGTCCTCATTCCCGCACGCGAAGAACGCCCTACCAGCTCTACCACCGAAGAGTGTTCTCTGTATGTCTCGCCGACACGTTTTATGACTGCATATTTCGACTTCACTAACACGAGTGCTCTAGTCAAATTCCGCCCAGCATTCCTAGAATCTCGACGGGTCGGGCTGGAATACTTCTTGAAGTAAGTTCATTGCACACTCATATCGCATTGTTGCACACTGACACGCCGCGCTCACCAGCTGTGTCCTTCTTAATCCTGAATTTTCTAGTTCGCCAGTCGTGAAAGACTTTCTATTTGGCCGCATATGCTAATTGCACGTCGACTGTACTACTTTTATACACTAACAGAATCATGATGTTACGCCTATCTATATATTACCTGGAGTGAATGGGGCTCTAGGGAAACAATAATACCTGTACCTGAGCATGGCTAGATGTCATGCTCCACCACTTATACAGATACGTTCTTCCATCATTGCATGCACATAAAGCAACATTGCTTTGGTTTCATGGGTTTCATGGATTTCATTGTATTTCTTGACGACTACTGTGGCAGTCTTTGTAAGCATGATTCCACCGTCATTATCATCGCAGTTCCCTCATCAAGAGCAAAGCAAGGGACAAAAAGGAAAGAAAGACTATCCGCAGCGAACGCCCGAGGCTGAAGTAAAGTAACACGAAAATAACTAGCACGAGCATTGTCTTCATCACAAGTTCTTGCTATCCACCCTAACCATCACGTTACTCCCCTCCTCCCTTGCCTTCTGCATAGTCTTCGAGTACCGTTTGCCAGCGATCAGCCACCACAGGAGCTCGATAATGATGAATCCGCCAACACAGACGCACGTGTAGTTCATGTTTGAGGCTGTAGATGCGTTAGTATTCTCCGTGTCAAACGTAACTCCCATCTGATACGATGTTGTATATAAGGGAGAGGAGGCGAACGAAAGGGTAGGTGAAAACCGACGTACCGGTCACGGGCATATAAAACGGAAAACTGAAGAAGACAATGGCAAAGACCAGCCAAATAACGGTAACAATGTTGACGGTCATGCCTGCAATATGCGGGAGGCGAAAAGGGCCGCGATGCATCGTGCTGCGATTCAGCACGACATTAGTGAAGATGGGCACGAGATATGCGAGATTGTTAATAGTCCTGAGGTATATGTTAGTCCGGATGTTTGATCTCGAAGTGTCCGAGAAAGGCGTAGGAGGACAATAACAACGTACGTTGCAGAGCTAAGCATGGAGTTGAAGGCAGTGGTAGATCCCAGATAGATACAACCCAGAAGGCTTACGATCACTGCCACACACATTTGTGCATTCAAGGGGACCCCGAATCGAGGGTTGACTCGGGCCCAGCTTAGGCAGTCAGTGTCTTAACTAGCAGAGTTTAGTTGTTGCTCTACTTACACCTTGGAGAAAGGAAGGCCATCGTCGCGAGCAAAAGCCCAGAGCATTCTTCCAGTGCCTGCGGAGCCATATAGTTAGGAAAGATATAAATGTTTGAGCTTAAAAGGTGTCATACTGAGCTGTGAGCCAATCATGCAAGGCCCAATGGCAATCCATAGAAGGAATGTCAGTGCGAAAGCGCCTCCACGGCTCTGTGTTGCTTGACCAAAGATCGCTGCCAGTGGTAGACCTGTTGGACTGTCTGCCAGACTCGACCAGTCTTGCACCGAGAACATGAGGCTGAGAAGGTAAGAAAGTCCAGTAATGAAAGCAATAATAAGGGTGCATGCTATTGCAGTAAATTGGTCAGCTCCCTGCGGCGAGAAAGATTGGGGATGCTCGAGACACACCTAGGGCCAAAGGTGCATTGCGCCCAGGCTGAACGATATATTAGCCATGACCGTGTTCTGTTGCAATATAATGCTCACGTACATTTGGCATCTCCTCTGTGATATGCTGCAGCCACGTTAGCACTGCGTCAAGAACAAGGAGTTAATGCGTACTGTAATGCCATCCAATCCCCCGAGAGAGAACAGCGGATTCACCAAGCCCGTGATGAAACAGATAACATTGCTTTCCCAACCTGTATTGTTCATCCAGGTTCGAAAAACAAACTTGCTATCATTGTGGGTGGGCGCTGTCGCGGCCACTGTGACCGTGATGACAAACCATGCTAGCTGGAGGTATACCACTGTCTCTTCGCATTAGCAAGCCCCTCATCATTGCTGCCCTAGCACAGCTTACAGGCAAACTTATTGATTCTCGGAATGTAACGATTTCCAAACATAACCACTGCAGATGACAAGACATTCAAGACCTGATATGCAACAAAAGTCATCCAGGGTTTGAGCTTAATGTCATCGTGATACAACGCAATTAGGGCCATGAAGTTTGAGGCATAGACCAAGTTTGTTGATGCTGCCGTGAAAATCCCTGTAGAGTAGTTAGTGCAGCCTCTAGCTAGAACCAATGGTAGTGTTGTCTTCTCACAGCCAAAGACTGTAGAACAGCCTGTCAGGAAGCTCAAGAGACTGTTATAGCGCTTTGGGGCAATAGCTGCGATCCAGTGGTACATTCCACCTTCGACTGGATAAGCCGAGACGAATTCCGCCAACGACGTGCCCAGGAAGCACTGGAGGATAAAAACGAGGATAAATCCGTAGATAACTAGCTTGGTCAGCGATATAACCCTGGATTACTCTATCCGGAGTAGACTATACGAGCACCGGGCCCACCAGCGTTGATGGAGGTGATCAAACCAAGTCCAAGCCCTATCAGCTCACGGTGTCAGCAACGATTGGTCGACCGTATACACAGATAGCCAACGTACCAGTCCAGGATATGGTACAGTTAGCAGCCAGTCCAATTAAGCTCCAAACAGAAAAATGGCGCTTCAGTTCCTGTTTGTGACCTGGTAAACAATGAGTATACATACTAATTTTGCTGTGCTTGGGAAAGCCAATATACCCATTTGGGCCAAACGCAGCTCGTCTGCATCTTGAACTTGGATGACTGCAGACTCTCTGCTGTCTGGAACTTTCAGGCCAGGAGCAGAGGTATCTGTAGATCTGTACATACTCTCCGCAGGTAGGCACGAGCGCTCTATGTGAGGTTTACTGGCCGGGCGTATCAAAGGATATTAGGGGCGATTATAGCAATGTTTTCAATAGGAAATGAGCAGGAGGTACAAGTCGTGACACACCATGCGAAGGTGTCTTGTCAGTAACACAGGGATGAGGTTAACTGTGAATAAGGGAATGTGTCGGGTGCTTTCACTCCAACAAGTATGAGCAGTAGAAGCATACCTAGACAAATGAGAGCCGGTGATTTCTACTAAGCCGGAGAACTTCCCAGTTCACCGGATTTAGCGGTCAGATCACCGGGAAGACCGGGCGGTGATCACAGATGGCAATGTAACACTGCTTGGGTGTCATCAACTAGTAATACTGATGGTAGTTAGACATCATACTGCCTGTCACGACTGTGTACTATCAGATTTATCTCCCGAGCGGACGCTTATCTGGCCTCTCGGAGCAGCTACAGAAGGTCATTGGCCTACAATGCAAGGGGCCCGACATTGAAATGATGTGCAGTGGAGGTACTTGGTAGCATACCAGCCCTGAGGCCGACATCGATATCAACTACTAGTATATGACGTGGAAACTCGCCCACACTACCTACTTCAACAACTTGATAAAATTTATATCGTGACTTCGCGGAGTTAATTCGGTTGGAAGCTTTTAATTCCGATTATCTTGAGACAGGAAAGAGACCAAGGAAAAAGAAGAACAACGAATAAGGAAGGGAGAGAGGATGCCGAAAGGAGGGGGAAGTGGGGAGGAAGGGCGCAAAAAAGAATGGCTGGTCCCAGAGAGGCTCGAACTCTCGACTTCTGAGTTATTAGCTCAGCACTCTAACCGACTGAGTTATGGGACCCGCTTGTTGAATCAGCGTTCAACTTTAGGCATTATAGAGCACGGTACTCACAACTTCGACCTTAATAAACCTAGGAGTGTCTATCATCTGATGGGAGAGCTCTAGTGAAGGTATTAACCTTACTCACAACCATGGGAAACATAGGATATACGGCACACATCTATGGACATTAATATTATACTATCTAACTATATACCATCAGAAGCTTTGCATCCATAACCTGTCTTCATAATCACTCTTGCGTGAGCCATCCACAGAGGTCGTAAGTTCATAAGTGGTGCCAGTGGCGTATCCATAGAGGCCATTAGAAACGTAATTACAGAAAGTATATATAGTTGAGAAGACAAGCTAGACCAAGTCAGGCTACAGTAGCCTGGCCATGGGCTCTTGATGTTGCGAGGTCTGGGCCTCTCGAAAACACCTCAAATCCCGTCTCAATCCCTATGCACTATTGGCCGACTCGGGAATTCCTGTCATGATTCACCGTCGGAACAAAATAGTCCGAGCGCGTGCTCATCAGAACGAACTTGGGACACACAAATATCTGGTCAGCCATGGCTAACGTAACCAGCCCATGTTAAAGAAACTATTCAATGACTTTTATAGCGCCCAGCGTTAGTGTCACCACCAGTATTGGCATCCTCGAAATTTCTCTCACCAATGTCACGGTAAGCCTGCTCTCGGGCTGCCGACTTGTCGCGCCGAATCGTCAAACAATTAATTCCCAAGAAAGTCGTGATCCGGTTGATAACCAAGAATGCCCAGTACATATAGATGGCAAAGGCAAAGAGGAGATAAACCCGCAGGTACAGGAGCTCCACCCACGCGCTCATCCCGGGAAGACCAATCCAGGGCAAGTTCACTAAAATGGCACCACCAACTAGAGGGGTTTGCAAGATTGTCCAATGAGGGAATGGCTGTCTCAGCAGATGCGCAAGAATGATCTTGGTGGTCATCCGTCCAAAGACGAATGAGATTGTCCAACAGTACAGCACCAAGCGGTTATCAGCCAATATGCTCGAATAAGGAGAGAAGAGCCAAGCCATATTGCATCCAGTGAAGACGATCATTGGTACCCACTCCTTGAAGATTGGGGATATGGGGAGATTCTGTTTCCTTCTTGAAGAAATGACGTTGTAGACACAACCAGGCAAATGCCCCAAAAAGAACGATGAGAGAAGGAGGGGAATCCAAAGGTCCTTCATGGAGTTGTTTCCAAAGATCTGGGGGATGTTCAAGAACTCGACGATCGGCCGAGACCATATTTCAGGTCCATACCAGCCCGATGCCACCATCAAACCAATTGCGATCAGAAGACCCTCGGTAGGGCCATTGAAGTAGCCGAGGTAGAGTGTATGTGTATGATAGGTCTCCCAGGTGGAGAAATACATTGCGAGGCAAGGAACGAGAGCTGTCCAGGCGCCTAGACTCGTGGAGCCAAAGCCCAACGCGGCAGTCTCTAGTAGACTAGCAAGCGTACAATTCAAGGAGTCGATGCCGTGACTGTTACATGTTAGCAACTGCCCATGTTACTCCCAAAATGCTCACTCACTCAAACAACTCCCCCAACCCACTAGACGTTCCCGTTCTCCGGGCTTGTTTGCCATCAACGTTATCCAGCGTGGAGTACCTTTGGTATGTGAGATAAGACCACTCAATGATATCCAATCTTAATGCTTACATCCACATGCCAAAAGCAAAGCTGTAATATAACCAAGAGGGACCCTATCATCGACAAGGCTTAGTGCTGGGCGAGAAATTGGTAAGCAGGCCGGTTGTTTGCTTACAGGTCCCACAAGGTCAGGCATCAACATCTCTATGAGCATCACATTTCCGACAATGAACATGAAACCCAATAAGGTTACCATGTTCGGAGCTATCCACATCGGCAGGAGTTCGACAAACGCATTCCACTAAAGAGCAAAGACCATTTTTAGACAGGAGTCGCACGGCGAGGATCGCGTGAGGTAGAGGATATCGTACGTAGTGCTTCAGGACATATCTAGAGATGAAGGATTTATCCACACTCTGGTACTTGTAGCTTTTGAGTGGCGCCAGAGCCTCGTCGGAGAGCGAGTCTTGGATCGCTAAGTACGATATAAAGAATCAGCTAAAAAAAGACTTCATGCCTAATATAGAGTCAGGGGACGAACCTTGGATCCTCTCGAAAATTGCGTTCATTTTGCTTCGGATTCCGCCAATGGAATGGTATATCAGTACTTCAGCAAATTGTATCGTACGATTGGGTTTAGTTCATTGCGCTATGAAGTAGGAGGTACAACGACAAATGATGGACGAGAGGTTGAACCAAAATCTGCGGTGCTTTATAACAAACACCTAGGGAAACGATCCTTAAATCCCCTGAGAAAAAAAGAGTGGAACGAAAAGGGACCCAAGAGGATCGGCGGACGTTCCATCCGCGGATCACAATTTATCACGTGCTGGGCGGGCTGGTCTGTGAGCTCCGCAGCTTTCGACGCAACAACGCGACATGAAAAACAGAGTGAAAGTTGGAGGTTAATGAAGAGCCCTGTGGCTTTTTCTTCTTGCGTTTCACGCTCATTACTGTTTGATAATAGAAAGGTTTCTCCTATTTCTAGGTGCTATGACTCCTGAGTAAACTTCGTTTTCCTTCAGCTGTCTTTTGAATAACTCTCATCCATCAACCACTTCAGGCCGTTGTTCCCCGCTGCTAAAGCTTCAACTACCGCATACAAGCCTTTTCGCATCAACGATTCAGATTATTCATCATCTCAGTGTCGACTGAAAACGATATTCTAGAGGTTTTATGATTGCTCCTTGAGCTTGGACATGACGGTAGAGGATCAGGGAAGCGCTCGCGGCGCAGTGCACGACTGAGTACTCTGCGCAATGCCTGGCGTCGTCGATGCTCCTGCCGGCTCTGCCTGGCAGGGACTGGGTTATACCGTTGCGCACCAGAAGGTTGAGCTGGAGCTAGACTTTGCAAATAAGAGCCTCAAGGGAAAAACTGAAATTACGATCCATCCACACTACAAAGAGCTCCGTGTTATTCGATTAAATTTCCGACAGGGCGAGATTAGGCGCTTGAATGTCTGCGGGAAGATACCGTCAATGAAATATGCGGATCCCTACGAGTCGCTACAACTGTACGGTCCCCATTATCATCAGCGACTTGCTTCGAAAATAGATGGCTTGCTTAAGTCCCCGCCAGAGCCCGACCTGCTTGTGTCGGTCCCAAAGAGCGTTAGGATCGAAGAACTTGACCCTTTCTCGGTTGAGGCCCAAGACCAAATGGCCCTCCGTGCAACTGGCACTGCCGACGATTCTGAAGGCCCTTTGAGCTCCAAAGCGCCAGATACTACGCTTCCGCGTTTCACGGCACTGACGGTCAACATTGATTTCACTATTGACAATATAAAGGATGGGTTGCAATTCGTGGGGGTCGAGAATGGTGACAGACGTTATCCACATGCCTTCACGACAAACTCGCTTGGATATGGGGCCGGTTGCCCTCTTTTCCCTTGCGTTGACGACACTTCGTCACGTTGCACCTGGGAGCTTTCTATCAAATGCCCCTGTTCGTTGGGGGATGTGTTTGACCGCAAACCCCGCGATCCATCCGGCTCCAGCGCTTCTGGGCGCCCTAAACCGACGTCGAATTTCGGTCGATACATATCTCCGGATGATGAAGCCTTGGACCTACTGGTGGTTTGTTCTGGTGATATGACAGATGAGATTATTGATCCGAAAGATACCAGCAAGAAGACAGTATCCTTTGCGTGTACCTCGCCGCTCTCTGCCCAGCAAGTTGGATTTGCTGTTGGCCCGTTCGAATATGTCAACCTTGCACATTTCCGGGAGAGCGACCAAGATGAGCAGCTTGGCCAGAATGCCATTCCTTTGCATGCTTTTTGCCTTCCCGGGCGAGGCGATGAACTCAGGAACACTTGCTTTCCGATGGCGAAGGCGATCGACTTCTTTTCCTTATCATATGGGTCGTATCCATTTTCAAGTTACAAAATGTGCTTCGTAGATGACGCGCCCGAGGATACGTTGTCGACAGCGTGCTTGTCAATCTGCAGCAGTCATCTCCTATTTCCTGAAGATATCATCGATCCGATGTACGACGCGACCCGTGCTCTTGTTTACGGCCTAGCGTCTCAGTGGATCGGTGTAAACATTGTTCCAAAGGCGTCAACTGATACTTGGGTCACAGTAGGCGTTGCGTGGTTTATCACAGATACGTTCATGAGGAAACTTTGTGGGAATAATGAATATCGCTTTCGACTAAAACAGATGTCTGATAGAGTATGCGAGTTGGATTATGAGCGTCCCTCAATATTTGACATGGGAAATATACTCCAGCTTGACTCCTCTGAGATTGATTTCATAGCACTTAAGGCCCCTCTCGTGCTTTTCATCCTCGACCGAAGGCTTACGAAAGCTAGTGGAAAGGCCACAATGTCCCGCATCATTTCTCGGCTTTTTCTCAATGCTCGAATGGGCGATATCCCGAACGGGGCGGTATCCACTATGCTTTTTCAAAAGACCTGTGAACGACTGGGCCATGCGAAACTGGACTCATTCTTTCAGCAATGGGTCTTTGGTGCTGGATGTCCCCGCTTTCAGGCTACACAGAGGTTCAATAAAAAGAAGCTTGTAGTGGAAATGATGATAAAGCAAGTGCAATCGGAACAGCCTAGCACACGTGACCTGGACAAGAATACATTTATGCGCGATGTCAAGGAGGAGATTCGGGGTATCTATGCCGGTGTTGTTCAGCCGGTCTTTACTGGCTCCATGACGATTAGAATCCACGAAGCTGATGGTACACCTTATGAACATATTGTCGAGATTAAAGAAGGTGTCACCAAATTCGATATCCCTTATAACACCAAATACAAGCGTTTGAAGCGGAACAAAAGGCAGAAAGAACGAGCCGCTGCTGCTTCGGGAGGTGATCCTAATGCAGAAGCACAAGAAGATGTCTTGCTTTATTGCTTGGGCGATGTACTCCAGAGTGAGGAAGAAATCCAAGAGTGGAAGCTGGCTGATTGGAGCAAGGAAGACGAAGAGCGAATGGGCCAGGAGTCTTACGAATGGATTCGCATGGACGCAGATTTCGAGTGGGTTTGCAAGCTTTCTTTGGTGATGCCAGGTTATATGTACCTTTCGCAGCTCCAGCAAGATCGAGATGTTATAGCCCAGTTAGAGGTTAGTTGAATCGTCGCTGCCTTGAGAGCTTTACGCTGACAAACATACCAGTCTCTACAATATATGGCTGCCCAAAGAGAACACCCTTTGATTTCCACGATTTTTGTTCGAACCCTGATGGACCGAAGGTACTTCTACGGAATCCGTGTGGCCGCAGCAAAGGCCTTGATCAGGCATGCCAAGGAAGAAATAAATTGGCTGGGGCTATTCCACCTGGAACGAGCGTTCCAGGAATTATTCTGTCTGCCAGGATCACCCATGACCCGCTCAAATGACTTTTCCGATAGGGCTGCTTATGTGCTTCAATTGGTTATCCCAGAGGCTATCTCGAAAGTACGAGATAACAATGGAAAAACACCGATGCGCGTGAAGCGTTTTCTTTATGACAAGCTGCGGTTCAATGATAATTCCAACAACGAGGTAGGTTAACGCACATTTGACTTGGCCTTAGATCTTAGCTCATGTCATTTCTAGTATTCGGATAATTATTATGTCGCGACACTTATGCAGTCTCTTTGTCACGCGATGCTAGGCAAAGTTGAGTCTCGCTCCCATGATCTGGATGATTTCGACATGGAGGGGGTCCTTGAGTCTCAGGCCGAAGAAAAATTGGAGAAAGACGCCATTGCCGAAATTGATAGATATCGAAGAATGGATGAATGGTCCAGCTCGTACCAGAACATCTATTCTCGTACTACACTACGCTGTCAGATACAGCTCATGCAAGCCAAAATAACGGAGTTAGATATAATGCAGTTCCTGCCTTATACCCGGGCCGGCACTTATGACCTCCTTCGCTTGGAGGCATTTGAATGTCTCGTGGAGACCGATATTTTCCAGAGCCCTGAACTCCTAAGATGGTTCATTTTTACCATGTCGAGCGACTCTTCTTCTTGGCTTCGACGGCGACTTCATTACCTGTTTGGCAAGGCGCTTGCTCCTGTGGCTTTTGGTCGCGAATCAAGCGATAAGACCCCAGCTTCCGGTGATGGCTTAATCATTGAACAAGAATCTTCCACCGAGGTCCGCCAGGCAGATCTCGCGCGGAGGCAGACAGTCCCTGGAGCCATAGAGGCACTTAAAGGTGAACTCAAAAGCGACCAACTCCTCAAGGAGTCATTATGGGCTGCGTGCAATTCTCCGTGCATTGGGATCCTGGAACTTTCCGAGTTTACTGATCTCTGTCGCATCTTGTATGACCCGACCACTAGTGTGAAGGTTGCATTGAAGTATCCGCGGTACTGGCAAGTGAAGCATCTCGGGAAGGTGAGTTCTACTGCATCATGCCCGGACCGTCTTACAACAGCGCTAATGTATACTGTAGGGACGTCTGCATTTTACTCGCTCCAGCAAATTCCGCACCTCACTTCCATCAAAAGACGCAAACCCTGCGAAACGCAAACGAGAAGAGCCGGGTATGCCACCCCCTGCTCCTCGCATCACATTCAAGCAGTCAAAGCTTGGTCCAAGTACTCCGTCAGCACACCCAAGTCCACGTCCACAGCCGATCACCAAGCTGCAAATTCCGAATCGATCCTCCCCCGTACCTCAAGCGCCATCCAGGACACCCGCCACTCCAACCACCCCATCTACTCCTGGAGGTGGAGGGTTCAAATTAAAATTAAAATTTGGCCAGAAGCCAAAATAAATTAATGTGTTTCTTCTTATCATTCTTCAGTCATGTATCTTATACTATTATTTTTTCCCTTATTCCTCTATTTTGGAGGGAGGCTGGTAAAGGAGGCTTATGGCGCGAGGGTGGAATGAATATCGTTTCTCGATTTTATTTTCTAAGATTTCTCCATCTATTCCCCTGTTCCGGTTTTCTTTCTCAAATGCGCGTCTGGTTTGCCGGTTTCATGCCCATTTGATGCGGTATTCTCGAGCCATGTTATGAATGATGTCTTGCATAGCAATCATCAGGCTGTGTCGTCAAAGATTATGTCTCTCGATAAGATATACCAAGGGAACCCCTAAATTTGATCCCTCAAATACTGAAACTGCAATTTGATCGTAAACATGCTTGAGATGAAATCGAAGTGCCTTCGATCGTTCCAAAGAGAGCAACCGACCCGTAAACTCCGTACTGCATTAAATTAATCCCACGATGAAGGTATCCAGCGTTTCCTTTACTTGTCGCTTATACGTTCCAAAGCCTGTGTAGGGATTGCTTGCATTAGCCATATTCAAACGGTGGGTATGCAACAGATATACTAACCTCGAGCATGACGACCGAGTTACCGCGAATGACCTACACAGATGATTAGCTACGAACTCCCGTCGTGAGAAGTCTCCAAACGTACCACCATGCCAATTGCGACCTTCTCTCCGCCCTGCTTCTCTTCGAAAGCATCGTCGAGCACGATGTTCATGAATACCTGTATCATATAACCGTCAGATCCCAATGACCTAGTCTCCTGATATCAACGCTTTCGCATTCGGGGCCGGCAAGTGAAAGGTCCGCAGCAGTAGAAAAGTTCGGATGATTTCAACGTACATCGTAACCTCTCAGGATACCAATGACTTTGCGGTTGCCGTTCAGTTGGCAAAATACCCGCTTTTCCATGTACTAGTCAAACAACTCCGTCAGCTCCTTTTCTGTCCAAATCAACAAGTAAATGTGAGTCGCAAGGTATACCTTCTTCAACTCGGGCTGAGCTTGAGGCATCTTGGCTAGTGAGTTCTGGTGTATATCCCGCCGTGATGTCGAGGTCAGTCGCGCGGCGGAACTTTGAGACACAGCAGTGGGATTAAAGCTGTGCCGGAGAAATGTTCTTCCCGGCAGCTTCCAAAGATGCGCGGAGCTCAGATTAACGCAACTGTTGAAACAACGCACACTTCCTTGCGATAAGCAATATATCTACCAGGAATATCAAAGGGTTGATAATACAAAATCCTTATTATGAGTTCCAAGTTTGCAAACCGCAGAAAACCCCGCAAGATTGGCGGGGAGGATGAAGAGGATGGCGGCGAACAAGGTCAGTGGTTTATGCGCAACATGATCCAAAAAAAAACTTCACTAGATTGAGTAACTAACAAGCCGTAGATATTGGGCCGGTTGTCAAGCGCCCCGTTTCCTCTAAAACGAAAATAAAATCCAAAACGCGCCTGTCGTTCAACCCCGGAGAAACTTCAATGGCTGAAGATGGCGAACAGGAAAGTGAAGTGGTACTACCGAATCGGCAAGGACTTGGGAGGCGAGCACTGGAAAATAGTGCTCTCCAGAGGTCACTCACGCCATCGGGATCAGGTAGTCAGCTTCCACTCAGGGTTGGCCCAGAACAAGATCGGCCAAGTTATAACAACGAATATTTGAAAGAGCTTCGAAATTCAACGCCTTCAACACCAAAGAATACCACCGATGATGACCAAGAGAAGACTATTGATGTCGCAGCAAAGTTTGGCGAGGTTATGAAAGTCACAGCGCCGGCCGCCATTCCTAGCGAAGCAGAGATTAGAGAGAAAAAAGAAAGAAGAGCGCGCTTGGCCAAAGAACAGCAATATGGAATCTCAACAGAGAAGGACTTTATCTCGCTGGATGACACTATGGAGGATGAAGAGTGGGACTCGAGAAATGCAAAAGAGGATCTAAGGGACACTCGGCTTATTCGGGATGATGAGGATTTCGCAGAAGGCTTCGACGAGTTTGTGGAGGATGGCCGCATAACTCTGGGGAGAAAGGCTGAGCGCGAGAGGGTTAAAAAGCAGCGTGAAGAAATGCGAGAGCTCATTGAAGATGCCGAAGGGGTCTCAGACGAGGACGACTCAGATTTAGAAGAAAAGGCGGCTTACGAAGCCGCCCAAACAAAGGCTGCCATGGGCCACGACGGCAAAGACTATACAGATCGACCAAAGACTCCTCCCAAAATGACTTCCCTCCCACGTCTATCAACTTGTCTTGACCGTTTACGCACAACCTTGGCTGTCATGGAAAAGTCAAAAACCCAGATGATTGATCGAATGGAAGAACTGAGAAAGGAAAAGGCCGAAATAGCTGTACGAGAAGTAGAGATCCAGGCTTTAATCAAAGAAGCTGGGGATAACTACGAGAAACTCAAACAAGAAGCTGGGCGCACTCCTGGCTCGGACGAGGATTCAGCTGCCGAGCGAGGATTGGAGAGTATCGGTCATTCCATGGCAGTATCAACCGGAAACTCCGAGGACGAGTCATGATTTACCGCTCAGGCATATACGCACCTGCCTCTCTGGATTGCTTACCTGCTTGTTAGGAAAGGTTCGACATCGCCTGTCGTTCTTTCCGGCGTATCGAATGGATTGCTGGAAATGACACCAGCCTGGCTTAAGACCTATTTATGATACCCAACACTTTAGACTTCACTTACCAATCGACTAGTTCTTAACTGTTTCATCTAATCCACTTGACGATGATGCGAATGCCTTTCTTCAATTTTCAGCCGCTACGTAGGACGTCGCATACTCGTGGGAATGCACAGTGAGTCAGACTAGGAGCTTCCTGATATATATGCCTGGCTCATAACAAACTGCAGCCGGCGAGAATCCATACCGTTTATTGAAACCCCTATTGATGGGAATCATGGAACACGCCTCCACAGGCATTTCGATGCTACTCCTATCGAACTGTTCTTTGACTTGTTTTTCGTGGCGAATCTCTCTACCTTCACTGCTACGCATGAAATTCACAATGTAGAAGCCTTAGGGGCTTACATAGGCTTTCTTGGGGTCATTTGGTTCACCTGGCTTCAGGTTACTCTATTCGACATCAGATTTGCCAGGGACTCGATTTTCGAACGAACCTGCAAGGCTATACAACTAGCAGCTATGGTTGGTTTTGCATCTGCAGGCACGCGATTTACCACCCGTGTTAAAGACGAAAATGTTTGGGCCTTTCAATCACTGAGTATCTTTCTTGGCGGAAGCCGAATCTTACTGGCTCTGCAATATACGGTCAACAACCTCATCTTCATTCGGAAACGAATGAAGCCTGCTGCCAAAGGGGTCTCCATCATCGCCGCCACGCTGTTTGTCTCAAGCTTAATCTATCTGGGGGTATGCTTACCGCACAGACAAATAATAACTACTATTGAAGCCACATGCATAGTCTGACCTGTTGGATAGATGTTTTATATCTTCGGGGTGCAGGACGGGATCCGTTCCTATATATGGACCGTTTGGTTTGCTTTGTTCGGAATAGAGATGTGGGTTATAATGGGAGTATCTTGTGTGACACCCGGAATTGGGCTCCAAGATACCCACTTGAATGTAAGAATGGGTCTCCTTACACTAATCATCATTGGCGAAGGGGTCATATCAGTCACCAGAATTGTGAATAGGACCGTGCGGCCGGGGGGCTGGACTAAGTGGTCGTTTGTTCACATTCTAGGAGTCACTACTAATGTGGTATGTGGTCTCAGAGATTCAATCTATCGTCCCTTTCGGGGTTGCTAACACCTCAGGAGTAGTACTTTCTGTGGCAAGCGTATTACGATCTCTCACCAAGGGGCATACTTGGCAAATATTCCCAGCAGCTATGGGCCCAGCTCCATTTTCCCTTTCATGTGGCCCTAGTTCTCCTTCTTGAAGGATCGCAGATCCTTGCTTTAACCCTAGACATTACCTTGAAGCTCACGTACCTCGAGGAAACTATCATGTTTGCTTGCGAGGAACCACGGCCCAGACCGGGAATAGCCATTGGTCTCCTTCGGAACACCATTGAGGACATGGAGATTAATTACAGCCGAGGCGCAATAAAAGAAAAGATGGCCATCGACGCAATCTTGGAGGATTTGCCCAACCACCCCTTGTGCCTGGGAGAGAACGTGTTTGGTTTCTTCGTCACAAATGATCACCTCAATGACCTTGTGGGTAATGTTACTGCCGCTCTGTTTTCCAGTATGGGAATCATACCTTCGGAGGAGACAAACATAGGACAGTTGACTAGCTCGCAGTTGCTGAGGATGTACATGGAGCTACTAGGGTTTGTCTACATATATTTTTTCGTCGTTGCATCACTGGTGATGTTTCTTTTTGCTGCCTTTGCATTTTTGGCTCGCCGCCACAGCTTCTACACTAGTATTGGAATAACGACCCGCATCATCCTCGGGGTGCTCTTGGCGAGCTTAGTGTCTTTCGTCGGGAAATTTGGGCTTGCGTACGATTTCATGACATCTCCAATGATATTATACGCATTCACCTTTGTTCTTTTGACAGGTGGGCCGTTCATCTTCGACTAGCTTCTGTTGAAATTTTTCGTTCTGATTGTCACAGTGTCCGGCGTTGACCGACTCTTGGACCTCTATGAGAGCCATCATGAGACCAATGCGAATCTGGAAGATGCAGGGAAGCGTAGTCATTCCGATACCTCCTAGCCCCGGGCTTCTCATGGATCCCTTCCTATCATGGCTCCATTTATAAATGCGTTGAATAGTCAGCTATGGAGATCTACACGGAAACGAAACGCCCGACTGCAAGTGTATCACATGAGATCCTGCAGTAGGGCATCCTTCGTCCCATAGAGAAGCAGAGAAGCTGAATCAACGACTATAGCGGTATACTTTGCCACCTCTATTTTTGCGTGATTAGTGTGTCCATATGTTACCCTTTTCCTTCAATGTAGGACCTAGGGTTATATGGTTCTGCCCCAAACAACCTCAAGTCCTAACCTCCATAGGAATCGATAATGGGCACGGGCCCAGGACGGATTTCCATCAAATCTCTCATCGCCTGCAACGAATGCGAGAAAGGATCGATGTACTGTAGTACACTGTGTGTCCTATAGATACCACCACACAACTCGGGGTGGAAAATTAGCGCCACACATGGTAGTAGTTTGTTCCTTTTTCTGGTAGCACACCAACGTCCCTTGACTCCAGTCGTACTGACAAAGGAAACCCCACTGGGAGATTAAATCTGGTCGGGATGGTTTTTTACCATGTAACACCGCTGTTGGGATATGAGGCTGTGAGGGTGTGTAGTGCAAGGCCGTGGTTCAATTAGGGTTAGTTTTGGCACTCCCCGCCGTTCATTTTTATTTAATCCCCCTGAATTAATCTACCTGTTAATACTCACGACAAGAAAGAATGAAAGAAAGTAGTAACTTGTCACTGCATATTATAACAGAATATTAAAGCATATTTCTATCTTTGGTTTTCTTTTTTTCCTTTTTATTTTTTTTTTTGACGATTGTGGAAGATCGAGCTTGCATCGATGTTTCTGATGCTAGTAGGCTCCCCGGCCCGTTCTTTCCGGTTTGTATGTACCTAGCTAGACTCCCGGAACCAAACGCTTGGGAACCCGAAACTGCGTTTAAAAATTCTTCTCTTCCAGGTTTCCCAGTTGGCCACACCTTAGATAAAAAGGTACTTTTGAAATGTTCCCTTTTTGGGAGGGAATGGTGGTAATGTTGACCCTGATGTTGCATGGAGTGTGAGAGAGGAAGGGGGTTCGGGGATGGTGCGCGGGGTGGGTGAGGCTTGCACTGCATAAAACTACATGGACCCAAAAAATGACAAGTGGACGGTGTGCCTGGGACCAGTCCAGGGGTCCTGGAGTAGGGAAATACGCATCATGTGGGGAGAGAAGTTCTGGGCCTCTCTCTCTCTCTCTAGCATGGTTTATTTTCCCTCTTCTGCTTTTCTTTTTGTTGAATGAAGGGGAAAGGTTCTCTTGTGCTCCCTTTCCTGGAATTCTCTGGGGAAATGTGGGTTTGGGGTACTTTAGCTGTGTATGTGACTGTGCAGCGGGTTCTGCAGGATTTCAATCCGAGAAAAGAAATGGTATAGTAGGGAACCGCTCTTGTTCCATTTCGAGGACTTGAAGACAAACCGATTGGTTTGCATGTGTGGTAGGTCATGAAACCGGAGGTCAATAGTTCAATGAAATTAGGGAATTGGTATGTGTCTGAGTAGCCTAAATATACCTGAGGGTCGTACTTCTGCGCTAGAATCCCTTCTTCGCCATGTCTAGCCATGGGTTTATCTTTTGTGGATAGAGCTGAAGTGACCTGCATATGCACATTACCCCATGTCTGGTACCCACACTGTCAATAGTAGGACCACACTCAGAGAAAGAAGGAAGAGGAAAAGGTAGGGCTGGGAAGTCTAGAAACGTGCTCAAAAGGGTGGAGCAAACGTCAGGACTATAGATTCAACGGCGCCACCGTTGTTCTTTCCGATCATTTCTTTGACTCCAATAGATGTTTCGGGTTCCAAGCCCCATGGCTGGCGATATGCGGTCATCGCTGAAGGTGGCATAGGGAAAGTTGATATGAACAAAGCCTTATGTGGGTACCCGGGCATACCTTTACACATTGCCAGTAAAAACTACCACATCTACCAGATAGACAGAGTGCCACGAAATCTTCTTTTGTCCTTTCTGCATGAGTTCCTGATGCTCCTTTGCCTCGCATTTCGCCTCTTACGCCACAAATGATTTCTCGATTGGGCCGATTGGCCACCCATGAGGTCAAAATTGAGACTCATCAATTGATCACCTAGTAAAGTATTGCAGGGTGACCGTTGTAAACTTAGTTCTTCCCTACACGATTGGTGGCACCCGTTCTTATTTTCCGGCACTAGATGAACTATAGGCCGTCGGTCGTCATCATCTAGCCCAAGATCGGAGGGCAATATACTCTAAAGAGAGCAAGGAATGTTTTCGCATCAGGGCAGGGGGTAGACGAAGGCTTGATGGAGATTGTCAGCCATTTCAGGGGGTTGAACAGAGAGATCTTACTAAAAGAGATAGCTGATCTCGGTGACAATATACAAGAGCTCAATCCAACCTTGTTTTTCTATGCTTTTCTTGGGCATCGCCTTTTCTTGTCTCAGAGACGTTGACAACCTATTGCTCCTCCAGTCAAACTTGGGTGGGACATAACTTTGGGCAAGAGAATCCCAAGAGTGCGCTCAACCAGTCGGGTTACTTCACCAGGGAGAGGAAGTTTCTGCTGGGTGGGAGAGTCTGAGACATCACGGCGCCCACTTGGAATCTCTGTACCGTGGCCTATAGGAGGAAAAAGGTCTCGTGTTCAGCCTATAGGTATCAGCATAGGACAAATCGGTTCACTTTTCGCTTCCGAGCCGGACTCTTTTTTGCTTTGTTTTGTTCCATATCCCTGAGTTCCCACGCCATAGGTTCCAGAGCAAGTCTTGTCGTTTAGAACTCGTCGGCAATTAAGACACCACGGTCAGCTTCAAGTGGCCCTTGTGCTGAGGCCTCGAAAACTCGCCCAGGATAGTTGGGGTATGTTAGTCGATTGCGAAAACCAATCGAACCCTCCCCATACTTATCCAAGTGCTAGATAGGCTAATGATCGCTGCAGGCGTCAATTGGACTAGCAACGTGCATCACTCAGAAGCACCAACTCCTGTACGTTCTCCGGTCAGTCCCAACTGGAACCATAAATGACAGAAGCGGTGAAGTGGCTGTCAGCAATAGTTATTTGTCTCATTTTAAGGCGATAGTCGACGTTCATGTTGATCCAGTTAAGCGAAAAACAAGGCTAGCCTTCGACAAAGACCTCGTTTCTCCTAATTTGGCTTCAAGCCATTCCCTCATTCATAATTTCGGGGGTGTTTTCCCGACTAATTTCTGTGCCCCGCAAACTGAATCAATATTGTGTTCTAGAGAAGCCACCGAGAGTCAAGAATCCCAAATGCACCGCTGGCTGGAACCCAATGGCTGCCATTCAATGGGCCCTGATGACATGGCAAACAAAACTTTGATGGCCCATAGAGCTATGAGCAATGACCTTGGCTGCTGGCCTGAAACTCTTACGTCAACAGATTTCGAGGAAAGTAAGGTGCAATTTTATGGCTGTCGGGTTCAGCCATCGTCGCAAATCCAGGGCTCGTTCATACAAAACGGTCGCGAGATATCCGTACCTCATACTCATGACCAGCACACACAAAATGCTGTGTATCCCGGCAATGAAGAGTTAGCAGTAGGAGAAAAGGTCGAGACAGATGATGTCATATTTGGCATAGCTCATCCAATCCCCCGGCTGCCCATCTCGTGTATGAACGGCAGCTTCTCATCTTTTTCCGGGCCTGAACCTGAATCTGTGGCAATATCACCCTTCAGTACGCCTGATAATTCACGTGAACCTTTGTTCATTGACAGCAGAGCTCCACACCAAGAATGGACAACAAGCGAAGTCGACTCATCTGAGCTTTTCCTAACGTCATCGGGAAAAAGATCTGTGCCTATCGTCAACTACTTCACTCCAGTTAGCGGGCCTTTTACGCCGCCTCCTTGGCCCACTGATGGAGTTCGAACAGCCTGGAATGTGCAACAAGAAAGCACTAGTCGTGGTGATGCCTTCTGGGTGGATATTCTATGTGGATTGAGTATGAATGGGTTTGATGGCCACGTCGAAGAGGACTTCGATCATGCTCCCACTATCAACGACAATATTCATAGTTCACCGCTGGAGGGAAACGCGTGTCAATATTATGTGCAACCAACTATGGCCCGCTGCCAAAGCAGAGTCGGGCATGTTAGCATCCCCTTTGTCAAAGAGCGACCCCCCGAGAATTCAGAGCACAGCCCAGCGCAGCCCTACCATGATAGCCCATGTATACACCACTTGGTGCATCCAACCCATACAACCAACAGGAGATACGTTCTCCGAGGCCAACGAGCTAGCAAACAAACTGCTTGTCACAGCAATGGCAGAGACGAGTTCCTGGTGGAATGTAAGCTACGCGGGCTCTCTTACAAGGACATCAAGAGAATTGGTGGCTTCAAAGAAGCCGAGTCAACACTTCGAGGAAGATTTCGGACGCTCACGAAATCCAAAGAACAGCGGGTGAGGAAACCTCAGTGGCAAGAGAAAGATGTTAGTACTTCCTTAAGGTGCCCGAGGCAGGGCCTATTACTGGTTACTGATGAGTCTGTAGATAAGCCTGCTGTGCCAGGCAGTGAAGGCCTGCATGGAAGACAACAAGCAAGCCCGTAGTGGTAACGGGCCTAGCTGTCAATCTTCGGCTACCAGTCAGCCACCCAAGGTGTCCTGGAAGAGGGTAGCCCAATATATTTGGCTTCATGGCGGCTCATATCACTTTGGAAATGCCACTTGCAAGAAGAAGTGGTGCGACATACACGGTGTGAAGTTCTGGGATTGATCTCCGGCATGTAATGCCCAGGAAGTTCTTCGATGGATGCAATAGATGAAGGAAGTGCAAACGGCCCTTTCTGATAGCGTTTGACTATATCCACATGACGAGCTTAGGTTTACTGTGGCCCTTTGCTTCACCATCTCTTTCCCACTTGGAGTGTCCATGTTTACTTTGATACAAGGAGCTTATTAGCAGTATCTGTTGTGTTTGGGCTAGTTTGGCTAGCCTTTACCCAACTCTTTTTGTTTTACCTCCGTTCGTTCTCTTCTAATGGTGTAATTTCAACTGTTTCAGTCACTGTGGGACATTGGCCTGAAGTCTGTACGGTTTCTTCTCCATTGTATGGCTTCGTATAAATGTTTCTCGTCCCAAGGCACTCCTGGTTAAGAAGGAATGTTATGAGGGTGATCGAGACACAGAATTCAAAGCAGAGAGAGTGCGCGCGTATCTGGGTGAGGATACCCAATTGTCGTCAGTATCTCTTTAAGGGAATCCGGGTTACGACGTAGCTCGTCCCATTCGGCCTCAGCTTTTACCATGAGTGTGCCAGCAAGGATTGTACCATTCAAGGCCACGATGCCAGCCCCAGAGACCTCCGCTGACGTTGCACTGTCAACTGGGATTTGAGCACTTTCATTTCTTCTCGGACAGATCATCATCACTGAATCCGTCATTGCTAGATTGTAGCTGATAGCAGCTGGACCACTGGTCGCCGGGGAGGAACCTTCCACGCTTCCTTGTGCAGCTGCTAACGCTGCTCTGTACAGTGACAGGTAAATGTGATGTAGGGTGTCGGCAGAGGGGTTCGGGGGCAACGGAAGGGCAAAATGTGCGAAGGGTACCTGACCCCATCGCAAGAATTCAGAACCGGGGCATGCTGGTTGACTTGAAACTGCATCAATCAAGGGCTGCCACCTCCCCGAGTCACTTTGAGACATGGCTTCGACTGGTAAGAACTGTAAATGCCTATGAGGCTGACTCGCCCCGCTCTCGTTGCCGGAGTTGAAAAAGGCGAAAAGCCGCTTGGAGGTTGCGCCGTTTGCCTTGTTCTCCTCACTCCATGCTTTGAGGCAAGAATAAGCCGCATCCAAGTCCTCCCTCTCCAGGATGTCTGTTTGAAGTCTCCATTCCTTTGTAGCTAAGATGAAATGATTGGGAATTACGGGGAATTTGTTGAGGACTAGTATATGAGTTGGGTTCTCTCGGGGTATCTGAGCGATTAAGAGCTCTGGAGACGGGTCCTGGAAAGGGTCGAATTTGGGTTTGGTAGTGGGCTTTCCAGTGTTTGGAGCCCCTGATGGCTTATTTGCAAGGGCAGGGCAATACCGAAGTTGATACTAAGACAGAGGAGAATTACAGTTAGCATTTGACCTTGGTAGGGCAAGATTCAAAGAGGGAAGGGTACCGGTATCCCTGCAGTCTGAATGGTGGTCAGGTGTGTCTGAGAGAAGAGAAGGTGACCAGATCCTTTAGCCGCCGTGAAGCGTTTGGATACGAGGGCCGGAAGGCTTTCTGACAAACCTAATTGCATCTTGTTAATGACCGGTTCTGAATCTGTTGCGAGGTTGAAATCAGGTTGCGGCAGATGGAGGCGGAAGGCGGGGGACCATGTGAGCGGGTAGAAACGAGGCTAAAGTCCGGATTGGCGTCATCCGATTCTTGGATACCAGTCAAGTCCATATTGAACGATTCTTCAACTACACGCAAGTCAAGTATTTGGAGAGAAAATCATTGTATAGTCACATTGGACCTCGAAATCAGTGTGGGATGACCTAATTAATGTTGATAAATAAAAGCTTTTTGTTTTTTCCATCTTGTCCTCCTTGAACTCCACAGGTCCAGCCAGCCAAAGATCAGGATTAATACATCATATAAGTACAGAGTTGGGAAGATGGAACCCAATATATCCAAAAGGAAACAACAACAGAGAATGGTATCACACTAGCCAGACATAAGAAAATATCGCTAACTTCATGCCACGTATGCAAAACAAGAGCCGAACTTAAGAAACTGAAGAGTGTTCAAGCCATGAGCTCATCAATATCTACCTCTCCTTCATAAGGATGGGACAGACCGGCCATCGGCATGGCCGGTGGCCCAATCATCTGAGAAGAGGGCCCATCTAGCCAAGGGCCCCGTTCTTCATCAGTAGCACTGAGGATGCCTTCTGCGCGCTTCAAAGTTTGGACGTCCAGATCGGTCACATATGCCTCTCGATTAGTGCCGTCGCCAGTGCCGCCAGGAAGCTTTACACGGACTTCATGCTCGTTTTTGAGCATCATTTCGTCCTTCAACAGACGGCGTGGGCCATCAAACACGCACAGAACGCGCTTTCTGATGTTGATGTTGCTTCTGGGGCAACCCCAGGATTGGGGGTAGCGATCACGGTTGTTCCGTCGCTTGGAGGCGATTGGGCGCTTGGTAACGGCGCTGTTTCCCAGTGTCACACGGGCGGAAGTACTTGCGCTGCCTCTGCTGGCTTTCATAGCACTGTTGGTGGATCGCCGGAGAGACAGAACCTCATTTGAATCGTCTTCATCGTCATCAAGTTCATCATCGTATCGATAAACGGTACCAGCCGTGTCGAGCAGCTTATGCTTCTCCATGGTTTTCTTCACCTCCTCATCCGAGTCAACTTCAGCCAGGCATCTCTGGTTGACAGCCTCACTAGGTTGCTCCTTTTGCACAACTCGGAGAACACAGTCGTCCAAGTGCTCGTAGAATTCCTGAGCGTTGTCGAAGGTGTCAGGGCATGTCGAGCACTTGACAGTCGCATCGTGGCGATATCCTGTGACAGCCTTGTTAGACGCAGCTGGGCTCTTCTTCCGGCAGTTTGGCGGTGTTTGCTCCACGCCATGTACTGAAGTCAAGTGACGCTTGAAGACATCTGCTCTGTTGAAGCTTTTTTCCGCCGGCGAGCCAGATCCTGGACAAAAGCCGCAGACCATTGTTCCCTTGTAATGGATGAGAGTATGACGGTTCTTGTCATATTTGCGGGCGAAGCCCTTGATATGATATTCACAGTTAACTATGGGGCATTTCTCGGGCCTCTCCGACCGATGGGTTAGCAAGTGGGCCTTCAAATCTTTGAAGACGCGTCCGCAGTCAGGGTGGGGGCACCGTCCCTTCTCCTTGGTGTCATCATCAAGATCCGCGTTGCTAGCAGCCGGGCTCAGCTGTGAGCGACGGGAGAGCTCAGAGGAGATGGAGGACCTCCGGTCATTGATCAAAGGAGAAGATGTCGGGATGTGATTGAGCTGCTGTGCAATTGCCTGCTTCGTATGGCACTCCTCGGCTTGGGGAAGATAGGGAAGCTCGGGGGACTGAGGATGATAGCCGTAGTTCGGCTGCCCAGGGTATGGCATAGACGATTGAGGAATGTTCGTTTGGGGCTGTAATGTCTCAATCAAAGAAGGGTCTATTGTTGATACACTCGTCAGCGATCTACCACAGCATGGGGGGGGG